CCGCAAGGCGCAAGCCCCGCTGCCAGCAGGCGCGGGCATGCACAACTTGCAGGGTTTTTTTTTAAAAAAATTTGCCGCAAGATAGGGCTGCAGAGCGTGCGAGCCTGTTGCTAGTCATGGCCACGGTTCGGAACCGACCCGTTTGGTTCAGAACCGGACGGTTCGAGCCAGTTCGGGTTCGGAACCGGTTCCGGCCGGTTCATAATTTTTCTTTTTTTTTTTTCTTTTTCTTTTCCTTTTTTTTTTTCTTTTCTCCCTCCGCCGGCCATAGCCGGGCCGGGCGGAGGTCGCCGGCGTCGAGGCGAGCCGCCCTCGCCGGCGTCGGGCAAGGGCTCGACCTCGCGGCGTCGGGCGAGGACGGCCTCGCCACAACGGCGAGGCCGTCCTCGCCCGAACACCAAAGGCTCTCCGGCGAGGCGGCGAGGTCGAACCTCGCGGATCTGCAGCTTCTTCTTCTTCTTTTTTTTTTTTTTTTTTTGAACCGGGCCGGAACCGCCGGTTTTCGGCCATAATGCAAAATTTTAAGTGTTAACAAACAAAAAAGTAAAAATAAAAACTATTCAGACACGCTCTTATTTAAAATGTTTCTCATCCGTCGATTCTAAAATTTACGCCGTTCGTGGCATGCGCACAGCTTTCTTTCTTCTTCTTCTTCTCTCTTTTTTTTTTTTGGAATCGGGCCGGGCCGGCGGTTGGGCCGGTTCGATTCCAAACCGCGGCCCGGTCAACGGGCCGGGCCTGGGTTTGACCGGGCGTTCGGGCCGAAACCGGCCCGTGGCCATGACTGGGTTAAAGTTCATGGATTACATTGAAAAAATTAAAAGTCCAGAGACTATAATGCACATTAAGCCAAAGTTCAGAGATTGTTTGTGTCATTTTCCCTCCGATCAACAATCGTTATGGCAGAGACAAGGCAATGCCAGAAAAAGGTTCCATGATTGTTGTAGGTTTGATAGCCTAGGATGCTGCAGTTTCTTCAAATGAATCGATCCAAAAATACTAGATAAAGTAAAGGACCTTATAGTGGAGCAAATTGACAGGAATCAAGCACTTGGCGTTTGAAACCGGTCACGCAGAAGTGGATGTGAGCTCTCTGAAGCTGAAAAGCGAAGTTTGCAAAAAGCGAAGCTTCTTGGTCTTCCATAATTTGTCTGTGTTTGTGTGTTAATGTAGTCTTGGAACTAGTGTTGGAAGTAGGCTTTTGGCGTCTAAAGTGATATTATTATGTGAACTGTTTCGAGGAAACAAGAGGAATGAAGCTGCTATTTTTCAAGTTGAATTGCAAATTATAGAGAAGCCTAAAGTTAAGTCAGAAAATTTCAATCAGTCCAACCTAACAGAGCTAAGTCCAGAATTTAACCCTGTTTTGTTAAAACAAATAAATGCACCCTCGCATAACTAACAATAGAGGAGCATATTTTGCATCAAAGATAACTCCATTTAGCATCCTTGAAACGAGTTAGAAAGTACATAAAGATGATCCATGTTCAGCACCATAAACTGATCAACAACCGGAGAAGTTGAAACACCTAGTCAAAGCTGACATAAACCCAAAAGCCGACATTACATACCCATATACAGAGACCAAAATAGACTACCAATTCAAAACCAGCCAGCTTCCTACACATCATTTTCAATGGTTAAATACAAAAAACCAAAAAAAAATCCATATGTGGTTTTTCTCTAGGTATGTATTGAGAAAATCCTCATGATATTTTGAAGATAACAAAATAATCAAAACTTCTAATATGTGTACTTGAATGTGTAGAATGAATAATTTATATATACACAAACCATATGCAAATAGTGTCAACAACGAGATGTCTCAAGCATGGATTGCTTGTATAGGCGAAAGCTCAATCAATTCAATCAAAACTTTTTTTTCCAAAGAATTTTGTACGTTGGGTAAGACTCTCAGAGAAAATCTTCCAAACTGGCTAACAAACCTACCTAGTACATGATATTTCTTATTATGATCATTTGTTGAGTGATTAAAAATCCGGTATGGACCCATCATTAAGGACATTTCATCTCTCGTGCCATCTTTGCGTATTAAAATTCCTATGTTCAGTATAAGACCCATCATTAAGGACATTTCATCTCTCATGCCATCTCTGTGTATTAAAATTCCTATGTTCAGTATGAGACCCCGTTTTCAACATGTAGTGGAAGAACAACGTCATTTTGGGAGTGTCTTTGGATTTTGAGGTATATTTAATGGTCACCTAGGAGAGAGAAACTGATAAAAAAATGCCAAAAATTATTTTTGTCACTTTATTTGGATGGACCTAAGAGAAGTATTTCATTGCACTTTTCAGACAAATTTTATCATTCTTAATTGCATTTTTATGACAAATTTCAGGTTTTCATTACACTTATCCCTTATTATAAAGTTCTCTACATAGTAAAGTTGTAATTGCTCTTATAATTTACAGCCCAATACTAATTGTTATAAGCAAATATTATACTATGTAACAAACTTGTAACACACTTATAATTAATATCGTAGCCAAACGCATTGGTAGGTGTCTATTGCAAAATTCCTCATCATCACAGCAATAGATTCTTCTTAAAGCTTGTCAAGTTTTTAAAAATTTGGTCAAGATAGTCAAGCAAAACTGTAAAGAACTTGTTTCAACGTAAATTAAGATTGTTCATAATCTAGCAAACACGCGTAAGGTCCGGGTACGAGTAAAGTGTATCATGGACCTTGGGTTGGGTCAACCGGTCCACCTCGCGGTGTGCACCGATTGGCTTATCCTTTCCACCGACGATATGCTCCTAGCCTTAACTAGCCGAGTCGTGCCTCCGGTGCTGTTACTTTGAAGAAATTAGAGTGCTCAAAACAAGCCTACGCTCTTCATACATTATCATGGGATAACAGTATAGGATTTCGATCTTATTGTGTTAGCCTTCGGGAGCGGAGTAACGATTAATAGGGACAATAAGGGGCATTCGTATTTCATAAGTAGTAGCTCAAAAGGCCAAAATAATATTCAAAAGGCCCATGGACAAGACCATCATCAATCCAAGCACAAAACTCATTTGCTGTGGAATAATAACAACAAAGGAAACCCGCGAAATAAATTCAACACTAAATTTACATGGCTCAATAAATGTAACACACATTCACAAGAAGAGCCGCAGAAAATTCGCTATAAAATCAAGTGGTACAATAGAGATTATATATATCAACGATTCATCAATACTTTGGTGTGTTTCCGAAATCACAATTAAATCACTTATCTTGCAGACTAGCCCTATTCCCACAAAACATTATAATCTAAACCATTAGAAGCACTCTCAATAGCTAAGAATGCTGATGTCTCTATTAGGTATGTTTAGCATAATCAGGAGAGGTAAAACACTCAAATACATATAAAACTTGTTCTAGAAGACCTCCTAGTTACATTCCGGGCACTCGGCTAATCTAGGTCATTGTCGATCACTCTCTAGATATACAAATTTTACATGAAGCCTCTCGGGTACTCAATCATTGGCTTGTGGCACCTAGGCTTTTTAGGTGCGTATCTCTCGTTAAGGGTGAGCGGTTTTAGGTTCCGTATAAGTTCTATATGGAATTTAGAACATACCCATGGGAACAAGTTTCTTATTTTTTGAAACCTGGAAACTACCATATATACCTCGAAACTTGAAACTTACCCTGTCATAGGTTCTAGGATCGGTTTTAAGGTCTACCCAGATTTCACTTGTATAATTAATTGACCAATTACAGTGAATCATCACATTTAATGACCACCACTGGCTGCTATGATCCATTGACCACAATTTATATTTAGACATGTGAAGAATATGAAACATTAACAATTTATAATATGAAAGCTCAGACTAGTGGTTCCAGATTATATACTCATCATCTAACGTCATGGAACACTGCAGGATCTTGTGAAAACATAGACCAAGAAACAAAAACACAAAAAACATGTTTAAAGTTTCAGGTTCCAAAAACCTATTTGTTAAAACAGGTTCCCTAATTTTTGAAACTTGAAACCTACAAATTCCTACTGGGTCAAGTTCTCAGGTTCCAAATTCTATTCTTGAACTATGCTCACCCCTACCTCTTGTCCCAAACTTCGTATTCCAAATTTTGGCCATTGCACAAATTTATTTGAGTCAAATTTTCATTAAAAAAAGCTCAAACTCGAAATATAATACGAATAAATTGGACATTCCATTCTTCAAAGAAAGAAACTCGACAAATTTTGCCAAACAAATAATTTTTAGTTATACAACATATACATTGGCTACCACAAACTTTTGTGGTTAATTTCACCTCTCTCAGCCCACCAAAAGATAATTATTCACATTAAGACTAGGTCATCCTTATAAGAAATTACTTACTATTGATATAATATAATGTTACGCGTCATTTATTTATGGGGTCCATAATCACCTTATGTACATGAAGTCCCAAATCCTAAATACATTTTTTGCAGATAGACTTTCTAAGAAGACATTAGAGTCAGATTCCTCATCCAACGTAAACTAATGATTTTAATATTTGAATTTTATTCGTGATTGGGTACTTCGATCTTGTTCCAAATGGATAAGTTCGTGACGCATCATGACTTCATCCTTTCTAAGTTGTAGAATGAAACCGCCATATAATCACGTCCAATTCGGGGACCACCATCTAAATCACTCAAGACAATTCAAAAGGGGCAACCAGAAAGAATTAATGAATAAGCTTTCATACTTTTCTTAACCACTCCCCATTTCTATTTTTTAATCTATACCTATCGAGAATCTCATACCATGACCTCACGTTGAATTTTCGCAAGAACCCAAATCTCCATGATGAGCAAGGCTCCAAAAGAGGTCGCTTTTGCAGGGTTAAAGGCGTGTGGAATTGGTTAACCGTCGGAATAGGATCTTGATCCTGAATGATTGCATCACGACACACCCTTCAGTCACTTTCTATCTTTTAAAATTGCCAAGCTAAACCAGCTTCTTCAGATCTAAACCGCGAAGAATAACAGTGAAAGCAAATTAAAATAGCTATTTACATGATCAGTGGAGGGAGGGACCCATCCGAGCATCCAGAGTGTTTACACCTTTATGAAAGGGAAACTTGCAGAAAAGGCAGCTCTTCTGGGGTTTTCCTTTCTACCGTGCTGATAAGACAGAATCTGTATACACATAAATATGGAACTTACACTTTGCACCCATGACAACTATTCTATATTGGTGCGCTATGTTCAACCATTATTTCTTCCTAAAATTAGACTAGTTCGGCTTAATAGAGGAGCCATGGTGATCCCCTTAGATCCGCTTGAATCCACAATAGCATAGAAAGTTACAGCTACATTGAATCTCGGGTTAATTCCAAAAAAAAAGCCCAAACTTTAGGTCGAGGGAAAATTTTAGCAAGAACCTTTTTTTGCCTCGTAAAAAAGCAGCAACTTTAGGTCAATGGATAATTTTTGCCTGAACTTTTTTTTGTCCTGTAAAAAAGAATCAACTTTAGGTCAAGTGACAATTCTAGCCCCAACTTTTTTTTTGTCTTGTAAAAAAACACTAACTTTCACTTAAATCCCAAATCTGGCCCCCATTGACTTAAAATCATTGATTATCTACCTTGAATATTCCACCTTAGCAATAAATCCACGTGGTTTACTGACTGGATTTAAAGCAATATTCATTATCTTATTCTCTAAGCCACAATTTGAAGAATAATGGTGAAACTATTTGTCTCATTTACTTTACCGGCAAGGCAAAAATATCTCTAGATTGAATCTCTTTAGCTAGACATAATTTGAAGTTGACCAGCGCCTGTCGACAGACGCCATGGACGAGATTCGCCAAGCTCACCACCATAACTTTCTTTCTCAAACAATGGTGAAAGTCAACGGGGGGCCAGATTTGGGATCATGGTAAAAGTTGGTGATTTTTTATGATACAAAAAAAAATTGGGGCTAGAATTGTCACTCCACCTAAAGTTTGTGCTTTTTTACGGGACAAAAAAAAGTTTATGACAGAATTGTCCCTCGACCTAATGTTGGTGCTTTTTTATGAGACAAAAAAAAGTTCGGGCCAGAATTGTCCCTTAACCTAAAGTTGGTGTTTTTTTTTGGAATTAGGCCATTGAATCTCACTCAAATTAGTCATAGTATATATGTTATGAAATTTCAAACCTTACGATGCAATATTCAAATTACAGAACATCAATATTGTTTTCTGCATATCATATCCAAAGAATCCTTGAATATAGATATCAACACTTTCCTTGCTCCTTTCAATTTCTCGTGCAAAAGGAACTTACATCTTCATTCCAACCAAAATGAAGTTTGAATCTCAAGAGAGGAAGAATTCCTTGGGAAAACCTATCCAATCTTTAATGGAGAAAGTTGTGATACAAGACACATTGTAGATGTGGCGATAAAATGCATGCCAACCTTGAAACGTTGGCCATATAGATCGTACTTATGATCGTACTTATGACTCAAATAACATTCCTTCCGGGTACAAGATTCCCTATGATAATACCTCGAAGTTGCTACTGTGGCTGGACCCTCCCTACCCTTAAATCAATAAAAGAATTGACTTCATTTAAATAAAAAATAATGCGGAGTCTAGCCTCTCATCACGAAGCAAGATACATGCATAATGAAGCTTTCTAGCTACAATCTAGATTGGCCTTTTGCAGGTTAGGTGCATGAATTCGCCTAATTTCTTCACCAACTTGGCTTTATTTTTACCTTTACTTGCAATTCAATAAACATGTAAAAGGAGGGGACAGGATACTTAATTGGTTAGTTTTTTGTACCTTTTTCCTGCACTACAAGTTGAAACCATAGTTGCTGAGGCACATCATTGAGACAGAAGAATGTGTGTCCTGAACATCTCTATCGCAATGAATGAGACAGACATTAGCGCACCCCGATTTGCAAAAAGAAAGAATCACCAAGAACAACACAATCACGAAGAACGTGCCCAAGTTGAGCACTGTACCGCCCTAGTAATTCTATGCCTGTGAACGTTGTCTAAGACTTCTGCAGATGACATGTTTTGGTTTTCTATGATTTGACCCCTATCACAGGTTTGTACATTCGCTTATCTTAAAAGGGAAAGAAATCTCTTTTGATGGGCATTTATAATAATCCCGTATTTACAAAATAGTTACGACTTGAGTACCATAATCGTAACCCTAATCCTACGTGTGGTCTAGACTTTTCTAGATGATGTGTCAGTTTTGTGTGGATATGACCTCTATCAATATATTGTACATAATTGCTTATACAAAAAAAAAAGGAAAGGTAATCGAAACATGTAGCATCTTAGGGATCAAATTCATCTGTACGAAACCCAAGTAGTGGTTTAGGTTCGTCAATTGTTCCCTAAGTGGCCCCGAAAAGCGGTAAATCAATGTCATCACGTTTTGTAGAACAAGTCAGGTTGAGATACAAACACGAAATCCGAGGGAAATATTTTCCCCACACTTTATCTTCTTCAGCCATTGCTGCTTTCAAACCCCAGAAGAAAAAAACATGTATAGGTGCGTGTGGGGGAACGATTCTGCGCGGAGAAGAGATGCATTGAACTTTGTCGGAAGAAAAGAGAGGCACCGACCTCCACTTCCGTCACCATTCATGACGGCAAGAACTTAATCTTCTTCAACCACAACTTAATTTTTGACATTTAAGGAAAAGCTACAGGAATAAGCAACCATCTCAAATGTGGAAAACAATACTGGAAGGGGCATTTCTAAATAATGACCACGTTGTTCTTCACATACCTACATACATATACGGCCTTCATTGTATTTCCTTTTCCTTATCTCTTTGGAATTTCCACTTAGAAGTCGCTTGAACGGTGGAGGGGGCTCTTTCAAGGACGGTGGTCGGTGTGGTCACGCGGTTCCTGGAATAGGATGTTTGCGGTTATGCGAAGGTAGTTGCAGCAGAATGAATGCAACCCAAAGGCATGCCCATGATTTCGTATTCCTCTTTTGTGTGGTCCAACTTGGAGGGGATAGAGATTCATTATTCCTCCCCATTTTTGCTGCGACCTGTGCTTTTTTTTTTTTTTCAATTACATCGAGCAGATGGGCCGATGTAGCTCGAGTTGTTAACCACCGGCGTGGCCACTTTTGGAAATGGGGCGGCCCCTCGAACCCGTCTTGGGAAAGAGAGGTTGATTGACGCCTCAAATTAGCCAAAGAAGAACGAGCAAGTATTTCCATTTCCTCCCATTTTATGATCGAGTGCTTAATTTTTTTTTTCAATCAAGTGCATCTATTGGTTGATGTGAGACTTCCGTTAAAATCGTGAAAGGAAAATGCTACATTGGATACTAACGTGGTAAATAGCTGCTAACTGTCCACATTACCATCTGACTTGGTTTCTCGAAATGATTCACGTCAACATATATGTATATTGAACGGCTAAGATTGTCATCCAAGTCAACACTATCTCTTTCCTCATCACCCAAAACCTAGATAGAGAGATGACGATCAGTGAGCGCGTGAGCGATTAGGGTTAACTTTTGCTAGACTAGCAAGCCACCTTGGTAGAGTCACATGACATGGCAGTTTATTTGACGAATGCCTCAAATTGAGCCAAATTGTAAAAGTTCAGTTACTTGAGTGAACAAAATCAAAATAGGTACTTAGATTGTAAAATAGACAAAAAAAAAAGAGTGCTTATGGGGTTATTATACAAGGGTAAAAGCCACCAAAAACCCTCAAATTATGCCTATTGTGACACATTTACCTTAAACTTTTTTTGTGTTACCAAAAATCCTAAACTTGTATCTGTGTGACACATTACCCTTCGGTAAAATTCCGTCAATGAGCACCATAAAAAATTTGCCTACGTGGACGCCAGAAAGTAAACGGTGTTGACATAGCGCCCACGTGGCTTCAATAAAATAAAAATAACGTTGTTTTGGTTGAAAATAATCCGACAAAACCTTGACAATAGAGAAATATGTCATAGTGAGCATAGTTTAGGGTTTTTGTTTGCTTTTCTTCTTATTCAAAAAAAATTACCATATAGTTGCATTTGTTTTGGTAACTTCACTTTGTATTTCAAGCCTCAATCTGAACCATTCATGTTTTGCTGTGAAGCAATGAATCATACGACGCAATATGCAAAAGAGATGAGGCCACGATAAAAATACTAGGCCCATGGATCACCTTTGCACGGCCCATTATGTACCCCCCATGGCCACATGATCTGAGTGCTTATCCTAGAGCGTGAGATTCAATATTTAGCCCTCAGTAGATGCTGTAAGAATTAAGCATGTCCTGGGAATCAATCACTCGAACTATAGCTGGATTCACCTAACTTTGGGAATTTGAGTCGGATTCGAATAGCTCGTGTTCTTGATCTAATGGAGCGCATACTCAGAAATGCTTGGCTCAAATAGCTCACAAGCCTAGTCAAGTAATTCATGTAACTCGGGCAAAGAACAACCTTCTCTGAATTACGCAAAATAGGCTCGGGCCTTGCATTTACCTTGTTGGGAACTGAACCACTTACCCACCCATGATGGGTTTGCGGGTGAGAGAGACCTCGGCTTTGTCGGCGACGCGACGGTGGTCACCGTTGAACCATTGATGTCGGATCCACCAAGGGCAACTCATCAACGGTGGCTAAGGGCGCGAATGGTAACCATTTTGTTCCAAAAATCAAATTCTTACCAGAAATTGATTTCTGGAATTCTTGCCAAAAATTGATTTCTGGAGGAGCAATCTGTTTGATAAAATATGACTAATTCTACTCTAAAAATTGATTTCTGGAAAAAATTTAAATTTCACTCAAAGTGGGTGGCCACAGGTATTCTAAGCCATTCTGTGAAGTTTTAAAATTTTTTATTTTTTGATTTTTTTGGCACCTCAAAAAAATTAAATTTCACTCAAAGTGGGTAACCAAAGGTATTCTAACCCATTTTGTGAAGTTTTGAAATTTTTTGATTTTTTTTTGCCACCTCAAAAAAATTAAATTTCACTCAAAATGGGTGGCCATATGTATTCTTAAGCCATTCTATGAAGTTTTGAAATTTTTGATTTTTTTTGGGCACTTCAAAAAATTTAAATTTCACTCAAAGTTGGTGGCCACAAGTATTCTAAGTCATTCTGTGAAGTTTTGAAATTTTTGATTTTTTGATATTTTTGGACACCTAAAAAAATTTAAATTTCACTCAAGAGTAGCTACATGTGTTTTAAGCCATTCTATGAAGTTTTGAAATTTTTTATTTTTTATTTTATATTTTTTGAAAATAATTCACCAAATTTTTTATTTTCCCGAAATCTGACTTTTTTTTATTTTCTGGAAATTTTTGTGAATTTTTCTGGAATTTTTCAATTTTTATGCATTTTCTGGAAAAAAAAATTAGTGAGATCTCAAAATGTGTTGTAAAGGCCACGAAAAAGAGAGAAAAGAGGGAGAATGCATTCTGGAAGAGAGAAGCTACAAAAAGTAGCTTCTCTTTTTCTTGCCCAAAACTCATTCTGGAATAAAAACTGCATTCTAGAATTAAGAATGCATTCTGAAATCAAGTATTTTTAACAAACGCATTTTTATTCCAGAATGCAAAAATTACTCCATAATGCATTCCGGAAATTTTTTAACAAGCGCATTTCTGTTCCGGAATGCATTTTGGAGCAGAATTTCTGCTCCATAATGGATTTCATGCGCGCCTTAAGGGAACTGTGAAGAAGAATAAGAAAGGGAGGAAGAAAAAAGAAACAGAGATTTTAGAAAATTAGATAAATATACCATATTAGAAGATATGGCACGAGAAAGTTTGTCACGCAACTAGCCGTTCATTGCGCAAGTGGTTGTTCTTTACATGAGTGGTTATTTGCCGCGGTTGGCCCTTTTTTTGTGTTGCGTAATGAACGATTTGACTCCAAAATAATATCACCTAGTCGAGTCTTAGTAAATGTGGTTATTTACTTGAATTTTGATATCGCTTTTCGTTTAATTAATAGGATTTCTACTTCGTCGGCTCAAGTAACCTTTATTATTTGGTTTTGGGCATTTTTAGGTAAATGGTGCTTATCTCTTTTTTGAATTTGTGAACTCATGTTTTGAAAATAACAAAAATATTATGAGTTATGAAAAACATAGCATATCATGATATTCATATAAAAGGAAAAGGATGTTTAGAGCATATATGTTGCGTAAATTCGGATCAAGCATTTACTACCCTTTTAATTATTCTGAAATGGTATGCTAACGCATTTCTAGAAAATAGTGTATGAGTCGATTAATTGTGAAATATTTCGAGAAATGCTTTATAAAACGAATAGCAAAAGGCTATATGTATTGATTTGTGAAGCTGGTTTATGAAATGTATTTATGTGTTTTGGTTTGTGAAACCAATTTGTAATGTGGATTATTTGAAGATGACGGTTTGATGCTCATTATCGATATGAACCTAGTGAGGGGTTTATGGGTATGCATATTATTCGGATATCCTTCTAAGCAAAGCCATCACCTAATAATAAGTGTAGACCTTGCCAAGGGATGAATCTTGGTCACTCTCTTACCAGGCATTATGTTGTGACCATGATTAGATATTAAGCATGAGAATGATCAATGAAATGGAATATTGATGTGTGATTCATTGTTGTTGATTTAAATGAGTATTTCTTATACGTATAAAGTTTGGTTGAAAAGACATAAGGGTGCATTTGGTAATTGGCCAAATAGTAACTAATTCTATTCTTTTGTTCTCAGAATCAGTTTTAGAATAAAAATCCGTTTGGTAAATGTTTTGTTCCCAGGCACAAATTTGGATCCCAGAATCAGTTTTGGAACAGAATTAAGAAACAAAAAAAAGTTGCTTCTTGATTTCGGGAATAAGAATGAGAAATAGAAAAGATTTTCTTTTTATTTTTCTTCTTTCCTATTCTTCTTCTTGGCCATGGCCGGGTCACCGGTGACCGGCGGCCGGCCACAGGCCAGGGCACGCGACTAGCGGCCGGCCACAGGCCAAGGTCGGCGAGGGCATTGCGGCCCTTGCCCAAGCTGCGAGGGTCTAGGCCGCGAGCCTTGAGGGCAGGTAATGGCCGGCGAGGGCCACCCTAGCCGCTCGCGGCCTGGGCGAGGGCCGCCCTGGCCCGATTCGGCGAGGGCCGTGATGCCCTCGCCGGCTGGTCGCCGGCCATGGCTAAGAAGGAGAAGAAGAAAAAAAGAAAATAGAAAGAAATAAATATTAAAATATTTTTAAAATATTATTAATAAAAAGAAATTTTGTCCGGTTATCAAACGCATTTCTGTTCTTTTTCTAATTTAGGAAAGTAAATTTTGGGAACGCCTTCAAATGCTTAGAAATTATTTTCGGGAACAAAATAAAAAAAATCATTTCTGAGCAAAAATTATTTTCGGGAACAGAATGATTACCAAACGCACCCTAACTCTTTTTTGTTATTGTATGCATATTTTGTACTGAGTTTGAGAATAATGGGTTTCAGATATTGCTTTGTAAATATGCATGGTGAGTGCTCGATCTATTTAGAAGAGATATATAGTACTTATTGAATTGTGATTGCTCATGGTTTTCATCTTAAATGTTTTTCCAATTCTTCCGCTAGCGATAGGTACGGCAAGGGCACTATCAACAGGGAATTTTTAATAATTGGATTTTTAGGTGTGAGCTTAGCTAGTTGTATGTGTTTAAAAAGATAATTGTCGAGTTAGCTGAGTTCTGATGTGTATATATACTTTTTATGGATTATAAAAACTCTGATATTGTAACCAACTTATTGATTTATCACACACACACACATATATATAAGGAGATATATATTTTAACAATAGGTTGACGTTGGTTTTTGTTTGAGGCCGCATCCTTCGGGTAGGGGGATGGCCGTGTCATTGTCCAATACTTGTAGGAATCGGGGTGTGACACAATCAATAGAGGCAGTTTTGATATATGATATGCCTGCACTAAAGGCCATCTTTTCTTTTCTTTTTTCTCCCGGGACATAGAATCAAATAATTAGAACTTAAATGCATGCAGGGCCAGCATCAAATACATAAACTTTGTGCAAGCTGTGTATACTATTAATATCTTGCACGATTTGGTCATGCTAGAAGCTGACTTATTCGGTTGTTCTGTTTGTCGGACAGTTTGCCTGTCTCTTTTGGAGATACAGACATGGTTTTCCATCTTGTTCCGAGGAGCGGAACCGAGGCAGAGAGAGCGAGCAAGTTAGCAGCAGCAACCCTGACTAGGTGCGTTGGGTTTGGGCTTGGGCTCGACTATCAGGTCGGGTTCGGCCTTGGGCTTGTCTTTCAGACTCGGAACCTCCAGTATCTGTGCAAGAAACCAAACACCTCAAGTCACAATAGGTAACGCAACTCTGGGGAAATGCTGTGATCAACAACTACCGTCATTTGTCATACTCCCAAAAGGTGAGCAAATGTAATCAAGAGCTCGGAACATTGGACGACTACGATACATGAGTCCGCTGCAACGCATTCTTAACCATAAGATATGCCTTTAATACCTTTAAGGCAAGCTGTTCAAAGCATTTTTCGACATTTTCTCTAGTTTTAGCACTGCATTCGTTGAACAGACATCCGAGCTCTCCAGCAAGAGCAACTGCCTCCTCCTTTGTTACCGCTCTCTCTGAATCCTGGAATCATGACACGATCAACACATCAGTACTAGTAGATCCTTTTCCATATGCAGTGAACTCTGTTCAGCTGATGAGAATAAAACTATGCACTGTCATCATATTCAAGGAGCATTGGCATGTTGCACCAACAGAAAACTTAGTTGTCATAGACATGTCGTGGTGATCTCTCTACTGCAAGGAGGATAAGAAAGATGAAATCTCTTTAGGATTTTTTTTTGACAGAAATGGAGTGGACAAAAAACTCTTCAAGCGTAAGTCGAAGTATATTGCGATAATATTTCAGAGAAAGTTGACATAGCATGCTGCATAGACAAAGCGTCACATTAGTTTCCATCATGAGCCGTGTGCTTTCCACTTGTCTTTAGCAGAGCAGCAGAGCAACTGCCATTGAAATCCTTTCAAAAGTTGAGCTGCTCAACTAAAAGTTTTCCAAGGGAAGCACCTTGGATGAAAGAAAATTAAAAGTTGAATGATTATCAGGAAGAAATGCTGCAGAAAAGAAAGAAGATAGCATATTTGGAGCTAGCACAGGGCTGACATTTGGCTGAACCATATAATATTCGCTTCGAGGAAAGGTTAAACTTAGCTTTGTCAAGGAGCTATGGTCCAAGGCATAAAAAACTAGCACGGGTAAAAATTCTTACACGATCAAGTTTGTTTCCCACAAGCATCTTAACGCAGTCTTGAGTAGTGGAGTAGAGCTCAACTTCTTTTGCCCACAGATCAGACAAGTTTGTAAGTGTTTCTCTTCTCGTCACGTCATACACTAATACATGTGAAACCAGGGAACGAACTTGAGTTAGACATTGAAATAAGGTAAGGTGATAAAAATTGATTAGATCAACTTTCACAAGGGTGTTACAGGTACAGATCAATTCAAGAAACCCACTCAGAAGGTTGATCAATAGTTTATACGATGAAGAGAAAAACACTGGAATATGCAACTGTCTGCTGGTGACCACGATTGAAGGAGGATTGGACTTCAATGAAAGACTCGTATGGTCAGTCATAACCTCCTCTTGCTTTGGCCTATGATGTCTGACACTGTCTCCCTCTTCTGTTACTGTTTTTTTTTTAGATAATGACACAAACAGTCCTGAACTTTGGCCCAATGTGCAATTTGGTCCCTGAACTTTTAATTTGTTCAATGTAATCCCTGAACTTTAAGCTAATGTTCAATGTGGTCCCTGAACTTTTAATTTGTTCAATGTTATCCCTGAACTTTTGGTAAATGTTCAATTTAGTCCCTGAACTATATGAAAATATTCAATGTAGTCCCTCAACTTGAATTAATGGAAAGGATTGCATTAAACATTTTCATATAGTTCAGGGACTGAATTGAACATGTACCAAAAGTTCAGGGATGACATTGAACAAATTAAAAGTTTAGGGATCACATTGCACATTAGATTAAAGTTTATGGACTGCATTGAACAAATTAAAAGTTCATGGACTATTTGTGTCATTTTCCCTTTTTTTTTTTCTAAATGAAACTTCTGTGCTGACCCAGTCATCTCAACAAACTTGCTGCATCTTAATTGGGAACGCTTAAAGCTCTTCTTAATTAGTACCACTGACCCCTTAAGTATTCCTTACTGTCATCGAATCAATTGTCGGATTGCGACTTTGTGAGGTAATTTCTAATCTGAATGACCAGTGGAACTTATTTTCCAAGAACTAGCCAAGTGAATAACCAACAGAAGCTGTTTATGCTACTATCTTGAACTGGCTACAGAAAAAGTTGCACGCATGAACTAGGATGAAGCCTCGCAAGCATATAGACTAACTAGCCAACTGAACCAAAAGATGCTTCCAAGAATATAAACAGGATCCGGCGCAAAGAGAAGTGCAACAATATGCATCTACACTTAAATGTACTCATATGTGCGTTGCATTTGAGAGCTAATTGACTCATGAATTAAGATGTGACAGTTCTTCAGTGAGGAATGTGAGGAATGTGAAGAAGTCTCGGTAACAATTAGCATATGACAGTGACCTACCAAAGGAGCAAATTATGTCCTATGAGTGCTTCTAAATATTCAGTTGGACATTGATGGCCAAAAAGGAAAAAAATCAGTTGACGATTGACATAGTTGCATACCAAGCATGATGCCATGGGCGTCTCGGTAGAAGGAGCTTGTCAACGTTCTAAACCTCTCCTGTCCAGCTGCATAAGTAGTTTCTAGTAAATGCACCAAAAAAGTACCAGATAGCACTGTGGATATATCACTAAGCTGATTAATATTAGAGAAGACAACAAAAAGAAAGTCGGGCCAATCTCAAAAGTGGAATCTCGTCTAGCATGTGAGCATCTTCTAACTCCGCAGAGCACAAGTCTTAGGTGTTGTATATGGAGAATGACCAAGAATCCTACAAACTTAAGCATGGCTCGACTCACTAAATAGTAAACACAAGCTCAAAGTGACTCCTGATAGGATGATGGAGGCCTAGGAAACGTACGATGGGATCTTAGGTTAGAGATTTTAGTGCCTGTGCTTGTTTAAAGCAATATTCAGCAGTTGATAAGAAAGAAATCTGATCAAGATACATACCAAATGAGAAACCGATAGAGTTAAAAGATACATGCATGCAATAAAACAAAAATTTCATTTGAACAACTCAAGGTAACAGGCACTTGCCCCTCTCTTGTATTGGGAATTTCTCTCTGCTTGATCATGACATTCACTGTTTGATCACCCGTGAATTCTTGTTATTGCCAGAACCAAATTTCTAACAAAAAATTTTCTCATTCTCCACTTCACTCAGACTCGAGAGGAGAAAACATAATTATCCTTACAACAGAGAAAATATTACCAGTGTCCCATATTGTGAGCTTTAGTCTCTTCCCACCAACTGTTAGATGCTTGATCTTAATATCCACTCCTGCAGATGTTTCATTGAAATCAACAAACGGACAATATACTAAAATGCTAGCCATCAATGTTCAAGTGATGCTTTCTCATCATTATAACCATAATAAAGGCACGAATTAGAGTACCAATTGTTGGGGCAATGGTCTCTGGAGAAGCAGAGATGAAACTGAGAATAAGACTGCTTTTGCCAACCCCAGAATCTCCGATCAGCAATATTTTGAATGACAAATCGTAATTGCTGCCCTGGCCCGAAGAAGAACCCATTTGATCAGAACCCGACGGTGATGTTACGCCCTGTAAATTCCTCTATCAATTTATAGTATGACTGTATATGTTTCTCATGCAAACCTCTGCTTCTTTGCTATATATAATATCTTTGTTTCTTTAGGGAAAGTACAGAGACAAAGTACTGAAATGAGGAAGAGGAGAATAAGGCAGGGACGTGTAAAGGAAGATAAAAAGGAAAGCAAAGTGGGCATCGAATGTGTTAAAGAGAGAGAGAGAGGAACCAAACAAAGGTAAATGGCCAATTGAGACGACCACCCGACCTCGTTAACGCGTTATTCTTTCCTTTGGCTCTTTCCTTTTCATACTATGGCTAAATGGTGGATAGATACCAACCTTCCAAGACTCATGTACGTTTTTGCAGGATTCGCATAGCCTTTCGGTACATGATTTCTTATAATGCAATTGTATTTACTCAGCGCGTAGGTACCGCACTATACTGAGGTCATGCGGAGCTCTATCCATGAAATGGCAAACGGAGAGTTATCAGTTCGGAGGAGAGCCAGAGGACAGTTTTAAGGGAGGGGATTTTGTTTGTGCCTTAGACGCAACAACCCAATTGCAAGAGCTGAAATCTACCAACTAAGCTATATCTCTCGAGCCAAGTGGAGCATGCGGGATTGAGTCAAATGCTTCTTCTATTCTTTTCTTTTCCTTAGTGCAGCTGGGGCATCCTAAACTTGAACTAGAGACCTAACCCCTAAAGTAAATCATCGCACCTATGGTCCAACCAATTGGGAGAGAATCAATAGATTCCTTTTCGGGAACAATTCCTCCTTTTCAAATGCAGCATACAACTCTCCATTGTACTACGCACTCCAAGTACTACTAAGCTATCGATCAAGGAAATTTTAAGTATCCAATGTGACCGCCATTATCGTATTTTAAAGATTGAACTATCTATGTGAAGCTCGCGTCAGGTTGAGTCATGTGGTGCGCTCACGTGCAAGCCTTACCTAGCTATTTAGTTTTAATGGTCACTTTAGCAAATCTCTAGTTCTATGCATATTTTGGAATAAATTTCTAATCAACATATATTCATATATTCTTATGCATATTCTCAAGCATAAGTATGCATATTTTGCTAATAAAATGTTTAAAATAATTGTTAATGTGTATATAGATTCTATTGTGAAATACCCACTATTTTATATGTTAAAATTTTTTTTTGTATGACAAGGTTTGGAAAGGGTTTACAATGTAGGAGTATCCATCTCATATTTGACTCATATTTAATAAATAAAATATTAAAATATCAATCTCGTATTGAGCTCATACTTGATCGACAAATGAGCTTTACCCAGTTATTTATTTATTATAGTCCCTTTAGCATATCTTTAATTCGTATGCATATTTTGGTAATAAGTTTCTAATCAATATATTTTGGTAATCAATGATTAAAAATAGTTGTTAATGTGTGTGTGCGTGTATTCTATCGTGAAATACATTCATTTTATATTTTTATAAATAAGGTTTTGAAAGATTTTGTCAATGTAGGGATACCTATCTCATATTTGACTCATACTTAATATATAATACATTAAAACACCAATCTCACATCGCGCTCATATTTGACAAATAAATAATGTTGAAATCACATTTGAGAAATAATAGTATTAGATAGTCAATCTCATATTGGACACGTATTTGACAAATAGATATAAATAGATCAATAAGAGAACCCATCATCACCAAAAATTATATAAAATGCTATACAATTAAATAAATATAATCAAATTACTCGCCATAGAAGGAAAAGAAAAGTACATGATTAGAGGGTTCTAATATATGACTACGTATATTTCAGCAATGAGTATAATGAAATGTATACTAAGTGATGACTGTTACAATTGAAAAGTTGTATGAATACCTATTATGAAGAACTATTTTTCATATTTCAAAAGTAAATGATATTAATTATTCAGATTTTGGTTGAAAGATTGAAATAGATTTCAAGTAATTAACTGTCATTTAATGGATGAAAATGGGAGAATTTTGAATCCCAAGTCATACAGTAACATTGGTTTCAATTCATTCATTTTGAATTGGTATTTTCTCCATCATAATTATTTTGAAAAAAATATTCCCCAAGAAAAATAATATGACATGATAACCCATATTTAACCAATAATCATATAATATGTAATAAACCTATGCTAAAGAAGATGCTCACTACGAGTTGAACAATGTAAGAAAATCTTCTATAACATGATAGTCTATGTTTGCCCAATAGAATTTATCAGTGGACTAATACAAAATTTAGCCATCATAAAAAACTACATTACATGCTTTACAAATAAATGAAATTAGAAAATAAATAATCAACTATTAGCAAAATAATAGGAAAAAATTATTCATTATTTTGAAAAGTATGTACAAAAAAAAGGTATATGTTTAAAGGGTAAAATTACATCGTTGTGAAAATATCAATTACAAATATAAGGACGTGCATAAATATTGATAACTCTTGTGGGTAAAACATTACATCTGGTAAAACAAAGTCCTAAATTTGGTAAAGTTCCTATCACTTCACAGTGGATAAGAACAAAGTAAGTTGAATTAATATGATAAGTCCCCCTAGGATTCGAGAAGAAGGAAAAGAAAAACGGAACGAAACGAAATGAGGCCTTTCTAGCTCTAGTTTGAGATGAGCTTCACCCAATTATGTCTGTATGGATATCCATTTGATAGAGCATTTTCGCTCTAATTAAAATATAAATGATATCGAAATTATTTGAAATTATTTGAAATTACCTAAATAAGATGATAATACATATTGTACGTGTAAAGGAAAATTAGCTAACCAACAATAAATCACTCTTCAGCACAAATAGTTTACTGAAGAAGTCAATTAATTTACAAGGTTACGAAAAACTCTAAACTGGTACACATATGATAAATTTACCCAAAATTAATTTTTTGACCATAAAAAACCCTGAACTAATACACATGTGACAAATTTACCCTCTGTTAATTTTTGTTAAATTTTACCGTCAAATTGTTGAGTTGGATGATACGTGGCAATTGATAAATGTACCAGTTTGGGGTTATACTTCTCTGTCTATCACGGGTTTACCAATTTGTGATTTTTGTGATATTAATCCAATCTTTTTTTTCGAAATATTAATCCAATTTAACGAAGGGTAAATTTGATATAAGTGTACCGATTTAGGGTTTTTGGTGGTCAAAAAATTAGTTCAAGGTAAATTTGTCATAAGTGTACATTTTCTTCACGTGGTTAAGCTGGTCTTTAATTGAAGAGTTAATATCAAGAAAAACCCTAGACTGTCTACACCCGTGACAAATTTACTGCAAATTAATTTTTTGACCATAAAAAATCCCAAACTGGTACACTTGTGATAGATTTACCCTAAACTAATTTTTAATCACCAAAAACCTTAAACTAGTACATTTGTGACAAATTTACCCTCCGTTAAATTGGATCAATATCACGAAAAATCACAAAATGATACACATATGACAGACGGAGGGTAAAACCTAAAACCGGTACACCCGTCAACTGTCACGTGTCATCCAACTCATAAATTTGACAGTAAAATTTAATGAAAACTAACAGATGGTAAAATTATCATAGGTGTACAAGTTTGAGGTTTTTCGTCATCAAAAAATTAGTTTTGAGTAAATTTGTCATAAGTGTACCAATTTTGGGGTTTTTCGTTATATTAACCATTTATTGAATTAATATGTTAAGTTAGATAAATGGAAGTGCTAGAAAGATAGAGGGGGGCATTTTGCGTATTTTTCTTAAATTTGATTTTACGGACACACACACACACATATATATATAATCAAGTAGAGTTGCCTTGCGTTACAGTTTCATTAACAAATATATAGAAACGTAAACGAGCATTCGAACTTGTTAAATGGCCTTCTTAAAGGTCGAAGATCCGTGCACAACGTTCGCCTTAAGTACGGAAAACTTCTCGTCCGTACCGTAACTTGAAGGCATGCCTCGGTTAGCAATTTCCAATAATCAATTAATTAATTATCAGTTAGGTTTTATTTTCTTTTCTTTTTGTGAGGGCCGTAGCATGACGGCATCACTCGGTTAACAATTTCCTATAATCAATTAATTATTTACTTATCAGTTCGGTTTTATTTTCTTTTCTTTTGGGTAAGGGAATTGGGTGAGATAGGGTGGAGATATTTAGTTTTAGATGTGGAGTTTAACTCTCACGCTATGTAAAAAGGAAGAGTGGCTCCGTTTATTTTGCCAAAAAATGAATGATTTGAAAAATATTTTCTAAAAAGTAATCGTTTGTATTGCCAATGAAAAATGTTTTAATTATTGACATTGAAAATATAAGCGATTCAAGCGATCTTTTTTGAAAAATATTTTTCAAATTATTCGTTTTTTTCGCGAAAAAAAACGCATCCTCGAGAGAGAGTAGAGAGTTAGGCTGCGAATAATAACTATTCTATTTTTTTGTTTTTCTATTTTTCTGTTTCCGGGAAAAGGTTTGGAACAGAAATCCAATTTCTAATGCAAATTTATTTTTCTATTTCTAGAACAAATTTTGATTTCAGAAATAGGTTTGGAACAAAAATGAGAAGTACAAATTTTCTACTTTTATATTTTTGGAACAAAAATGAGAAATAAAAATTTTTCTCATCGCTCGCCCTCGCTACTATCCGATTGCTAGAGGTGTCAAAATGGGTATTAAACCCATATATGACCCATTTAAAAATAAATGGATCATATATGAATCACTTTAATTTTAAAATGTCAACCTTAAATGGGTTTTAAACTTTAAAGCTTGAAGATAAATGGATCTAAATGGGTTGAGTTTGGAACCTATTTCCAATCCACCCACTAGACCCATCCACACACTATCTCCCTCTTTATAAAAATGTTTAAAAAAAATCGAAATTTAATTATTTTTATTTTTTTCTCTTTTTCTTTTATTTTTTTCTTTTTTCTTTTCTTTTCTTTCTTTTTCTTTCTTTTTTTTATTTCGGCCGATGGTCGGCCACCGGGGCGGGACGACCTCGCCGGAGGTCGGCGAAGCTCGAGCTGGCCGGCCTCGCCGATTTGGCGAGCCTCGAGCTCGCCCGATTCCGGCGAGCTCGAGGCTCGCCCAATTTCGGCGAGCTCGAGGCCTCGCCGGCCTGTGGTAAGGCTCCAGCCTCGCCGATCTGGTGAGACTCGAGCTCACTGGATCTGGCGAGGTGGAGCCTCGCCGATCTGGCGAGCCTCGAGCTCGCCCGATTCCGGCGAGCTCGAGGCTCGCCCGATTCTGGCAAGGTCGAGGCCTCGCCGACCTGTGGCGAGGCTCCTGCCTTGCCGATCTGGCGAGACTCGAGCTCGCTGGCCTCAGGCGAGCTTGACCTCACCGGATCTGGCGAGGTGGAGCCTCGCCCGAGGCTAACAAGGCTCGGCTCTCCGGAATCGGGCGAGCTGGAGCCTCACCAGATCGGCGAGAATGAGCTTCGCAGGCCTCCGGAGAGCTTGTCCTTGCCTGTGGTCAATCGCCGGCCATGGCGGCTGGTGATCGGCCAAAAATAAAGGAAAAAGAAAAAAAGAAAAAATAATTAAAAATTCGATTTAAAAAATAAAAAAATATTAATATTATTAAAATGAATGCACAAAGTAAAATCAAATCAGATTTTATATATCGAAAAATATTTTCTACTTTATTTTCAGGTTTCAGCCAAACATCAGAAATTTTTTTATTTTCTTGGATAATGATTTGATGGAAAATATTTTCTAGAAATGTTGTATTTTTCGTAAAACAAACGGAACTCAATTTTAAAAAAAATTATAAAAAATTTTCACTAGCTTTGTATTGCATAAAATATTTTAGCAGTATAATTTTAAAAAAAATCATAAGAAACAAATATTCCTAGATTAGGTTAAATATAAAAGTGTTTTAGCAATATGGGTCGGGTCGGGATATTTACACTACGAATAAAATGGGTCATAAACGGATTAATGGGTCAATTTGGATCGGACCATTTATGACCCGATCCAAACCCGACCTGACCCGCTCGTTTAACAGGTCTACCGATCGCCCACCCGCCGCCCGCCTTTTGTTTGCCGCCTCTGGCCATCCGCCGGTTGTCATCCCTAGCCGCCGACCGCCATGGGCCGCCACCCGCCTGCCTCGCGCTGCCGGCCACCACCTCCCGCCATCGCCCTCCTCCTACGGCCATCCGCCTCTTGCCACCGGCTGTCGCCTGTCTCCCGCCGTTGCCTAACGCCGGCCACCTCTTGCCACCGTCCTCCGCATTAGCCGTGCTGCCGTCCGCTGCCGCCTCCTATCGTTCGCCACTCACCCGTCGATCGCCCGAGAGAGAAATTTTATGCCGTTATTAAACGGATTTTTGTTTCGGGAACAGAAATTTTGTGTCGTTATCAAACGCGTATTTTTTATCAGAAACTTATCAATTAAATGGAAATAGAGAAATTAGAAATTGATTTTTGAAACAGAAAAGTTGTCATTCGTGCCCTTAGAGTAGGACAGAAAAAAAGAAAAAAAGAAGAAGACAAAATCGAAACTAAAAACCCAGCGGATCCGAACATAAATCAAGCGGATAACCCGAAACAATTCGGACCTCCTAGGTCCTGACAGGCCCAGCCCATCCGGCAACGCCAATCAGTAAACTCGATTAGCTTTCGGCCGACCAGATAGATAGAGAGAGAGAGAGAGAGAGAGAGGAGGGAAGAAGAAGAAGAAGAAGAAGAAGAGGAGGAGGAGGAGGAGGAGGAAGAAGAAGCCCTCGGGAAGAGAGTGCGAGAGGCTCGACCGCGAAGATGGATCGGGAATGGGGTTCGAAGCCCGGAAGCGGAGGCGCCGCCTCCGCCCAGAACGAAGCCATCGACCGCCGCGAGCGTCTCCGCCGCCTTGCCCTCGAGACCATCGATCTCGCCAAGGACCCCTATTTCATGCGCAACCACCTCGGCAGGTGAGCTCCTTCGATTCGGACGCAATAATCATCCATCTCCAGAACTGGGGTTTTGGGTCAATTTGATGTTTGACGGGGGGCGGTGGTTTGTTTGGGTTTCTGCAGCTACGAGTGTAAGCTGTGCTTGACCCTGCACAACAACGAGGGGAACTACCTGGCGCACACGCAAGGGAAGAGGCATCAGACCAACTTGGCTAAGAGAGCGGCTCGTGAGGCTAAGGATGCTCCTGCTCAGCCTCAGCCCAACAAGCGAAAGGTTAACGTTCGCAAGACAGGTGAGAGTTATGCTCTTCCGCTTCTCCTTGCGAAGATTTGGCATTTATGTGGAATCCGCTCTAGGATCTAGGTTGGTTATTTTGTGTGGAGCTTCATATTATTCGTACTGCTTAGTGAGAGTTATGGTTGAAATTTTGTGGAGTGTTGTGGGGCGTTGGCGAATTGTTGGGCGCCTTCTCTCTATCGTAGCTGATGTTGGAGCAGCTGAGAGAATCTCTTTTGCTGATATTTGGTAGACATTTGAATGAGGATTCGACTGTACTGCGCGGGATAGTCTAATTTCTTCATGCTTTTTTATATTGATCACATTGGCAGCTATCTATCGACTCAAGGTGAAAATTTTCTTCGTTTTTTTGTCGGCTCTGCTTGTTTCATTGAAAATGATTATTAGAAAAAAAAAATTGTTCATCTTATTATGGCGTTTGATCCTGGAAAATTAGTTGGTCTAAGTAAAATACTCTTCATCAAGAGGAAAAGCCACACCCGGAACTGAGGAAAAGGACTTCAGATCTTAAAATTCGGAAATCATTTTTCACTTTCACCATCACAGACGAGTTCATCATCTCTCTTCTCTTCTCTGCAAACATGCACCATCATCATCCTCCCTTTACATAACATAGATCCGCCGCATTACCACCACTTTCATCGTCATCGACCGCCACCATCGATTATGAAACAGAACCAAATCGCCGCTACCACCGGCCACTCCTGCTTCACAGCCATCCCCAGCCAAAGTAATCAACACCACCACAGACTCCATGACCAACACCATTCATGACTGGAAAACATTTAAAAAAGGATGACGAGAAAGTTCACCTATGAAAGCGTCGAGTATTAAAAAAATGGAGGAAAGAGGGGCTACTGGAGCTTTTCTGCCCCTCTTGCCCCCATCTGACCGGTGTCCCTTTTCTCATCATGGCGGTGAATGAGATGTAGGTGTTGTGTTTCATTGTGTCTGATGGAGAAGAATGGGAAGAGGATAGAATCAAATAGAATAGGAGGAGGAGTAAGCTACTAAGCTGAACCACAAAAGTGGAAGAATTAGTTGGCCCAAACATATTCGAAGCCTATGATTAGAAAATGATTTCTAATTTTCAATTCCAAATGGCAGAGAATTATTTCCAGCTCATTTTCAAGTTTCAACCCAATGCCAGAAAATGCTATCACTTTCCTTGATATTATTTTCAGAATACACTATGTTTTCTGCGAAATAAAGGAAGCTTGGGACCTCTTCAATTAACATCGAAGTGGACTTTTCTTAGTTGTTTAGGGGATGAATTTAAATTTTTAAAATAGGGCATTGGAGAGAGTTGTCTTTGAGGACAAAAGTTGATAGTGATGAGAAAAGATGAATGCTGGTCTACCTAATTGCTGGTTCATGATAGGTGTTTGTTCAGTGATAAGTAGATCTCCCAGATTTTTTGGCAAAGGCATTGAAGATTTTCTATTATATTATCGGTGAGTTGTTATGGAATTGTTGGTGGTAGAACATGTTAATAGGATCAGGTGCTGAGTAGCAATTTCACTTGATCTGAGAAAAGTTGGTTGCTTGTATCTGATTTTCGCTTTAGTTTGCTAGTTTTCTTTGCCTACTCTTGGGACTTAAAATCACTGAGTAGTGGGGCTGTCAAGATTATAATTGATGACTAATTAAATGTCTCTCTGGCCTGCAGTTAAGATTGGTAGACCTGGGTACAGGGTGACAAAACAATTTGATCCAGAAACAAAGCAAAGATCCCTTCTCTTCCAGGTGATTCTTTCTTTTCAAACGTCAAGACTTTTAATTATGTTTTATCATCAGTTAGGGTAGCTATTTTTGGGTTAGGTTGATTGGTGGTAGCTGATACTCATAGTAGCATTTTGCTGATATACAGATTGAATATCCTGAGATAGAGGATCTTTCAAAGCCAAGACATCGTTTCATGTCATCTTATGAGCAGGTATGCTATACATTGCTGATTTCGGTGCTTCCCATGTTCCCTATGCACTGAAACAAAATAAGAAAAAGGAGAGGAAAAAGACAGTGTAGTAGAAATTAAAAGAACCAGTCATGTGCTATAAGATTAAGAAATTATTGCAGTAAAACTTGAGTAGCTTTCTTTGTCCAAAGAGGTGATTAGTTTTTCTTCTTTTATGCAGAGAATCCAACCTTTTGATAAGAGATATCAATATCTTCTCTTTGCGGCAGAACCTTATGAGATTATTGCTTTCAAGGTATATTAGCAGCGCCAAGGTGTCCATTTTCTTGCTTCCTTTGATTTCCATGCACATTCACCAGTAAATTCCATCTGAATGTAGGTTCCTAGCACAGAGATTGACAAATCAACTCCGAAGTTCTTCTCACATTGGGATCCGGATTCAAAGATGTTCACGGTTTGCCCTTCCTATCTTCCTCTATACATGTTTAAACAACTTTTGATAGTATAGTTGTAAATATTGTGTTGCTCGACAGATTTGTCTTCCTTGCCATCAGCCTTTCCTTCATGTGATAATTGAATATACATTCCTTTTTGTTGTCTACCTATCCTCAATTGACATCTTGTTGGGCTTTTGTTGATCTTCAGATAAATTCTTTGCAACCTAGACACCTCCATTCAGAGCGGCAAATCTTGTTCTTGACTTTATTTATTCATTTTTTGCGAGACTCTGACTGATAGACTGTTAATTGATGGTAGAAGTTAATTACCAAGTAACTTGAGTATGGTTCGAGTGACTAGTCTGTTCTCACACCTGATTTTTCACGTGCATGACTATTATCTTTTGGTTCTTCGAGAGCTGATTGTTTTTTTCTCCTGATATGAATGAGCAGTTGCAGTTGTATTTCAAATCGAAGCCGCTGGAAACAAACAAACCTCAACCTCCCCCTGCAGCCAACGGCACTGCTGCACCTGGTGCCCCGCCGAGGCCACCACCTCAAGCTCCTCCTCCACCCCAAGGATTACCACCAGGAGCCCCTCCGAGAAATGCACCACCTCCAATGCCAGGATCAGCTCCACCACCACCCCCGCCAATGGCAAATGGGCCCAGGCCCATGCCTCCTGGCGGAGCTCCACCTGTGGCACCCCCACCACCCCCTGTTGGTCCTGGAGCAAGTTATACTCCCGGCGCACAATTGAACCGGCCTCCAATGCCACCTCCACATGGTTTTCCGGGTCAACAGATGCAGGGTTAATTTGCTACTTTGGTTTTGACAATCACAGGTCAAAAGTAGCTTAATTTTGTACTGAGCACTTCTGGGATTATTCTTGCCCTTATAACATTTTAGCCTATAGTAACGTGATTGTGGCTACCCTTTGATTTTCCCTTTTGTGATGTCCTGCGCTCTTCGGTTCCACGTGTTCTTTACTAACTTAGACCCCCCCCATTGGAGTTTCATGAAGATGCTTTAGACATACTCTTTTATGTCGTGAAGGTTTTTTCACCAATGAAACGATATTAAGGATCATCCCATTCTAAATCAATTTCTTTATCGAATTGCTAGGTTTCTAAAATCCAATGCCCCTAGAATTATTTCCCTGCCAGTCGTGGTTCAGCTAAATATGAGATCCCTCTTCAATAGATATGTACCAAGCTGAGTACAAATCTCTTCCTTTTTATCTAGGCAACTCGTTTACAGGCTCTCATAGATACCATTGTAATGTGTGCCTCAGAGAAGTGTGGTCCTTGCTAGCGACTCTGGAATGGACAACGTTCCTTTTCTTTATGCAGACCGCAAGATTGCAATTTTCGATTTTATGAAGTGATCCTAGTTTGGTCAACGTAGTGTCAGTTATTGCTTTCGAGGTTTGACCGAGCTATCACGAATTGACAGATGACGCACCTAGATGTTTGCTTGTTTGAGAGTGAAATATTTGCATAAATGAAACGATTTGGCCTATGGGGTACCGAATTAGAAGAAAACGGCTTTCGTGAGGGAAGGGATGTGCCCTTGCTTATGCAACCATCTTGGACTTCTAATTAACGCGGGCTTTATCCCTAAACGGTCCCATCTAATATTTAACTATCTCCGGTTACTGTCCAATTTGGCCTATGGACCTCAGGATTATATCCCAAAAAGGATCTTCACGAAGGAAGGGGTGACTGGTGAGGCCTTGCAACTATCCAAGACTCGATAATTGTAAGGTTTGTTTGGTCATTAGCACTTTTCTATCGATTGAATTGGATAAAAATATGATTGAATTTCCAATATCATATACTGTGTTATATAAATATTCGGATATAGCATGTATATTCGCAAGAACAATACTCGCTGCTCGGGCCATGCACTGCGCAACTTCCTTACAGCGCAGCCAACGCAAGGTTGCAAGCAAAGAGCACGGCGTGAGCACCTTACCAGGCATGGGCAACTGACATGCAGGTGTTGCGCGCCTCAATGGAGGTCGAGAGATTAGATCTGCACCAAGAGAGCGAAACAGAGATGAGAGCAAGTGGTGCGATGTTGCTCGAGGATCACCACATCGGCGACCTCCTACAGACCATGGTGACGATAGCCATGACCACCATGCCGAGCTGCGGCATGGCCTGGTAGCATTCCCCCAAGATCTAGAATTGGCGACCACCATCGAAGTAATCGCACTCCTTGCTATGGTGGTTGTGCTCCCTAAAGATAACTGCCTTGGTCCAGTTGAGCCGCCACCTGTACCCCCCACATTGCCAATGTCGCTTGAACCTCGCAGCCGTCGCCTCACCACGATTGTCGCTCACGCCCGGTGCTTGTCACCATTGTAAGCCTCATTCTTTGGCCCTTCTGTCCTCGATGGCAAATGCCCGGATCAAGTCGAGCTGCCATCCCTACCCCGCGGCTGATGCCAAGGTTGAGGCCCAGCCTCAAGCAACGCTAGATCTAGGTTCCGTGAGGCCAACAACCTCGAATCTGAGGTCGCGAGCCTCAATTTCAAGGTGTGGAATGTCCGACCGCATCAATTGATGAGTCTAGAGAGAGAGAGTCAGTGAGATAGAGGGGTGTGATTGCGAAGGGATGGGAATGCCGATGAAGGTGCGGCACGCCAGCAGCTTGTGCTTTGCGCACTAATCTTCGACGGTGGAGCTCCCACGTTACTTTTCTCCCCTTGAATTCTTTCCCCTCTATCTTCACGGTTTGGCTCATATTTTTGAATTAACGAAATGATAATATTAAACATTTTCATACAGTTAATGGACTAAATTGAATATGTACCAAAAGTCCAAGGACTACATTAAACAAATTAAAAGTTTTGGGACCACATTAAATAAAATTAAAGTTCATAGATCACATTGTAAATTGAGCCAGTTTATGAATCATTTGTGTCGTTATTTCTTGAATAGTGGAAGAGAGTAAGCGCAAAAATGAGGTGGAGGAGCTTCACCATCCTAGGTAAGGCCGCCACCTCACACGCGACCTCAAGGACAAGCGCTGAGACGTGCTCATCATCGGCGCAGCCACAACGACGTCACCTCCGCCAACTACCTCGCCCGCAGCGGCCTCTCCGTTGCTGTCCTTGAGCATCACCTCGTCATCAGTGATGCCGCTGCGTTGGAGGAGCTTGTTCTTGGCTACAAGTTCTCCCACTGGAGCTACCTCCACAGCCTTTCTTTAAACTTCCACCATCATGTAGATCCTCACGTTCACTTCGAATTTCCCGATTAAATACGCAAAGTTTCAGAATCGAATGAAATTTAAGTGACCCAAAGCGCTAGATTTTGATTCCAGCCGTGTGTGATTTTGGACTGTCGAAGGGAATTGGAGTCGAAAAGACATGGATTGAAGCTTCTAAAGAGGAATTCATCGACGTTTACGCTTTTGAGGATTGACACATGTATGTACATGAATCGCGTGCAATTAGGGTCAAAATCCTCCCGTTTGAGATTTGATCCGAATCCGCAATTAGCATGTTCAAATGTTTAAAGGAAATGAGCTAGCGCCTAAATTGGTTGACCGCAAATTGAATTAACACTAAGTCAGAATCCTAAATCGAAAGTCTTCAATCGAACTAATCAGATGTCATTTGGAATGCGCGCGAAATGCACATTGAAACTTGCATGTGTTCGTATCTCGATCCACAATTGGGCTCCCAACGTGCCTAGGATTTCACTGTGGAGCAAAATCACTCGCGGGAAGTTATTTGAAACGAGGTCCAATCCGATACGTTTCGAGAATCTGGCTGGTTTTAAGGGAATTATGGAATTTTTTCCCTTTAAGTTTTTATATTTCAATTTTCATTACTCCCCCTTCCTTGTCCCTGCGCCTGCTGTTCACTTGCTGACCTGTCATCTCCTCTCTTCCCCGGTCGTTAAACCCCGGACTCCACATCATGTAGGGTTTTATATAAATTTCACCAAGCACGGTCTCTCTCTCTCTCTCTCTCTCTCTGTGCACGCAACTGCCAAATGCGATGGTGAAGGCTTACCTGAGATACGAGCCGGCGGCGACCTTCGGAGTGATCGCCTCGGTGGAGTCCAACGTCGCGTACGACAGCTCCGGCAAGCACCTCCTCGCTCCGGCGCTCGAGAAGGTCGGAGTTTGGCACGTGCGACAGGGCGTCTGCGCCAAGACCCTAGCCCCTTCCGCCTCCTCCGCCGGACCCTCCCTCGCCGTCACCGCCATCGCCTCTTCTCCTTCCTCTCTGGTAACTCGATGGAACCACTTCTCGCAGCGCCTTCTTCTTTTCGTGCTTTCCTCGGAGCTACTTCTCGGTTGGTGGGATATGGGAAACGAATGATTTTCGAAAAGTTCAACTCGGCTTGGCGATGTTAATGTAGGAGGTCGGGAGTGTTTGTAGCTTGAGATAGCTTTGTAGCTTCTTTGTTCGAAGAGATTCCGGTTGTGGCTCAGTCCTGTTTACTTCGGAGGCTCTCCTCTACGTCGGAAACATGGATGATTAAATTTTGCCAATTTGTTTTTATGAGATTGTTAGTAAGGGCAGGAAGAAAGGTAGGAAACCAATGGTTAATAGTGGTTATTAGATAAGAATGTCTAATTGAAGCCACCTATACGAATATGACGAAGTTCAATGTGAGTTTTTTTTCATTGTCTTGCCGTATTGTTCCAATTTTGTTGGATGTCTCCGAGAGAGAATGTTCTTGCTCCACCTATGCATTGGGACTAACTTGCCAACTCCAAGCTTTCTCTGAGAGCTAAGCATGCCGATTGCCGCTCTGGTGCAGGAACTGCAGAGATGCAGCCATAGCATCTACCTCGACTACTTATCCCCATCACCCATGTATTTCCATTTGCTAGGTGTCATCGTAATAGTGTAAATTTTTGTTTTCTGACTTTGTCAGAGAATGTTAAATGTATATATGATTGCAGATTGCAAGTGGATATGCTGATGGTAGCATACGGATATGGGATTTTGAGAAAGGTTCTTGCGAGACGACACTGAATGGCCATAAAGGAGCTGTCTCTGTACTCAGATATGGCAAGCTTGGATCTTTACTCGCATCTGGAAGCAAAGACAATGACATTATATTGTGGGATGTGCTAGGAGAGACTGGCCTTTACCGCTTACGAGGGCATCGTGATCAGGTTAGCCCTTGTGTTGAATTTGTTAGCAGTGGGCTCCATTTGCCTATTCTTTTTCATTGTGCTTTCTATTTTGATAAAACAATCCATTTCTTCTAATTTTAGTTTTTTTTTTAATTTTTCATGATCTAAACGCTTGGTGATTTATTTTTAATGGCTTGATGCTGTAGGTTACCGACCTTGTCTTCTTAGATTCTGACAAGAAACTTGTTAGTTCCTCCAAAGACAAGTATCTCAGAGTGTGGGATCTTGAAACACAGCACTGTATGCAGATTGTCGGTGGTCATCACAGTGAAATCTGGTCCCTGGACACTGATCCAGAAGAGAGATATCTCGTCACAGGGTCTGCAGATCCAGAAGTTCGATTTTACACTGTTAAGAATGATTCATCTGATGAAAGATCTGAAACAGATGCAAGTGGGGTTGTGGGCAATGGTGATTTAGCTTCTCACAACAAATGGGATGTCTTGAAACAATTTGGCGAAATTCAGCGACAAAGCAAGGATAGAGTTGCAACAGTGAGATTCAACAAGAATGGGAATTTGCTGGCTTGTCAAGTGGCAGGTAAACTTGTAGAGGTGTTCCGTGTACTAGATGAAGCTGAAGCAAAGCGCAAAGCAAAACGCAGGCTTCATAGGAAGAGGGAGAAGAAAGGGGCAGATGTGAATGAAAATGGAGATTCCAGTCATGGTATTGGAGAAGGACACAACCCCATGGTGACAGTTTCTGATGTTTTTAAGCTCCTTCAGACTATTCGAGCGAGCAAAAAGATTTGTTCTATTTCTTTCTGTCCTGTAACTCCTAAGAATTCGTTGGCCACACTGGCATTGTCATTAAACAATAATCTATTGGAATTTCACTCCATTGATGCCAATGGAACTAGTAAAATGGTAACTATTGAGCTTCAAGGACACCGCTCTGATGTCAGAAGCGTCACCCTTAGTTCTGATAATACCCTTCTTATGTCTACTAGTCACAACTCAGTAAAGATTTGGAACCCAAGTACAGGTTCCTGCTTGCGAACAATTGACTCCGGGTATGGGCTTTGTGGTTTAATTGTTCCTCAGAATAAGTACGCACTTGTTGGAACAAAAGGTGGAGCCATAGAAATATTTGATGTTGGGAGCGGCACTTGTATGGAAGTGGTAGAAGCTCATGGAGGCTCTATCCGGTCGATTATGGCTATACCAAACCAAAATGGTTTTGTTACTGGCAGTGCTGATCACGACATTAAATTCTGGGAGTATGGTATGAAGCAGAAACCTGGTGAAGTATGTAACTTTCCTGACTTCTGACCCTTCTTTAAAGACCTTGACATCACAATGAGCATCTGTAAAGCCAACTATTACTATTTGCTGCCTTTGAAATTTCACATGCACTAATTTCAGAGTAGTGGGTGCATTCGGGCAACACAAAAAGAAATTTTTTTAGTTGCAAAAATGTGCTTGGAAAGAAGTTCATATGCAATATTTTTCTGCTATGACAGTGATGTTTCTCTAGCAATGTTACTGATATTCATAGTAGCGATTCTAATATCTGTGTAAAATGATGACCCATATGCAAAAGCTACAATTTTGTATTTATTTCGATTTACTGTATAGAGATACTTCACAATCTAGATGGTATTTCGTCAATGGATTCTTTCTACAGTCTTGAGTTTGGCAGTGGTTGGAATTTGAGATTCACATGACTTCTTTGACAAAGGCTCTTGTGAGAGCCAAGTTCCACAGATTGGGAGTGAGGTTCATTGCCATCACATAACTTCCAGAATGATCAGCTTTGCATACTCTTTTTGAAGCATATAGTTGCATGGAATATTTCTATCGAACATTGTTGGTTTCATGACATGATCATCAATTTTTTTGGGATTTTACATGACCATTGATGAAACTTACATTTTTGTTAGAGGTTCAGAGATTGAGAATCTGTGATGTTATGCTTACTGGTTCTGTTTGATTAACAGAATTCGAAGCGCCTAACTGTGTCAAATGTCAGAACTCTGAAGATGAATGATGATGTTCTTGTGGTTGCTGTGAGCCCAGATGCTCAAAAAATTGCTGTTGCACTGTTAGATTGCACAGTGAAGGTGATTTCTAACTTCATGTGGTTGTGTTTTCGTTGTTATATCTGATGTGTCTTGTTATCAGCTGTTTGGTATGATTGAAATTATTTCGCTTGTTTATATCAATTCTTCCTCTCTGTCTGAACTGTCTTCTAGTACTTCGTGTATTTTCATAGAACTCCTTGTTACATGAAATCAAATCTTTCTGCAATTGGTTGTTTCCATCTTCATGCTGTTGGACTTCCAAAACTGGAAGATCTTTGCTACTTTGCAATGATAACCATTTGACACTATATGTCAACCACTTCCAGGTTTTCTTCATGGATTCTCTGAAGCTTATACATTCCTTATATGGGCACAGGCTTCCTGTGCTATGCTTGGATATCTCATCAGATGGAGATCTAATTGTAACTGGCTCTGCAGATAAAAATCTGATGATATGGGGATTGGATTTTGGTGACCGCCATAAGTCCATTTTTGCACACGGAGATAGGTTCTGTTCTGTGTATTTGCTAAATGACTTTCATACTGATGTTCGAAAAGGACCTACTAATACTGATATTTCAATGGCAGTATCATGGCAGTGCAGTTTGTGGGCAACACACATTATGTGTTTAGTGTAGGTAAAGATCGGCTTGTAAAATACTGGGATGCTGACAAATTCGAGCTTCTTTTAACACTTGAGGGACATCATGCTGATATTTGGTGCCTTGCAATTAGTAACCGTGGTGATTTTTTGGTCACTGGATCTCATGATCGTTCAATACGCCGTTGGGATCGTACGGAAGAACAATTCTTCATTGAGGTGCTTTTCATTACTTTTAGCTGCTTCTAAAGCACAGAATCTTCTTTTAATGCAAAAATTACATTATTTCTTGCCATGCTTTTACGAATGTGCAAATAAATTCTTGCAGGAAGAAAAAGAGAAGAGGTTGGAGGAGATGTTCGAGTCTGACCTTGATAATGCATTTGGGAACAAGTATGAACCCAAGGAAGAAATTCCAGAAGAGGGTGCTGTGGCCTTAGCGGGAAAGAAGACTCAAGAGACACTCTCAGCAACTGATTCGATTATTGAGGCATTGGATATAGCTGAAGTGGAGTTGAAACGAATTGCCGAACATGAGGTATCTCCTCTGTACCCTTACGCTTTTTCATATTAGACTTCTTTTGTTGTACTCTTGCATTTGAATTATCTGCTTGCTAGTTTTCTCAAATGTCTCTTATGCTACATGTTTGTGTAAAATATAAATCGCTACCAGGATGCTTTTGCTGAATAATTTATGCGTTGAAAGAAGAAATGAAATGCTGCGATTCATTTGATTGTGAGAACAGGGGTGACTCTAACGTGTTTGGGTACCTCCAGTAGTTTGATATTTATTTGTGATTTGATATGCTTCTTACAACCTCAACTAGAGAATATTGATGATTATTAGATCAATGACCTGATTACTTTGGGTGTTACTTGGTAGTACATGTAGGCTTTAAGGTGTCTAGGGTACGTTTGGTTTGGCTTTAAAAATGGGTTTTGGGTCTTTAAAGATCCTTGGGTAAATGCTCAAGTGTTTGGCAGCTATTTGGCAGCTTTTCTTGGGAGCCAAAGTCCTCCAAAGTCCCTAAGCCCAATGCAAGTCCTTCCCAGCTTTAGCTTTGAGGACTTTCGTAATGCTACTTCAGAAATTAATGATTTTTTTTCCTTCCAAATTTGCCCTCGCTAAACTTTTGAAATTCCACTTTTACCGTCAATGTGCAACGTTGCCGGCGAGCCAGATCTGGCACCGGTGGCCCCCACCTAAGGTTGCCTAAGGTCATGCGACCTCAAGCAAGGGTCGCAGGTGCCAAATCTGGCTCGCTGGCCTTCGGCCATCACCCGAGCCCTTTGCTTGAGCGCTGCTAGAGCTTCAGCTTCTTTTTCTTTTTATTTATATAAATAACATAACTAAAGTTCTTTATAAGTGTAGTTTTTTCAAAACAGCATTTAAACCAAAGTTGATTCCCAATGCACTTATCAATTGCACTTTAGCAAACAGTATTTGCATTTCGAAAAAAAAAAATGCAAAGGCTTTCCCCAAAAGCCGAACCAAATGCAGCCATAATGTTTGACTGGGATTGTTATGTGTCGAAAGTTTCAGAATTAATCTTGAACTTGTTTCTTAGTCAAAAGAAGTTTTGATGATGCTGCGAATGGTTCAAGCATTGGAGGATATCGGATGGTGATTCTGTGATATCAAGTGTAAACATAATTGTCATCCAAAGGAAAATGATCTGGTCAGAAGTTGAAGATCTGCAAGTTGATCTTGCATATGTTTGAATCTATATGTGTTGACATAAATTTGATCTTACATATATTTAAATTTGTATGTGTTAACATAAATTTGTGCCGACAGGAGGAGAAAATCAAAGGAAAGGCTGCAGAATTCCAGCCAAATTACGTGATGCTTGGGCTTTCTCCCTCTGACTTTATTCTTCGTGCTCTTTCAAACGTTCAAACTAATGACCTTGAGCAGACATTACTGGTATGCAGCATCATGTGCTTGAACTTACAAGGAGTCTTTTCTATGGAGCTGTTCATAACTGTTATATACTGCTAAATATCTATTACTTTATGTACTGGGGATTTGTGAGGCTTTAACAGGAAACTTTTATAAATTTTTGTAAAGATATAATACCATCAATTTCCTCCTGTTACCTGATTGCTGACGCCTGCCCCAATCCATCAAAAGTGAAAAGAAAAAATACATGCATGACGTAAGGAGGCCTGTGTGTCAAAAGAAGTCTACATTGTATGTCATGTTTAATGAATGTTGGAAGTTATGCATGTATACATATGCTCTGTGATCCATTGAATTTACCTGTTCTGTATTTGTTGTTTGACATATCTTTGTAAGCATAATGTGATTTATGGTTGTTGAAATAAATTATTGGTATACCTACTAGTATGACTTGCTTGGGATGGACTTTTCATAGTCGGCTCTATTGAACTGGGTTATTTGAAGATAAATCTTCGCAGTCTTGAGAACTTGGTTGTCCCCTTATAAATGGCCAGTGTCAAATTGGCTCAATCTAGGTTGACCAAGTTCAACCACTGAAGAGATCAACAGATTTCGATGATTTCCTTAGTTGCCATGCTTAAAAAAGTCCAACAGCTGACAATGGGAATTGATCCCATGACTCCTGGATGTGAGGTCCCTGCCACTCAGGCAGAGATAGCCATCTTTGATGCAATGGCAAGATATATATTCAGATGCTAAAATTGAACTGAAATCTTTACAATGAGAACATTGAGGGCTTGGGGAAGTAAACCCAGACCTCTTAATCTCAAATTGTCGTGCGCACCCTGTTATTGTTATGCAGTACCATTTGTCACAAGAAATTTTATATCATTTAAATATCTGACTGTCATATCTTGATTGGGCAAAAAGGAAAAAGGTTTAAACCGCCAACCTCTTTAACCTGATTTTACACTGGTTAGGCTTTAAAAACATTCTTTTCAGCTTTCCTGTGACAAACAAGAACATACGGGCCCATTTGTTTGGACTTAAATAAAAGCAAAAACTTGCTTTTCCGCAAATTTTTAAACATTATTCTATTTTCAGAAGTTTATGAAAATATTATATGTGAATCTATGTTCAATACTTGAGTGTTGTGAAAGTTTGAAGAAGTTAAGGTAAAAAAGAAAAAAAAGAAAGTGCATGATGAGATTTAGATTAAGCAAAAAGGAAAAAGTAAAAGTCAATCCAAACAGGTGCTAAACCTATAGGATTGCTGGACTCCAATTTGAGCTTTATCTGATCAAGCTCTGTTATGTGGCTAAGTTTCTCTTTTCCATTTTGAATATTAACCAGAAAGCATGATTAGATTTTTTGCTTCCATCACAGGCTTTACCTTTCTCAGATGCTTTGAAGCTCCTATCTTACCTGAAGGATTGGACAACATACCCTGATAAGGTTGGTATATGCTTGCCAACTTGTATGCAAACTTTATTATCCGTGGTATATGTTCAGAATGCAAGATTGTTTCTATTCTGTTCTTTTTCACTACAGAGTAAGGGAAGGAGGAACAAATTGGATACGAGGACTTTTTTGTTTGTAGTATATGTTAAAGCATTTGGTAGAGGGAGGGGTAACTTAATCATCCCTCCTTTTCTTCTTCTTTTAGAGAAGAGAGAGAGAGAAGAGGGCGGGGTGACTTAATCATTCTGCACGGGGTGTGCTGATTATGGCGAGATGGTTTGCCTTAATGATGTTACCTATCGATTTTCTTTATTTGTTGCTGGTTGGTGAGATGCAAGTGCTCTTAAAGCAACATGAATGGTCACCATGCTAAAGACCTGCCTTTGCTACTATGTTTCCATGTGGGCCTCCTCCGATAACACACTTGTTTTCTGTTTGGTGATCTCTAATATGAATAAATTCATGTTCCTCTGGGGACGTAGATCAATGTGTAATAGGTTGATATCTGCGTTGTCATCTAATCCTTCTGGTCCTATAGAATTTATAATGGGTAATCCCTCAACTGACAAGAATACAGAACATGATGTATCCTAAACATAGACAACTCAACAATAGAAGCAAAAGGTAATTCGGCTATAATCATAATTGACAGTACAAAAATATTAAATGACAGTCAAAGTAATGTCAGGTTACTGTTGATGTTCCGATAGAATAAAAGAGAGCTCCTTCTGTAATTTTATTGTATTTCTGGGAAATGGAAATGGTTTAGTTCGTTGACGTAGAGTCCTCGACCTGACATCAGTTGCGGCACTGACTAGCATTTCATGGTGCCAAATACTGAACTAAAAAGAAAGTTTTACGACTCCATGCCCATCGCACACCCAAAAAGATTAAGCCAAAATGACAGCTAAAGTTGAAAGCGAGAGACACAGTTAAGACCAAAAAACCCCACAAAAGGCTGATCCCAGTAGGTTTTTATTGACATCTTATGACACGTGATTAATTTTCAACAGCTGCTAGAGTAATTTGAAATGTTTTCCTGCTTAGTTCTATTGAATTTTCTCCATCTTTACTATACTGCGTTAATGGTTAATCGATCTGGATTATGCCTCATATTCTGATATGTTTGCTAGGAAACACGTCACTGATTTATGCTCATGATGTGGAATGCATACCCGGTTTCCCATAGTTTTTCCTTCTGCTTGTCAGGTTGAGCTTGTTTCAAGGGTTGCTACAGTGCTTCTACAGACACATTACAATCAGTTGGTTTCAACCCCAGCTGCCAGGCCTTTGTTGACTACACTAAAGGACATTCTTCACAAGAAAGTCAAGGTAATCCTACCATGCAGCTCTGTTGGTGTTATTCTACAATGCCATGCCTGAATTATGAGTCGATATAGATATTTGTGCTGAGAAGGGAGAACACTGCATCCACTCTAGTTGATGCTGCTATCATGAACTGTCATGAACTTTCAGGAACTTGAAAAATTTCCCAGGTTAAATGCTGGATTACTTTTTTGTTGCGAGGATCCTGGTTATTGGCCTTCATTCAGTGCAGGGCTTAGCTTTATCATTGAACTTTTGGGTCCATTTATTACTAGATCAAGTCAGCATTTTAATGTGGATTACCTTTACCAACAAAGTGAAGATTATAATCCCAGTTGGCTTTGACAAACAGGAGATTGGACTGCTTAGCAGAAAAGAAAATTGATGTCTTATTGTGTTAAAACAGTTTACTTGAGCAATTTGATTTGCTGACAGAAGATGTAATTGGAATTTTATCAGGAATGTAAAGACACGATTGGATTTAATCTTGCAGCAATGGACCATCTTAAGGTAAAAAAATTATTCATTTCCTTAGAAAAGCCTTAAAATTGAGCTGAATCTGTAGTTCACATCATTTATGTGATGTTTCAGCAACTGATGGCCTTAAGGTCGGATGCACTCTTTCAAGATGCCAAAGCGAAGTTGCTGGAAATTCGCTCGCAACTTTCCGAACGACTGGAAGAAAGGACAGACCCAAGAGAAGTGAAGCGCAGGAAGAAGAAACAGAAGAAATCCAATAGCATGCATGCCTGGCCATAAGGCATGCCATGAGGTCTCAGTAACGAGGATTTGCCAGTTGACGAATCCGGGAATTTTTTGCCACAATGTAACCATCGTAGCACTCGTCATCTAATTATGGTAAAAGGGAGTTATAGATATCAGTTTTGGCGGATGTTGAGTGTATAGAATGTTGTGAAATAGCAAATGATAATCTCTCTTCCTGCTTTTTGGCAATTGAACTTTACATTCCCATGCTTAATTGTTTGGACATTTTGGTAACCTATAGTTTAATTACGATCATGTATTGGTGAAGTGGATGTGATTAGAATTCCACTCAATGTGGATGTAAGATGTGCGTTGAGATTTCGCTATTTTCCATACTTAAGCAATTTATCCCCTATTTTGCAATCAATATGATCAATCGCATATATCTTCCTTAGTATCAAATATTGTTGGGTAATCAATGAATCTAGTGTATTGTCATAGACACATTAGATCTACATGTGCTGAAACTTGCACTACAATGCTGTGAGTCGTGTCTTCGTTGCAAACCTCTCCAGGCCAGCAAATTCGAAGAGACAAACGATCTTCACTTATTGACGAACATTGAGCGTATTATGAAGCTATGAGAAGGTTAAAAGGAGGCGACGATGTTGTATGTAATATATCCGTCTTCACCTGTAGTTCTTGCCCTCAAAGGTCTGACCGAATTGCCAGTTGCTTGGGGCGACGTGCCAGGCAGTTGTGAATCGCCCGTCGCTTGCTCTAACCCGGAAGGTGAGGGACTGCCCGACCAACATGGCATTGGTCTCCCATTTCTGGCCCCATATGCGCTGCATCGTAGTCCACGGCAGCTTGTTGCTCTTCACCTGTACGCTCACGACGTCGCCAGCTCCGCCCACATTCCAGACCAAAACTTGGTTGAAATACGGGTTCCCAGTTATGGTGAATCGGACCCCTCCTTGCTTCTGGCACGGAACCCTGCAACACATTTAACTCGTGAGACCCTATTGATTCCGTCATGCGTCCACCCTTCTGTAGTCAAATTTGATGAGTGGATGCGCTTAAGATGAAAAAGGGTGGAGTTCAGAGCGAGACCTGCGGTACTGAACCGGGACAATGCCAGCAGCGTAGTCCTTGGCCAGCTTAGTGAAAACGGGCTTGGCGATGTCAAAGTGCTCACGGGGCGGGTTGCACCATCCACCGTTGTCACCGGACTGGTAGTAATTGGGAGGGCAGAGGTTGGTGGCCGTGATGATGAGAGAAGGCTGGCCAAGCTGGCACCACTGAGGGTCGTCGACGCACTTTATCTCGTAGCACGCCCCACATGTCTGCCCATTATTGAACAGTGCCGTGCTCAGCGCCGCCGTCTGATAGCCGTAGCCTTGCTGCACCACGTCTTGATAACCGCAGGCTCCCCCTACAAATTGCAGAACAGTTCGTTGCAATTGTCAATAGCAATCAAACACTGAATATGCGATAACAACTCGGTTCCGTAACTAGTCGTGTAAAGTCGCCTCTCCTCTGAATTGTCGTGATAGTTACACAACGTAAGGGCCCAAACATGCAAGTTCTTTCCGGATCAGCTAACAAAATTTGCTAGAATCAACGCCCGCTTATTTGCAAATGGTTTTCGTTGTGTTGGAATGTATCTACTTAGTATCTGATCCGGTCGTGGTGCACACAAATCCTAAAACTACCCATTGCTCTCTTAGCTGAGCCAACATCGATCATGGTTATGCATGTCATCCTACGCAACAAGTCGAATCTTGGTTAATCTATCTGATTGTTGTGTGTATTTCCTAGTTCCTTTAAAAACCAAGCAACATGCTTATGAAACAATCAAACCGATGCTTGTCATAAAACACATCACTGACTTTTTGTGATTACGCTCTATCTTTGCTGATTTACAACCAAAATAAAACAAAGGGAAAAAGAAAAGACGTACCGAATGTACCGGAGCCACCCTCATAAAAGGTGGCATGAGCCTGCTTCCAAGGGCCTGGCGCGAACCTCGGCCGGTGATGCTTAGCGAGAGACAACCGCTTGCGGTGGTTTACGGGATGGACATGAGCCGGCCAGCGATGGTGGTTAGGTCCTCTGTTTCCGACCACATGGTGCGCGGCATGTCGCCACGAGGAGGAACGATGAGGATGATGACCATGAGCGACTGCGGCATTCGCAACGTGAAGATTGGGCAACGCCGAGGCAATGGCAAGCAATGAGGCAAAGAGGGCTTTCAAAGGCAATGCCATGTTGATGTTGGAGCTAAGCAACAATGAGTAGAGGAATTTGGCACGACCTTTGCAAGTTTTGTCTCTCCTTTTGGGAAAAAATAAACAAGTTAAAAAGAGAAATCTAACTTCATTTTGCTTTGAGGCTTGACGAGTTTCGAGTGATTTATTTATGGTGCTAAATCGGTTATGTGCTTGTTATTGGTTGGAGAGAATTTCGCTGCGAGAGGGGCCTAGGTTTGCCCTTGACCTCTCCTTTAACCAAAATTCGTTAACATCTTTTGCTCTATCCTAAATTTTCAGGCCATCCGCAAAATCAATCGTCGCCATTGTCAAAATCAATGGCCGTTGTCACTTCAACTATTTTTGAAGCTTTGCCGAAACATGGTGTCTGAAATCAATCACCGCCATGGTCATTTGCGACCGGGATAGTCGATTTAATGTGATCGTGCTACGTATCTATTAGAGAGATCAAGAGAAAAGATTGGCCAAATCATGACTTGATTTTCATGCCATGATTCCGCGACGATTAACATTAATCGGTCAGGAATAATGACATGCGACCCCAAGTTTCATGTCTACGATCCAATCCGATTATATGAGATGAGCAATAGCGTCATATTTTTTGTGCACAATGGGAAAAATGAGGAAAATGTCATTTAGGCTCCGTTTATTTCACCAAAAAAATTCTGAAAAAACATTTTTTTTCAGATTTTCTGGTATTCGTTTGCCGGAAAATAAACTAGTCATGAAAAATATTTTCTAACAATAGAAAAAACACCTTCAAAAGTGGGGAAAATGTTTTCCCCTTTTTAGAAAGCGGAAAACATTTTCCGGATCTTCTTTTATCACACTTTCTAATAACACATTTTCCTTTTATATTTTCTTTTCTTTTTATTAAAAATTCGAGTTTTTAAAATTTTTTCATTATTTCATTTTCTTTTCTTTTCTTTTTATTCTTCCTCGGCCAGTTGCCAACCACGGCAGCCGCCGGCGACCGGCCACAGGCAAGCTCGAGCTCCCCAAATTTCGGCTACGAGCCTCACCGGCCTGTGGCGAAGCTTCACCTTGCCTAATATGGTGAGCTGGGTGAGGCTCGAGCCTAGCTCAAGGTCACTAGAGCCTTGCCAACATCTAGCGACCTCGGGCAAGGCTCTTGCTTGCTGGCCATTGTCGTGGCCAACGACCAAGGAAGAAGAAAAAAAATAAAGAAAAGGAAAAAAAAGAAAAAGAATAAAAGAAGTAATTTAAAAGTTAAAATAACTATAAAAAATTAAAAAATTCGAATTTTTTGGTAATTTTCCCTAAAAAATCAAATCGAATACCGAACGACGGAAAATATTTTCTAGTTCATTCTCAGTTTCAACCGAACACCAGAAAATATTCATTTCCCTGAAAAATGGCTTCTTAAAAATTATTTTCTAAAAACGTCACATTTTTCGTGAAGCGAACGGAGCCTTAATCTTCAAAGACTACGATGTTTGATGGTTGATAATCTTGAGCGAATTCAAGAATTTGGACGGCACTCTCTTTCGAATGTCATATATAATTTCTCCCTCCTCACTTACATCGACTTCTTCTCTAGCCATATGACTTCTCACTTCCACAAAGTTGTTTAAGTGGTCAGTTCTGATATTTCTTTGTTCGAATGGTGAGAGAAAATTGTCCAAAAAATCCTAAATCTATTATACGATAACTAATTCAGTCATAAATTTTTTAATTATATCAGTTTAGTCCTAAACTTTTTGACAATTTAGTCCTAAGCATTTTATTTGTGTCAATTTAGTCCTAACCTTTTGAGAATTTACTAATTTAGTCATCAAACCTTTTAACGAATTACTGATGTAGTTCTTCAATTACTATTGGTCGGATATTACTAACGTGACAGTTCAATCAGCGTCAACTGTCCTACGTGGCACGGTGGGTGATAACATGTAAAAAAAAAAATATGTTTTGTTCGATTTTTTTAATTAAATTTTATTGATTTTGTATTTTATTATATTTCTTCATTTTTTTTTTGTTCAAAGGGCCGGCGGCCAAGGGTCGGCAACCCCCACCAGCCCCTAGGCAATGTACCCATAGCCCTCGTCGACCGCATGCAAGGGTCGCAGCCCTCGCTAGATCTGGCAAGGGCTCACTTGCCCTCATTGCGGCCAACAAAGGCATCACGAGCCCTCATGGCAGGCCCTCGCTTGCCCTTAATGTGGCCTATGAGGCCACGATTCCCTTGCCAGCCACAGTAGGCCAGACCTAGCGAGGCCGCCCACAACTGACGTGGGCTTCGCGACCACCTAGGGGCTAGCAGGTGTTGCAAGCCCTTGGCCAGTGGGCGCCGGCCTTATGAACCAAAAAGATGAAAAAATAAAAAATCAATAAAACAATTATATTATTGTCTACGTCACGGCCGACACTAACTGGATCGCCACGTTAGTGTTTTCCTGCTAAAATTAACAAAAGAACTATATTAGTAATTCTTTAAAATATTTAAGATTAAATTGACAAATTCTCAAAAGGTTTAACAAATGATAATTTAGGATTGAATTAGCATATTGTCAAAAGATTTAAGATTAAATTGATTTAATTAAAAGGTTAGAATTGAATTAGCCGCTATACATTAAGTATAAGATTTTTTGGATAATTTTCCGATGATGGCTCTGGTTAACTCTAAGTGTTAAGGTTGCCAGCTGTGGAATTTTGGAAGACAGAAAATATCTTTCAGGCTTAGTCAGATCATTCCATCATATTGACAATTTCAAAGAACTATTCGTACCACCCCGTGAGCATAATATAATATAATATAATATAATATATTGGCGATCAGACATATATGCCCCCGTCGTCTAGTAGTTCAAGACATCTCTCTTTCGAGGATGCATCGGGGCGATTTGACTTCCTGTGGAGCCTTGTAAACAGGACCATTTATACATATTTGTGGGAATTAGTCCAATCATAGGTTTGGATACCTCTTATTATCCAAAAGAAAGAGATATGTTACTTGTCACACAACATAGTAGTAAGGGGCTGCTTAAAAAATCGAGAAGTACAATTTTCCTGCTCTTCCACATGAATGGTATTAGGTGCATAGCTAGTTGGATTAGGTGGGCGTTGCGACTTCCCGAAAGTGAACCTAACTCTTCAGAACCCCACCAATCACAATTTATTTTCTCATTTTTTATGAATTGAGCATACTGAAAGAAACTTCTTCACACGATCGAGAATCTGATTGTGGATAAGTTAAAACAAATTTAAATTGAGCAAGGTCATCAGAATCGTGAGGCTAATTATGAGGCTAATTATGTCAAAGAAGTTGTAAATAGAGTGCATTTTGTTGAGAATTATAACATGAACAGATACAAAGAAAGCACCGAAACTAAGGCACGAGAAAATTTGATTCGGTAATATGATCACATTGATTTAAGCATAACAATGTTTTTTTTTTTTTATAATCGAGGTGTCCGCGCGGCCGGCGAGCTAGGGCTCAAACCAGCGGTGATGCCCGACTAGTCCTCGAGGGGGCTAGCGCAGTATCCCACCGCCACGACCCCCCACTTAAATCACCGATGGGCGAGTTTGAACCCAGGACCTCTCGTGAAAGGAACTGAGCGCAAACCAACGCGGCCACCGATGGGTGGGTAGCATAACAATGTTGATAAGTGCATTTACTCAAAATTTATCAAATAGTATGGAGTTATAATCTACTCATATGTAGATGATATGTTGATTGTTGGTAAAATATGTATGGCATAGATGAACTTAAAAAGTTTCTATCTTCTCAGTTAAAATAAAAGATTTGGGAGAAGTTGATACAATTTTAGCTATTAAAGTGATTAAAAATAGTGAGAGTTATTCTTTAAGCTAAGGGCAGTATGTGAAGAAAAATATTCAAAAATATTAGCATTTGAGAATTAAAGAGTCAAACATACCATATGATGTGTCAATTAAATTGATGGATGATATTGGACAACCTTAAGCACAATTAGAATATGCTAGTGCAATTGAAAGTTTGGTATTTGCTATGCATTGCGCTAGACTAGATATAGCCTTTATTGTGTGTGAATTTTCCAAATTTGCTGGTAAACTTGGTACTGTCCATTGGAAGGCCATGAGTAGAATTCTTGGTTACTTAAAGAAAATAATACATTATGGTTTTTTTTTATGGAAGACAATCAACAGTATTAGAAGGATATTCATATGCTAGTTGGATAACTAGCACAATTGATAACAAGTTGATATATGGATTGGTTTCTAAGCTTGCAAATGGTGCAGTCTGTTGGGCATCAAAGAAGCAAACATTTATAGCTCATTCAACGATGGAATCTGAATTTATATCACCGTTGGTGGTTCGTAAAGAGGCTGAATGGCTGGAAAATTTGCTATTGGATACAGAGTTATGGCCACGACTGATATCAACTATATCTTTACGTTGTGATAGTGAGGCAACTATGTTGAGAACATACAATAAAATATACAATGAAAAATCTAGAAATATTAGTTTACAACATGAGTATGTTTGACAATTAATTACTGATGAAATTATTTCAATAATTTATGCTCAGACAAATAATAACTTGGCTAATCCATTCACTAGGGGACTCTTGAGAGGTTTAACAATTACTGCCACAGGAATGGGTTAAAGACCAATTGATAATAGTCAAGCATAGTGGAAACCCAACTTTATAATTCCAACGAAATTGTTAAAGTTCAATGGGTAACAACAAACTATTATATCTTAACGGTGATCGAGTACCGGGGCACAAGGTTAGCATTCATAAAAAGTTAAGAGGATGAGTGTAAGAAATCACTCATAATGAAGTTCAAGGTTTTAGCAAGGCAATGCTAAGGTAATTAATTAGGAACTTCACCTATATGAATATAAGAAGTGGTGCGTTATCTAACCAAAGTCGAATGAACTTTTGTAAAAATTCACGAATGCAGGAGGGAGCACAAGATTATAAAAGTGTTAAGGCATGGGAAATTTCTAATTGAATGTGTGCAAATTCACATGTGTGATAATTCGATTAACAAATGGAATCATGGTTCAAAGTTTTATTTACCATTGATTTCGTTAATGGAATTGTTTACACTAATTAAAAGTTCAAATCTTAATAGATACCTTCTTGGATGTATGAATTTATGTAAATTAGTACATAGAATAAACTAAGAAGGGGGATTATATCATGAAAAGAGGTGACTTTGGTGATGAAAAGAGGTGACTCTTCGTGATGAAAAGTGGTGATGGTTCATCATAAAAAATAGTGATTGTGGGGATGAAGTACCTATTATCAAGAGATGTGTTGATTGGTGCATTCAAAAACAATTTTTTCTTCGTAACTCTCTCTTCTTCTTTTATATACACACAATGTGAAATTCCAAGAGAGAAATTGAGTGATTGTTTTTTTTTTTTTGGTAAGGGTAAGGTAAAAATTGAGTGATTGTTGAGCTAGTTTCTCTACGACTTTTGAGTATATTTCTTGAGGTATATTTGGTCAAACCCCAAAAGCAAGAATAGTTGGGGTAAATAATACCTTAAGGACAATTATCGTCTTCGGGCATCAAAGCATCCAAGATCTATAACTATTGCTCTATCTTCACCAACAATCAAATTCCCCCAACAAGTTGTCACGTAGAAGTGATTCGTATGTCTCGCTCAAGCTGAGTTAACGGGGATGTGGTTTGTTTGGTTTAGAGAATGCAATTCATTATACTGTCCTTAGGAACCATGTATTAAGGGAAGGCCTGGTGTTTCGGTTCATCAAGTGCTACACGGGCTCTTCCTGAGCCATGAAGCTTTTGGCCTGCAATAAATGGTGCTAGAGCAGGTTCCCTAAAGCTTAGGGATGGGTGCCAAGGAGAGATTTTTTGCCACATTTCCAACAAGTGAAGAAACTTCCATTGGTTTGCCAAAATCAAGAGAAGTCTAGTAGGTGAAAAAAAGATGCTACCGTAGGTGCACAGTCAGCTTAGGGCGCCGCATTTGCCAGGGAGAGCACAAGTAATTAGAGATTCACGAACAACTCTGATCGGGGGAAGCAACCATTGGAGTGTAAGAGCTTGTTCTATTGGGCGGGCGATTGTTATTCACGTAAGTCCCGGGAAAGCGGAGTGGCGGTAATGTCTGAAGAAAGCAAGGAAGCAAGATCTTGTAGAAATTGGGTGGGAGAGAATGTCACGGTTTAATTTCTCCCATACAACAGACCAAAAAAAAAAAATTTCTCCCATACCCATATGGATTGAAAGGTTGGGCTTTGTGGCGTTGAGGTGAAGAGTGGGAGATTTAGGAGAGTTGATACAACTGGTCGTGGGAATGGCCTCGGGTTGTTTGTGTTAGGAATCTAGGGGTGAATGATTATCATCTTAGATTAATCCTCCCGTGCACAAACTAGTCGAGAGCTAATACTGCTTTTCTAATGATTGGCAATATCGGACCAAAATTAATTATTGTGCGGAATTGATCTATATGTCTTGTTTGAGAGAATGACCGAGCTAACGCTTGATCAGGACGACACAATTCGACATATGATCCCTGAAAATAAGGTTGACCTCGTGTTCCGGCTCATCAGGTGTTGTATGGGCTCACAAGAACGTTATCACTTTGAAGTTATATGAACGAAAGTCTAATGAAAAGTACTTTTGGGTCAATGGTACGGTTGAGGATACTAGTGGCCTATATTAAAAAAATTAAAATTTTGGTGGTATTATTTTTTTGGATTAATACCTCGAAAAGCCTTAAACTAGTACTTCCGTAATAAATTTATCCAAAACCAATTTTTTGGTCACCAAAAATTCTAAATTACTATACACGTAACAAATTTACTCCAAAACAATTTTTTGGTTATCAAAAAACCCAAATCGATACACCCGTGATAAATTTGTCCAAAACTGATACGGATTTCTACGTGGACTTGCCATTTGTGTCATTTTATTCGGTAATTTCACGATAAAACCTGAGAGAAGTTAACTGGGGGTAAACATATCACGAGTGTACTGATTTGGAGTTATTGATGACCCAAAAAATAAGTGTTCGGCATATATGCTAATTCGTGATTTTTCGTGGTATCAGATATATATTTTTGCATTCAATGTTTATTCCATCGGTCCGACTTTCGATCCTCGCTCTTTTTTGCCGAATCCATCGGACCAGTAGTCATCCTGGCTAGAGCAAGCACGAGCAGTGGCGTCGAAGTGTGCGAATATTTGGAGCAGCCGAGAAGAGAGAGACAGAGAGAGAATCAAAGACGATGATGGCCCATCGCTCTTCGCCTTCGTATTCTTCGCATCGTACGTGCCCGATCCTGTCGCCTCTTCTTCGGAGGAGCAGCAGGAGGTACCCGAACTTCCGCTTCTTCTCGTCGTTCCACTTCGAATCTTCGATCCCCTTCCCTTCGCTTCTTAGGTCTCTCTCGTGCTCGTTCGGTCGCTCCGTGCGTCCGTGCGTGCGTTCCCCCGACCGAAAGCAAAATCGAATGATTCGTGCTTCGCGTGGAATTCGCAGCGATGGCGAAGAAGAAGGAGGAGCCGGAGACGTCGAGGCCGATTGACAACATCGCCAAGTACTCCCAGCAGCAGCGGCGAGGCCCGCCGCCCAAGCGCCGCTCCGATTTCTCTTTCTTCTCTACCTCCTCCTCCTCCTCCTCCTCCGCCGCCGCCGCCGCTTCCTCTCCTCCTTCTTCCATGTCCACTTCAGGTCTCGCTCTCTCTCTCTCTCTCTCTCTCTCTCTCTCTCTCTCTCTCTCTCTCTCTCTCTCGCTGCATGTGTATGGATGATTTGCGTATTGCCAAGTAGATGTGAGATTTGGAATGCGGCCTTCTCTTCCCTTTGGGCGTGCGATGTGCCATTGTGGCGCGATTGGTATGTGTGATTCGGCTGTTCGAGTGTGTGCTCTTTGATTTGGTCGATGGCTCGCAAGTTTTGATTTTGATTGTGACTGCAGTTTTGGTGAGCGTATTTGGTGTTTCCCTTGCATATTTGGATGTTGATTTGTACTTTTGTTGTTCTGTTCATTCAGTCTGTTGTTCCTTGCCGCTTTTCAATTGGGATTCGGCTGATTTCCCGATTTCATTTGGACTTATATCTGCTAACTCTTTCCAGTTTTGGTGAGGTTGATCTTTTGGTTTCCTCTATGACATGCTATAGTTTTCTCTGGCAGTGGATAATTGGTTTTCATTCCACATTTATTGTGGTTCCATGCTAAATGTACTCTTTTTAAGTTAATCTAATTTTTGAACGCGGAATGAGTCACCTACAATCTGGAATTGGAGAAGGATTTTGCAGTGCAAGTACTGTGTATTCGTTAAAAACAGAAAACCAAAGAGATAAGTGTGCATCTTTCTATGGTATTCTTTAAGGCTCATAATGTGAAATGTGTACTTAATGGAGTTTTGGTGGTTATTTAAGCCTTGCACCTGTATAACATCTATGCAATGCCTAGGAGTTCTCTTTCGTCGACTTTTCTGTGCATTTAAACATTGTACAAGACATTATTTGCTTAAGCTTACCAAGCAATTTCGTAGATAAGTTGAGTTATGTCTCTTAACTCTCAAGGTGGACATCGGACAAATTATTATTTGTTTAACTAGTAGGCATTTTGGTAGATAACTTCAATTATTTCACTTAACTCTCAAGGTAAAACCTTTTATGCTCAGATTACTCGCCAACATTCTCTAATTGTAAAGATGGACTGTCAAAAGTTGCTGCAGTCAGTTCAGATGAAGCAAAGGATGGAGGAAGACAATCTCTAGCATTCACTCCGGTCAAATGCCGCAAGTCATGGTGTGTAAGATCTGGATTTTTGGATGTTCCATTAAGATATATTAAAACAAAAACAAAAACATGCATGGCAGTGCACAGGAAGGAGAGAACATCTATAACAGTTTATGTATTAGATCCTTATTTAGCATCGCTTTAGGTATTTAAACCTTATATTATTTCTGAGTTATCTTATGCCAAAAAAATCCTACTGCTGGGACATGTATAGGGTCCTTCTGTTGGGTTTTATTTTTTTATTTTTTATTTGGAGATGCATGTGGAAATATGTGATTTGGAAAGACATTTATTTCAGGATGCTGGTCACGCCAAACCAAATTCAGGGTACAGAAAGCAGTGATGTTTGCATGACTCCAGTGAGTGTTGTATTGGAGAGAACAGACTATGAAGTGTTGTCTACTGCTGAAGTAAGTAATCTTTGCATTAATTGTTTTCTAATGCTTTATTTGAGCACGTGGAGCGGATGAAGGAGTGGAGAAAATTTTAAACTTTCCCTCATTTTTCTCTTCATAGAAGTTTTAAAATATTCCTTCACTTGTTGCACCCACTCTTCATTCCCCCTCCTCCTCTTTCCAAACAAAGAATAAGAGTTGAGATTGATATAGACCTGTTGTAGAGCTTAAAAGTCTCATTAATGTTTTAAGTGAGTCGCTACCAATTGTGGTCTTTGGTTACAAAGTTGTGTTGGTCTTTGACTGTGTTATAAATCCACTGATATTTCTCCTTTATTATATCCCTGTCCTCTCTAAATTATTATAATCTCATATCCATTCCCATCATCTTTGACAAATTGCAGTGGGCATAACTCTGTCTTGCAGTTTTATCTCCTTTAACAGGAAGTCTTATTCACCATGGACTATGCATATGCTGCATTCTCCCGTTTCCTATGTCTCTCTATCTTGATGATTCCAAGTATCAATCTTATTCCCCACAAAGTGCCACATTAGGGAAGAAAAAGAACCATTCTTGCCATTCTCAACATCCTTACAAACTCCATTATAATTTATTGGTTCAGAATGCTTGCAACTGTAGAAATGCCAAAAATGGGCGAGTCACGTCCTAGCTCCTATGTTTAGTCGAGGAAAAGAAAAGTTCTATGGCTTTGCTACTTTGCAGTACGATTGCTGAGAATCAATGTTTAAGTAGTGATAGAAACATTTTAGTTCCCTTAAGGTTAGCTTTCAATAAGTATTAATAAAAAGGAGAATCATAGGATCTCTCTCTGTATAGAGATACATATGTACTTTTAGATCCGGCTCGTGGTTGTTTGCTTTTAATTGAAACATCTGCCAAAGCAAAGCATTTCTAGAGTGTAGCATGCTCACTGATATCTCAGGAGTGAAATTTCCTTTCAAATGTTATAGCCTGTAGATTCTTCAATGTTGACTCGAGCCTTGAATGGTTATCCTCGAGTTCCTAGTTCGTCATTGTTCATGCAATGCGTAATTGGTGGTAGACTATGGACATAAGTTTCTCAAGCTAGTTTGCATTGCACAAGTAGCTACTCCCATGAGCATATCTTTTAATGCTCTTCTCGTGATTTTCAGCTTACAATGATGGGATAAAAAATTTCTGAACCAATGGGAGTTTTAAAAATTGATAGTTCTTGGAAGTTTCCATTATTTGTCTAACTTAGCATCTAATTTCCTTGATTTTTATGAAGCTGCAAGCCTCAAATGAGGACCATGCGAGCCCATTCCAACAGTTATCTTCTCCTGATGAGGCAAATAACTTAGATCGTGGGGACCCTTACTCTGGTATGTTTCTTACAAATAGCGTATGTTTTTGTCTGGCCATGCAATGAGTGGCATACTGCTGGTACATTGCACACTCAAGTGATATTTTTCTAGTGATTTCCATGATTAACCAAAGAGGCTACATATATTCAATGCTCCTTAGGCGAATTTGGAAAGTTTCTACACTTCACATTTTTGGTTGTGCCCTGGAAGGTAGGTGCTTGAGATGGTCCCACTGGTAACAGAGCATAACTGCATCCATGTTCTTGAATGTGATTAAAGCATCTACTGCCCAAATTCTGAAATTTCTTAGAAAGAAGCTAGATAAGTAGTTTATCATGTTTATGTTTAGCTGAACAGATTATTTCTTCACATTCAGCTGTTTCAGGATCATTTGCGGATCTTTTGATTTCTCATGAGCCAACTGCACTTGACATCTACCACATCCGTGGTCTCTTCATTCCCCCCAGCCTCTCGTGTGGTTGGGGGATATGTTTTTAAGAAGAGCTTATGCTTTTAAGCAAGAAGCTATGGCCATTTAAACATTTGTTGAGACAATGATAAAGACAAGGCCTTTACTTGCAAGAAGACCTTTTGTCTCAAAGGCTTGAACTTCCAAGGAAGAGTCCACAATGTATATAAAGAACTTTTTTGAATACTCTCACTCACTTATAAGCTAGGCTTTACATGTGGAGCAAATATTTGATAGGAGGCAAGGACGAAATTAATAAGGAAAGAATAACTAGAAAAATTACTAGAAGCTCAGACTCTGTATTTTCATATCATATTCAATGAGCGTTTGTCCTAAAGTTTAAAAGCTTCGAGGAAACAGGGCCACAATTTTCTTTCAACATTCCCCCTTTTGCAATGATGATATGAATGCTTTAGATTAGTGAGACTTGGATGTCAGACATGCTTACCCTTCTAAACTGGGCTTGGAATGCTAAATGCTTGGAGCTGATTTTGAACACAATAGACAGTTTTCTAGTTGTGCAGATTCATAAATATTTTGGTCAAAGTAGATTCATAGATTCAGTAGACATGAAAGCCACACTATGCACTTTACCAAAAAAAATTTCTTTACCAAAAAAAAAAAGCCACACTATGCATGTAATCCGGAAGCCCACATTTTCTTATCTCTTTGTTTGACCAGGTGGATGCATCATATCAAATCCGAGAAGCATAGAAGATGACTCCTCCGAAAAAGGGAGAGGCAAGAGAAAAAGAAAGCCTAGATCTTTCTTCAGTGTGAGTAGTCATTGTCCTTTGCTGATTAACTGATACAAAATAATGTCTGGTTGCCATATATTACCTGAAACTTCTTTTTTTCTTCCTATAGGATGACCTATACTCACCATCGAGATCTCCGAGAAAGGTCCGTCGGTATAGGATAATGCGATACCTCGGCCTTATGGCTCCCGTAGGCTCTCCTTATTCAGTCAATAATTAGCATTGCCTCTGGAATTATGGGGGGGTTTTGGTATTTAATTTCCTCGTTTAGCACAATCTTACCTTGTTCATGTACAGCAACAGATCACACAGTTAGAGATTTGCTGCATTTTCTAATAATTGTCCCGTTGTTTAGGAGATATATTTCGTGAGGATACGAACTACATGGTCTGTGCTCTATTTTGGCCATAACATGATTACTCCTTTCCCTGCACATGTTTGTGCTTGGACAGGCTTTCTGCTCTCTTCAGCCACAAGTTGTGGCCATCAACTGCCCTCTGTCTTCTGCTTGTCATATCTGATTATTTTCGAATCTGTCGGCAGTAAAGTTCGAACATTCTATCTAGCGAGCCAAATGTCTACGGTAAAAGTTTAGAATCCATCGAGAAATAACACACGTGAACGTACATATTAACGGTTAATTTTGGGAAGATGAATGGGAGATTAGACTGAAATTCAGTCTTTCCTAACAAAGCTAGGGCACTCTTGACAAGGACTATGTAAAATATAAGCTTAGGGTCCGTTTGTTTGAAGGAGAACTATTTTTAGGAAATTGTTGACAAAAAACTAATCGATCGAAGAAAAATGTTTTCTCAAGATTGAAAGTGAAAATAATAAGCTTAGATTGAGTGAAAACTTCTCATTTTGACATGAAGGAAATTACTTTCCCTAAATCGCTAAATAATTGAGAATTATCTATTTTTCTTAAAAATAATTTTTACAAAAAATATTTTTCTTTTATCTCGAAATTTTTAGTGAAACAAATACATCCATAAATATGATTTTCCTTGGTAGCCAGTTAGAAATACACTAAAAAGGTAATCTAAAGGTAGACTTCGACCTGGTCGTCAGGCCTTGTTGGCCCATGTGGGTCCGGGAACGTTAGGGCCCCTTTCTTTTTATTCAAATTTTACTTTTTTATTTCCATTAGCCATCGGTAAAAGGTTTGAAATATAATAAGGTCAGTGTGTTTGAAAAAAAATATTATTTTCCTACTTTCTTGTGTTTGATTAACGAAAAAATAATTGATTTACGAAAAAAAAATTCCATGGATTGAAAACAATAACTTTAGATCAAGGGAAAACGACTTTTTCTTCTAGTAAGAAGGAAATCACATTCCTTAAATCACAAAACAAATGGAAACTCGCCATTTTCCTTGAAAACAATTTCATGGAAAATACTTTTCTTAATCATGAGGATTTAAGTGAAATGAACACATCCTGTATTCAAATTTTTTTCAAAATTACGCCGCACTAAATTAATTGACGCATAAACTGAATAATACGTTGTTAAACGTGGGGTTCGACGTAAATACAAGTACAACTTCAATTGGAATACAAATATAGGTACAAGTTCAAATTGACATCCGAGTACATTAATTCGGTAAAAAAAAATTACAACCGAATGGACGTCCCATTAAGGGTCAATTGCATGATTCTAGTCGTTGGTGGTTTCATTGTAGTCACCCCCTCCCCATAAATTGATAAAACAGTGTCATTGGTCTAATCTTCGTGATGTGCAATGCATTCTAATAGCGTTATTGACACTTAAATTTTTCGTCCCAAAGGTTTGCTCGCATCTTATAAAATTTAGGATTGAATCCGTCCATCAGAATTTGATAACTATAGAAAAGAAGCACATTTGCATGCTCACATCATTTTTCTTTACTACATTTAGAAATGAGGGACATTTTTACTTGAGAATAGGATACATAACATCGATTTAGGCAAGACCACAAATTTTTGTGAACCGACCCGACTCAGATTTGTTATGTTGAAGTGAAACAAGAATCCTTTTAGTGATTCTTAGAGGGCTGTGGTCTCCCGGTTATGGTCGGTTGGGTAGGTCCTCAACGCCACGTCGGCGTGGCGTGGCACAACGCCGGGCCCCGCGCTGCGCAGTGTCCGAGTGGGCTCACAAAAGGCCCGAATCGCCCTTTGCAAGGGCTATAAGCCTTGTGCTGGGTTTCCCTTAGGTTTATAAAGCTGGCCCATGAATAGGGTTTTCATCTGAAATTTATCTTTAAGGTGAGTTAGTTCTAACCTCTCTTTTGATTTTGGCTATTTAGAATAGGAGGCCTCTCTCACTTGAAATTCTCTTTGTTTCGTCATGCAAGGTATGCGTTAGGATCTTTCGTTAGTAAATAATTAATAGAATTGTATGCCATTAGGTGAAGCTCTCTTAGGATAAAACTCTTGTTTTAGATATAGCGTCATTATGCTGCTAAAATAAATTCTAATTTATGTTAAAAAGTTAGATAGTCATTCTGATGAAAACTAGATGCATTTTATATGGAAGCCCTATTATATAATGACAAACCTAATTCCACATACCGAGGGGATCGGTCCGATGAATCAGAGAGGTTGAGACCCCTGAAGGCTATCAGTCCATGAATGGAGGTCTCGTGCATGTGATTTTTTTCGTAAATTACGAAAGTTATTGAAAACACGAGTTTTGATAAAACCAACTCCGTCTTTAGAATTTTGGTGTCTATTAATTGAATGTCAGTGATTAAACTTTTAAATGCTAATTTGCAATGATCGTCATGAAAGTTGCTTATTGAACATCACCACATTACGAAAGAATTTTGCATCAGAATCAAGACTCCGTTTGTTTCATGAAAAATAACATCTAGAAATACGTTTTCCGGGTTTTTCGTCGTTTGGCTCATGAAAAATAAACTAGTCAAGGAAAACCTTTTCAAGTAATGGAAAAAATACCTTCAAAAGTGGAGAAAATGTTTTCCGCTTTAAGAGTTTGTTTAAGTCCATAAAATGATTTGATGAGTCTACACACTTTTGTGTTCTTGTCCTTTGACCTTAAATCCTTCTATCGGCATGGATTTTCATATTTTTATATTTGTGAACTAAAAATCTGTATACGTTGCTATTTTGAGTATAATCAATGAATATGCAAGCCACCGTTTTAGGTTCTAATCGAGTTTGGTTAGGAGGAAGAATTGTCGCCTCGGCTAGGCACCCCTATACTTCAAAATTTGTAGGATGGTAACCTTCTTGGTTCAATAGGACTTGGCCCATTGGCCATATGGCGTGCCTAAGCAGCATCGACCCATTGTCCTTCCACTACCGATAGTAGGAAGTTTTTGCCCTCGAGCCCTTCGCTTTAGTGCACATGAAGTCCATGCCTTCACCCTCGAGCCTTCTGCTCTAGCGCAACACAAAGTCCGAGCCTTCGCCCTTAAGCATTTGCCCAAACCTTCCGCTCTAGGGCACACGAAGTCCAAGCCTTTGCCCTCGAGCCTTCGCTTGAGCCACATGAATCAACTCCTAGCTTGGAATGAGTGTGCCAGCAAAGAGCCACGGCGGGCTCAGCCCATTGGATCCAAGCTCATGTCCCATCACCTTGTTGCCCCCACTAAGGTTACAAGATCGTGTGAATGAACTCGGCATCCAAATCTCCCTTAGAGTTCCGTTGAACCATTTCTCCATAACGGAACCATATGCCATATTGTTCTAAAAAATAGTCTTGGACATATCAGCCATGCGACTAGTACCCATTTGGCCTGCACTGTTATGAAAAACAGTCTAGGGTATATTAGCTATGACTAGTACATGTACTACTATAGATGGTATTTAGGGGTGAGCATAGTTTCAGGGTATAACCTGGAACCTGAGAACCTAACTAGTGGGAACATGTAGGTTCCAGATTCCAAGGTATGCGGGGTAGGTTCTAGGTTCCAAAAATTAGGGAACCTGTTTCGACGGGTAGGTTCCAGGTTCTAGATAAGTGGAACCTAGAACCTAAAGCCTCCATAACCTAGAACCTGAAATATAAACAAGTTTTTTGTGTTTTTTTGTGGTCTATATCTTCACGTGATCTTGCGGTGTTTTATGGCGTTAGGTAATAAGTGTATAATTTGGAACCGCTAGTTTGAGCTTTCATTTTATGATTTGTTAATGTTTCATATTTTTCGTGTATCTAAATATAAATTGTGGTTAGTGGATCATAACAGTAAATAGTGATCATTAAAGGTGATAATTCACTGTAATTGTTTAATTAATAATACAAGTGAAATCTGGGTAAACCCTGCAACCGACCCTCAAACTTGTGATATGATAGGTTCCAAGTTCCAAAAAATGATGATCCTATTATCATGGGTAGAACCTATACATAACATGAAACCGCTCACTCCTAGTATTGATTCACGCAATGACTTCTCATTTTAATTATATTTATTTGACCCATAATGTCAGGAAAACTAATCTTTTGTATTCTCTTTGGTGAATGATAAGCTTGTTCAGTATTGTTGTGTTTATTTTCGTTTTGTTTAACTAAAAATGAAATAAATAAATAAAAAGAATCTATTAGACCCTGGAACTTATCTTGGAACCCGTGACAGGGTATGTTTAGGTTTCGTGTTTCGACGAGTAGGTTCCAGGTTCTAAAAAATGAGAAACCTATACCCGATAATAGATTCTAAGTTCCATGTGAAACATGTAAGGAACCTGGAACCGCTCACCCCTAATGGTATTGACCCAAATGCCTACAATATTTGCTACCATGAAACTAGGCCTCAAGGTATGAAACTCTCCAACATCAGTGGTCAAATCAACCAAAGGAACATCTTGGACAGTAATGGGTATCGGTTTGTTATCAACCATCTCGATCTTTTAACAAACTCAACAAACAATTAGAATAATCGCCTTAAGATTGTTGGAAAATAACATATGTATTGGAGGAAATATATGTAATACTATATTGTTTGTTATACTCAGAAAAAATAAGCAGAAAATAATAAAGATGAGAAAGCAATAACAAATTAATTCTGACAAACACGGCCACTAGACGGAGTGAACGGGTTATTGCCTAACTTTGTGCTGAGCATCAACTTAGGAAGACTTCGGGCCATCTTCTTGGATACGAGGAAATGCTTTGAGCACGAGAATTCCTTCGCCTAGTGCGATGAGGCAAAACCCAAGCAGAGCTACTGTGGATTCTCGCCCAAAGTATCCCTCGCCAGCCACCACAGTCATTCGACGATGCCCTACATCATGTGAAAAAAATCGAACGGATTGAAACGAAATTAAACAGGAGGTGAGATACAACTAATCGAATCTTTCTAAGGCGATTAATTCCTACCGACAATGCTAGGTAGACTCGCGAACTATGCCTCCCAAGATACAACACCTCGAACCTGTTTATATTGATACTTTGCAAACAGGACTCTATCGAACACTTCTCGAAATCGGCAAACTTAGAGGACGACTTTCTAAAGAAGAATTCTCATTCAAAATGACTCTCAACTATCGATAATAGTTCAATTCCATTTATAGAGTTTGAATGGAGATGAAACGAAAAGATACAAGAATTTAAGAGACATATGAACTTAACAGATACATATATTGAAGAGATTCATTAGCTCAAAAGATACATGAACTGAAAAGATACATGAAGTTAAGATATAAATGAACCTATCAGATACATGAATTGAAGAGATATGTAAATTGAAAAGACATATCTCATTTTGCTCACATACGTTGATCCATTGACTCATGATTACTACAATTGAAGCATGAATAATGCTTGTCTATTTTGGAAAAAAAATCAAGGCAAATTTTTCTTGCCAAATGACGAAAAATATTTTTTGGGTCTTTTTTAGTTTGTAGTCAAACTTTGGAAAATATTGTCATTTTTTAGGAAAATGACTTCTTACAAAACATTTTCCAGAATCGTCTCATTTTCCACGTGACACAAATGGAGCCTTAGAGCAAAGCTGTTTTGTCCTTATGTTTCCTACTAATTAAAGTTAATGTCACGTAGGAGAGAGAAAATAATAAAAAATGTCATATAATTTTCCGTTAGTCAAATTGATAGAGTTAACAAAATGACTTGATCGCACTTTTTGAAAGTTTTAAGATTAAAATTGCCTTTTCATGACAAGTTTTATGAGAACCCATTTATCCTTTTAATTATTGTTCCTGCACTCGTAAAGTCAACTGAGTCCATTCAAAAAGTCATAAATCTGTTACATTTTTACCAATTCAGTTCGAACCTTTTCAATTTTGCCAATTAAGTCCCAAACATTTTTATTTTTTTGCCAATTGAGTCCATTAGGCTAATTTTGGTCGGAATTCGTTAATGTGGATGTTGACTGTCCTACGTATGTAGACAATTTTTAATAATATTTTAATAATTTTCAATTTATTATTATTTTTTCTTTTTTTCCTTTCTTCTTCCTCCTTTTGTTAGTGACCGGCCACCGGCCATGGCCGAGCAGGCTAGCCTCATTGTCATCGCCACAGGCTAGACTCGACTGGGCATGCACAAGCCCCAGTGAGGGCCAGCCTTGCCTTATCTGACGAGACGAGGCCTCGCCAAGGCTTGCTCTCGCCCATGTGAGCCCGACGAGGTTCGGTCTCGCCCACGCTAGATCCGGCGAGGCCGACCCTCGTCCAAGCCATGGCGGCCTTGCTAGATCTAGTGAAGGAAGCCCTCGCCCGGCCAGGCCTCGTCTATGGCAAGCGACGGCTACCGTTGTTCAAGCGAGGCTAGCTCGACTGGCCACCGACAAAAGGGAGAAGAAATAAAAAAAGAAAGAAAAAAAGAAAAAAATGATAAAAAATCGAAATTTTTTAAAATATTATTAAAGATTGTCAACGTCAGTACTGGCCGTGCCACGAAAGACGAACAACATTCACATCAGCAAATTTCGATCAGAATTAGCCGGATGAACTTAATTGGCGAAAAGTTTAGGATTCGATTGGTAAGATTAAAAAATTTATGACTGAATTAACAAAAATACAATAAGTTTAAGGCAATTTTCCCCTGTGCAAACGGATGTACAAGGGCAATGGCCGGTCCCCATTACGAGATTGGCCCTAGGATGCGATTGGGCGGCCCAATCACAGGCACACGGCCCATCATTACATAGCGGGCTCATTTCTCTCCAACGAGTCCAGCCCCCCCTCCCCCTTCGCTGCTAACGGTCTTGTCACCTTCCAAATCCCCCACCTGCTCCCCCGGGTTCGGTTTGGGAGCGGAGTGCGTTGGACCGACTTAAACAAACACGCACGCAGCGACGAAAAAAAACGAGACAACAATAAAAAAACACGAGCAAATCCCCATTCCTGATCTTACATCAATCAACGTTGCTCCCCCTCCCCCGAGAAGGAGAAAAAGCACGTCGACCTTCGTCCTGGCGTCGTCTTCCTTCCTCATAGCGCTCGTGGGCCCGTGCTGACGTGTATTTTCCAATATCTTTTTCTCTTTCTCTTAATTATTCGGTCGATTTTGCTCGACGCGATATTTAAGAAGGGGGAAAATTGCGGGTCGAGTTTCTAGCAAGAATTCCAACCTGTCTCCAAAGCACGCCCGAGCTGAGCGCGCACCTTCTTCTTCTCCATAATTTCCCCCTTTTTTTTCTTCTTCCCCTTCCATCTCCTCTCCGTCTCTTCTCCGTCTCTCTCGTCAATGGCGGCCTCCAGCTCCGGCGTCTCGATTCCTGCGTCCGGTAAACGCTCGCCGCCCCCGTCTGCATGGCGCGATTTCTCGTCTCCTCCTCCTCCTCCGCCTGCTTGCTGCGTCGTTCCTCGCCCCACCCCCTTTGAATTTTCTTTCTCTCTCTCTTGGGATTTTGCAGAGGCCGTGCAGGTGCTGGTGTCGTCCCTGGCGGATGAATCCCCTCTCGTGCGCGAGGCCTCCATGGCATCTCTCAAGGACATCGCCGCTCTGTACATATGCTCCCTTCCCCTTCCCTCCCTCTCTCTCTGTGTGTGAACGAGCGCATGCGTGGTTTCGTGTGTGCCCGTGGCGATGTTGATTAGGATCTTTGCTGAGCCCGCCGAAAAATGCAGGAACCCGCTCCTGGTGCTCGAGTGTTGCTACACCGTCTCTCGCGGAGGTCGACGGGTATTTACCCCTCCTCCTGCTCGCTGATTCTGCTGTTTTCTTTTTTTTGCTCCCCCGAGTGGTTTGTTGGGAATGGGGGAGCTGAATTCGGACGTTGTGCGATACGTTGCAGCGGTTCGGTAACATGGCCGGAGCTTTTCAAGTCATGTCAGTGGGAGTGCAAGCGCTGAATGCGAGAGATGTGGATCCGGCTTTCATGTCGAAGCTAGCCAAGATTGCTACCGCCGAGATGATATCCTCCAAGGTGTGTATGCGTTGGCTGATTTTACTATTGCTTTTGTCGTGTAGGCTCGAGTTTGGCCCAAGTCTCTTGTATGATTTGGGGTGTACAAGAGTTGGAACTGGACTTATTATAAGGAAGAAAAAATTTATAGCGCATAATTTGGTGAATATGTTATGTGTTTGAGAGCATATATCCTTGCTATTTTCCCCATGCTCATATGAGGAGGAGTAGTAAATTATTCACTTGTGAGGAAACCGTGGAGGATCTCTTTATTTGGGTTTCTCTTAGTTGGTGATGATTGTTGACCGGTGTTGAGGCTTGGGGGTTGATGGTCCTATGCGTGAAGCAATATGATCTGCTCAAAACCATCTTGTTTAATGGGATATTCTGGGTAAATGATGGTATACATCATGCATATCTTCCTACAGCTAATCATATTCTTACTGTAGGAATTAAATGCTGACTGGCAACGAGCTGCTGCAGGATTGCTTGTTTCAATAGGATCGCACTTGCCTGACCTTGTAAGTTGTGCTTGGATATATTTACTTAATATCTCTCCACAGTACCCCCACTGTTTTTTCAATTTGAGGTGGGGACATATTTAGATATTGGCTGCGGTCTTGGTAGGAGTGGAGATTATATATGAACTTTCCCATGTTAATTGGCTTTCTTCTAGTATTCATGCTCTATATCAAAAATGATACAAGTTCACCTGCTCTTAGCTTACCTGACCTCTGTTTTAAACTGTTTGTATTTCCGTGTTTCCTATTTTCCCTGACAAGATGTGTTGTAAGTGTTCAATTGATTTTTTTTTTTTTTTGATTGAGCACTACCTATTCATATATACTTCTTTGTCAGCACGGTAGATAGTTTTGAATTGTCTATAAACTGTTTGTGGTTTCTGCGGGATGTGGGGAATATAAACGCTACATTCACTGAAAGTTTGTAAAACTTAAAAAGGAAACTAACGTTAACTTAACATGGACAGGTGGTAATTTTAGCGTGTTAATACGAAAAATAAGCACAATAGATTGGCTAAGTATAAGAAGTTTGCCCATGCAATTCCCGGGCGACACATGCCAGTGATTCCTCCAAAGTTGAAAGATCTTTTATAATGCGGTAATCATTTATAATGCCACAATAGTGTATGTCCGTTCTTCACACGGTCTTATCTTTTTTTTTAACTTTTTTAGAATTTTGTATTTACTGAAGTTCCTTCCCTGATTTTGCGTTTTCGGCTTGTTCGAAAATATAATACTTTTGGAGTTATAGTAGTGACAATAATTATGAAATTCAATATGAGATAAAAAAACAATGAAAATATCATGTGAAAACGATATATTTTGGCATATGGAATAAATTGAATTTTCTTATATATAAATTCACTTTACACTTATCAAATATTGTATACATCCCATTTACTTATTTTCAATAGTAGGTTGAATTTATCATCAACTATTTTTCATTTATAATTCGACATGATTGCTTTCTCGCCATCTTTTTAGTTAAAATTAGTAACGAATATTGTATTCAATTATATGATGTATTGTACATAAAAGAAGTGAATTTACTATTTATGAAGTAGATTCATGTTTATGTAATCAACGATATATTTCCAATAGAAAGTATATTGTGCACATTGAAGTAATATTTACTTGTAATACAATCGTATATACTATTTCAAATACATGATTTGTTGTTTCAGCCTGATCTCGCTATACTACAAATTGCATTACATGCAATAAAGTCAATTTTTGTCCCTAGAACTTCGTATAAATATAGATGCTTGTATTTTTATTTGTAGAATTTTTTTCTTTGCCACATGATGTGCATAGCAGAGTCAAATTAATATGAACATATAACTGTGAATATATTTCCTGTACCAAAGAATATCTTGTACATTCAATTTCACATGATGTTTTTGTTTTAACCGGAGTCAAGTATATAGAGATTTATGAATAACAGACTTAGATAATTAAATAATGTTCTACAAAAAAACTTTAAACAAAAATACGGACACATAATTTCCCTGAATTTTGTTGATGTAATAATGCAATGCACAACGAGGGAAAATGAATTCAAAAGAAAGAAACTAGAATAACCTTCATCATTTCATAATAATTCAACCAAAAAGAAAACTTATGTAATTAATGTACTTAGATTTGCTTGGTTTTTTGTAGAATCAATAGTGTTAATTTATATTATGGATTGATAAGTAAGACTGAAGATCTTCCTTTTTCTATGTGTGTGGAAGATAAAACCACACACATGAATCATCGTAAATTCCGGTGGGATGAACAAGTATGAAGAAAACCTGAGTTTTGGGTCGACCTAGGGACAAGCATAACATATTATGAAAGCAACCTATGGATCAAAGTGCGTAGCTCCTTGTCTAAGTTGGCAGGAACTTTCTCTCTAACATCATGCAATTATATGATTCATGCTGAATTGCAGGAAAAAAATATCTGAACAGTAAGTAAACACTCCAAAACTGGAGTGTCACGGAGGTGGTCAGTGAAATCCCAATTATGGCAAGCTAAGAGGGCAGGGGTGAATTGAATGTAAATGAAATTTCAAAATTTTCCAAACAACTTCAGTACCAACATTGTGAAGCAGCGGTGTATAAATGGGTCAGCAATTCTATGCTGAAATACCATTGATACCGAGTAATAGTATGCAGAAAGTAATTAGGGATAAGAGAGTTTGATCTGAGTATTTGTAGAGTATTTGCCGTCCTCACCTACTTCACTCTTCCATAGCAGCCTCAAACCAAGCCGAACCCCACCATTATCCAAGTAGATCATGAGTTACATATGTCCTTGGTATGTCAGTCGTCCCACTCTACAGAAACACCAGTTGATGCTTACAACCTCCCTCTCGTGTCTACAAGAGACGAAAACCTCCCTGAATAGATTTCAGAAACTTTCTCAAGAAATTGGCAAGTTTAAGTCAAATAGTAATGATTATAAGCGATATAAGCTCTCGATTTTTCCTGCTTCTTCCAGTATGGTGCTACTTATTTATTTTGACTTCTTGACCTTATCAAGAACTTTGGGAGACCCTCAACTAGCCGCTAAGTCTCCATACCTTTCTATACTCGTATTCTTGTTGAAATGGACAAAAATCATATAGCATCATTCTGTCCTGCATGGAATTTTATTCACCATATAAGTACCAACCTTCTCGATCCTCAATTTTTTGATTCAATCAATTAGCCATTGCAAAATGCAAAGTTTCCATTTTTTGGATATGCTAAGCGTGGGGATAATCTTCACTTTCCTTGGCCGTTGACTCCTCTACATGGCAAGAATCTCAACGAGGTTAGATAGCAATCAAAGCAAGTTTTTTTTGCTGAGATTCGGATGGTAGTCCTAAATAATAGTTGGTCAATTTTTTTTTTTTTTTTTTGGTGGGGGGGGGGTGTGGGTGGGTAAAATCATTGTTACCTTTCAATAAAGCGTTGCTTGGAAAATGGCTATGGAGGTTTGATTTGGAGAAATTTTTTGGAGGGGGGCGCTACTTCCAAAACTTGGTCTGCAGGATCAACAATGAATTACCACTATAAATGGGGAAGCACATGGGGGGTGATTTTAGAAGCAGGATTTTTATTAAGGGGGGCAATGGTAGAATAATCCTATTGTGGAAATAGATGGTGGAAAAATATTGCCTTTAAAGATTTGTTCACTGACTTGTTTGCCTTAGCAAGGAACACTTGTGCTACAGTGGCTGATTGTTTTTTTTTTTTTTGGTCGAGAGTGGCTGATTGTCGGATTGCTAACAAGAGAGGTGGTTTGGCTGATTGATTTTTTATGTCAGGCCAAAGATCGGGAGGTGGAGGCTTTCTCAACTTCTTTAGCTATTGTACTAGATGATACCAGATACTGGAAAAGACACATGTCAATGTTGGATTTGTTCTAGATCTGGAAATTTTTTGGTTAAGTCTTATTAATTGAATGTTGTGTCTACACAGTTACAACATAACGTATCTTTCGCATGGAAGTCAATTTGGAAGACAAAGGTCCCTATGAAGTTCTCTAGTTTCCCTTGGGAAGCTGCTTGGGGACATATTCTAACTTTGGATAACCTTAAAAAGAGAGGAAAAATATTAGTTAATAAATGCTTTCCGTAAGAACCATGGAGAGAGTTGATACCATCTGCATATGCATTGTAGCTGGACCAAACTGATTTGGATTGTTTGAGCAGTTTTAGTCAAGAAAGGTGCAGGATGAACATTGGACTTGGGAAGCTATCTATTCATGCTTTGGAAAGAAAAAAATTGTCAATACGATTGCTCTCCTTGTTTCTTTGGTTTGTTTGGAAAGAAAGAAAAAAGAAAGCCCCCTTACCAAAAAAAAAAAAGAAAAAAGAAAGCTTCCAAAGGATAAGAATTCTCTTAGGATTCTTTTAGAAATATGTGGTTATAGATTCTTCACTTTTGGTATAATGGGAAAGTTCAGTATCATACTTATAGCTTGCTTGAAATGATAGTAATGGTCTTTTGTTCCTAATCTTTTTTTTCCTCTTTATGGGAGACTTCCCCAGTGATGTCGTCTTGTATAGGGGTGGGGCTCCCTTAGTGCCTTCATTAATAAAATTTGAAGATAACTAACGGTTGGTCAAATGTGTTACTTCCTCAGCTGAAATTCCAAATAATTTTGAATCTAAATATTTAGTGTGATGATGCAACACCCTGATGTGGCAGGCATTTGTATTTGGAATTGATAGGTAATAGAATGATATAGTTGAAAAATATGAGAGTGAGTGGGGTAATTTTGGGTGCCGGTGCCACTTGATTATTTTTGGTTTAACTGTTTGGACTAACAGCTTAAAGTAAATCTTACTTGTTGCATCTGTGATTTTCTTTATATACACTGATTTTGGTGATGCATCGATCAAGTACTTGTGTGCCACAAGATTCTTCCCTCTTTTTCACTTTTCGACTTCTTATATCTGTTACAGTTGAGTGAGATTATGATTTCACGACACTATGCTTATAACTATATTTGTTGTCTGTTAGATGATGGAAGAAGTCTTCCTTCATTTATCGGGTCCGAGTTCGGCTCTTCCTGCTATGATTCAGATACTAGCAGATTATGCTTCTGCAGATGGTTGGTGATAACTTCTCCGTTCTTTCATACTCTCTTGCCATCTTAAAATTGATTTTATTTGGTTATAGAAATATCATACTTGAGCAAACGTAACTGTCCTATTTTTGGAACCATTGAAGCTCTGCAGTTCACCCCAAGGCTTAAAGGTGTACTTCAACGAGTTCTTCCGATTCTTGGAAATGTCCGAGATCCCTATCGGCCAATATTTGCTAACGGTATTGCGTATTATCTGTCCATTAGCAATGAATCATCTGTTGTCATTTTGTTGGTATATAAAAATCAGATTGGTTGGCCAATCTTGACTCCAGATTTTTCAATGTTCAGCACTCTCTAATTTTTTTTTTTGTGGGAATGGTAAATAAAATTCATTGGAAGGGTACCAAGGGGTCACCACCCCTGTACAGAGCTAGATACAGGAGACACAGTTAATCAAATCTAACAAAGAAAATCTGTGACTTTGTAAATTCTGTCTGAACCAAAAAATTAGTTACTGTACCCATGTATTTTTTACAAGTTGATACTAGACTCTCCATTCTCAGAAGTTAGATCCCTCCAAATTATCCAAAAAATAGCTGGAGGAATCACTGAAAGCATTCTTCTCTTGTTTTTGCCTTGGCCAAAAAGCAGACCTTTCCATGCCCATATTTCCTATTTAATGCCAATAGCTTCAACCCAGGATAGACCCATGAAAGCCAAGGCAGCAATGCCACAGTGGCTTTGGCCAATTACACTGTAAAAGGAGGTGATAAACAGATTCACTTAGTTTTTACATTAAAGAACGTATTCACCATGCTGAAGTTTCTCTTTTCCAGATTGTCAATGGTCAAGATATTCACCCAAGTAGCCTACCAAGTAAAAACGCAACTGTAGAAGAGATTTTTGCTGTCCAAATTAGATCAGCTGGGAAAGCGTCCATCGCACCTGGAGATGATGAAAGCAATGCATGATAGAAGGTCGTAATAATGAACTCCCCATTCTTTATAATGTCCAACACCCCATGTCATCTCCCTGCCCAGTTTATGAAACTGATACATAATCTGAAATGGCTCAATCTCCCAATCGCAAGCCAATCTTCGGAACAAAGTATTCCAGATATCAGAAAGAGAAAAACGACCTGATAGCATTCTCTTGTAGCGAAGCTATTCTGAGCAAATCTGGAAAAAGCTCACTTAAAGGAAGGTGCAAGCACCACCTGTCATGGCAGAAGGAGATGGATGAGCCGTTTCCCACTTTGAACTCATTAAACTGCATAATATCCCATCTTCAAACTCCAACACCATAACTCTCATTGTTCACGCTAGTCATCCATCCGAAGTTGATGGCCCATATCTCAAAGACAACGGTCACTCAGTTGATCCTAAAACTTTAAGCCTCTCCACAGCCATTTTCCTAAGATGAGTTGCTGTCCGTAGTGTGTTGCTTCTGTTGGCACTTACCTGTTCGTATGGAATTATCTCACAACATCTAAAAAAGAAACAAATGATTTGCGGGATTTGTTCATTCACATCATATCAGTTGAAAATCCAAGTACATTTTCATGTTTGTGAAAGAAAGGAGAGATGAGTTAAATCTGGAGCCTGCTTTTGTAATTGTAATATATAAAACAATTACACTCGAAGACAAATAAGCTTAACTGAAAACATATCAAGACTGGTTGATCTGGTATTGATGTCTCTTGAGTAGCCTTAATCAAGGTAGCCCTGCAGGGATAAGTCCAACCTTTCTTGTGACTCGACAAGAGGGCTTTTATGGGGATCAAAGAGTTTTACATTTATATATGTTGATTTATAAAATCATTTTTTGAGAGGGAGCATCTCTAAGATATAACGAGTCATTTACATACTCTGCTCTCTCCAATATGTGGAAGCATTCCTTCTCTATAGGGATCTGCTGATAAAAGTAGGAGATGATGGCCATCTAGAGAGATAACTCAACCAGCAAAAGGCGATTTGGCGATCTAGAGAGATGACTCAACCAGCAAAATGCGCTTATCTTTATTATGATATTAATCATTTACATACTCTGCTCTCTCCAATATGTGGAAGCATCCCTTCTCTATAGGGATCTGCTGATAAAAGTAAGAGATGATGGCCATCTAGAGAGATAACTCGACCAGCAAAAGGTGATTTGGCCATCTAGAGAGATAACTCGACCAGCAAAAGGCGCTTATCTTTATTATGATATTAATCATTTACATACTCTGCTCTCTCCAATATGTGGAAGCATCCCTTCTCTATAGGGATCTGCTGATAAAAGTAAGAGATGATGGCCATCTAGAGAGATAACTCGACCAGCAAAAGGTGATTTGGCCATCTAGAGAGATAACTCGACCAGCAAAAGGCGCTTATCTTTATTATGATATTAATCATAAAATGGATGAGAAATATTCGAACGCTCTTTTATTCATGAAAAAAACTTTCCATTCTCTTGCTCCTATTCTTCAGATAGGTGTCCTTATGAGACCTGCTTCAACATTATTCTGACAGAAGAATGTCCATTGACAGCGAAAAGTAATATAGTGTTCTATTATGTAACTGCCTTAGCCCATGACTTAGCCATGATGTCCCCTTCTTTTCTAAAGATAGACAATTGTCATATATCATGCTAGTGGTATGTAAGGGCTAAAATTGTTAAGAAGAGTGCTAAAAATGCATGTTTTTGGCAGTTCTCTCTCTGTCTCTCTCTGTCTCTCTCTCTCTCTCTCTCTCTCTATATATATATATATATATTGGAAGGGTCTCAAAGGGGATGCTTGAAATAACAAGCCAAGTAAAAGCCATCAGTAAACACATATTTAAGCTATAAGCCTAAAATATGATTGTTGCTTTAGACTTTGGTTGAGTTGTCGCTTAAAATATAAATAATATGGCTGTGACCTCCTTGTTTTATATCTTTGTTAATTGTTTTTTATTTTTTATTTTTTTGACAGGAGTCAGTAATTTTAGTTAGCTGTAGGTTTTTTTTTTGTCGAATGTTAGCTGTAGCTTCAAGCACTAATTTTATGATAATTGACATAGCCAACAGACAGCATAAATGAAAATACTGGAAAGCCACAACAATGCCAAAAGGTCACCACTGACAACTAATAGCATGTCCTTAATAGGCTTTGAGTGTAACAAGCAAGTGGATTGGATGAATAATAAGTAAAATGAGGAGTGTATTGAAGTATTTTTCACTGATAAGTTAAATTTTTTTCTTTTGTTTTTCCTTTTTTTACTTCAAGCATCATCCTTCCATTTGTGGGCTGTAGCACATGGATAACTTAGATCTCTAATTTTTAAGGGTTTTTTTTTTCTTTGAAATGATGTACTTTGTGAGGTTTACATGGATAATTTTTCCAAAATATGTCTTCTTTTTGGTTTCCTCCGTATAATATAAATGACAAGTCATTTTGTTATTATCCAGCATTTAAGTATTGGTGCCAAGCTACTCGGCTGTATGTTACGGAGTTTCCTTCTCACTCACCCCTTGATGCTGATGTCATGTGAGTTGCTTTGTGCATATCTTATATTTCTTGGATCTGTAGAAAGTAATGCTTTGTAATGCCATTCTTGTAGGTCATTCTTGAATTCTGCCTTTGAGCTTTTATTGCGGGTGTGGGCAGCTTCCCGGGATCTGAAGGTTTGCTGTGTTTTATCATTTTAAAAGTGCCGATTATGCTTTGTTGCTGGTTGGCTTTGCTGATAACCTTGGGTTATGGCTGTATGATCAGAAAATTAATTTCGTATTTCTTTACGAAAAGAATACCAACTGGTTACTTGGTCATCTTTATTAAAATACTACACCAACCTGTTTTGTTTATTCACACTACTTTCGCTAATCTAAAGTTTAACTTGTTCCCCTTGTTAAGTTTGACAACTTCTCCTTTCCAATTTTTTGTTTTGTTTGATCACCTTATATCAATTTCACCTTGTAATCCAAGCAAGGTATATGTTTTTGTGGCCTGAATTCTGTGAATATGGGTAATTGTCCTAAGCTAGTGCATAATGTGGTGTCAAATGATTGAGGATTCCCGAACCTTCTTGGACTTTTGTGTAAAGAAGTTATGTTATGGTCGGTGTTAGAAAGACCAACCCAAAAACTCAAGCCATTAGGTGAAGGAGAGTTTATGAATATAAGGCCCGTTGAAACCTCATAGGAAGAGATGTGAGATACTTAAACATCGCCTATCACGTGCAACAGAGATTGAGAAGGCACGTGGAATGACGAGCGGGAGTGAGGAGCCTCACATGCTAAATAGACGTGGGGCAAAACTTGGCTTTGCTACTTTATGAAACAGTCTAACCCAAAAGTTTAAGCTGTTTGGTGGACGGGGATTACATAAACTAAGCCTCATTGAAACCCCATAGACAAGTCATGTGGAATACTTTACTAGTTGGAACATTCATTTTGAAAGTTGTACTTTGAAATTCTGGTGGGTAAAAATGTGGGAGTGTTAGATATTATGGTACGGACAAGGAGTACTACTTAACTAAATGAGGAAACAATATCAGGACAATTACTGGAAGATAGATGTTGTGGTGATTATCTGTTGCAGTAAGCACATGTCAGTTTCATACATTGTTTATGACGAGTAGATTAGGATTGCACAGGAAAGACCACCCGTTCAATCTCAAATCTTTCTTCTTTTACTATCAAAAAATTGATGGGTAATAGGATTATTGTTGTAGACATTATGTGATTGGCATCTCTTTGATCCAACTTGATTCCAATGAAAATTGTTGGAGAATTAAGGGCAAGATCTTGAATTTAATTTGAGGAATTCGCCTGTGGAAAGTCATGTATAAAGTGAGGTGGTTAAAGAGGCAAATAATTGCAAAGGCTTTTGTGGAGTGGCGTCAGTTCGTGAATTTGCTATAGTATAGCACAATATTTTCTTCGGAAAGTGCAAAGAGTGTGGGATCCACTTACAAGAGTTGATCCTCACTGACTCAAAATAGATGATTTTTTTATGAGAAAAATGGTCAATGTGTTGTTTTTCTGAAAGCTAAATAGTTTCACTTTATGAAGATATGAAGGGAGTACCCACCCATACAAAATTACAGAGAGAATCTAAAACAAAACATCCAAATAGAAAAGTGATATTTCAGTGCCAAGTCTAAGTACCTGCTATCATCTTTCTTTACACCAAGAAATTATACTAACTCTCGAATGCCCTCAACTTTCTTTCCCTTAAAATAAGCTGTAAAATTGGAGTAATAATAGCAAGTGACGAGTGTTAATCTTTTTGTTATGTGCTGATCAAACACCTTTCCAAAACTAGACTTCTTTACTAGATATAGAAGCCTCGACCTAATTGTCGATAGTTATTGAAAATAATGTTTTGGTAGGTTTAACATTGAAGCTCAATTTTATGTTGGCAAAATTTGGAGTCTAGGGCTTTGGTCGGCCTAGGTCAATATGAAACTTTTATAGTCCTAACCTAGCAAATAAATGGCATAAAAGAAAGTGACAGTGAAAAATGGAGATTTTAATAGGTTCCAAAGCGCAACATTCACAAATTGTTAGATCTATTTTGCATAAAATGCAATTATTGTTGGAGATTTCATCCTATTAGAATAATTAAATATTTCCACACCACGCCTTCATCTAATAGCTTGAGCTTTTAGAACAGTTGGCAGTTGTTCCACAAAATCTCACTTGGTATCAGAGCAGGAGGTCTTAAGTTCAAATCTTTCTGGGCTCCATTTGCCTCCCCAATTAAATATGTCCATGCTTAGTACTAGGCAAAACGACCAGACTAAGCGTGGGGGGAGTGTTAGAATATTAAATATAACCACGCCTTCATCTAATAGCTTAAGCTTTTAGAATAATTGACAATGGTCCCACAAAATTTCACACATCCACAAAATAAAAGCGGGATCAATCAAGTGGAGAAGGGCATCTAATTTTTGTATGGCTACAGAATGCCTCTTAAGATTAAGGACAAATTCTCTGGGAAAACTATAAGGCCGCGGATGCTTTATGAGATGGTGGACAGCCTAGTACAAAGATGCGCATAAAATGAGTATTATGAAGATTAAAATGCTTCGACGGATCCATAGATACTCATGAGCAGATCAAATTGGAAATTATCTTTTCCAAGGAACAAGTGGTGGAAATCAAGATAACGTGAGAGACACTGATTTGAATGTTTGAGGTTGTTTTAATGTGTTAAACTACTGTTTTCAAAAGCTGTCATGAGATTTGTTTGTTCCTTTTTCTGGATGGGATGCGGGTCAAAAGAGCTAGTGCTAGGGTAATGGTGGAATACTTGGATTTTACTGAAGGTTTGGTAATAATGTAGTGCTGTAAGAGGATGCGCGCAAACACCCCATTTAGTGGGGACAAATTTTTTTTTTTTGTTGAGCGGTTACTTTAAGATGATCGACTGATTTAATTGCCAATTTTTGTCGTTTAGACAGAGATTCTCATTGGATCTGCTCCTTCTAAAATAGGTGCGAACAACTTCTGTGGAAGCATTGGGACAAATGGTTGGCCTTATCACTCGCACACAATTAAAAGGGGCTTTACCAAAGCTAGTTCCCACAGTATTAGATTTGTAAGATGTTTACTCTGTATTGCTTGAAGAAGATGATTCATATTTATAGCTTGTTGACGTGTGACAGCCTCATGCTTTTCTTGTTTGTGCTTAATCTTAACTGTCAACAGAAACTATTTGGTATTTTTTTCCTGTTCAACTTATAAAATGAGTTTGCAAATATACATACTAGAAGCTTACACATGCAGGTGTTGACTCATGACGGGGTCTGCCATCTCAGTCCTTTCCATTTGTCTTTTATACTTACTCATGATAGGTACAAGAGAGATCAAGAAATTGCATATCTGGCTACATGCAGTCTTTACAATGTCTTATATTCCTCTTTGATGTCTGAAAGTGGTCCTCCTCTGCTCGACTTTGAGGTCAGTATGCATTATCAAATTTTCTTCTCTTTTTACCTGTCTTTACCTTCTTGGCTGAACTTATAAAACGAGTATGTCCATCAATTTTAACTTCATAGCTCGGGTTCTGTCTTTTCATCATCCTGCATCAAGTCTGTGGAGTTTGTGAAAAAGGTCTGCCTTTATTGTTGTCAACTTTGACAGTGACTTACGGCTTGTGATGGTGTTTTCAAGTATTGCATACCAAGTCAGAAATTCCATGGAATTACCCTCAACACAGGAAGTTGATGGTTGTGGTGGGTGTCCACGGTTAGCTGGGGTGGGTTGCTTGAAGAGGGATTAAATTGATTTTAGTGTGGTGTACTTGGAGTTAATGAGCCCCCTCTCCAATGAAATATCTGTTTGCAATATCTGACCTCACTCCATCCTCTGTTTCATGGAGGAGCAAAAAGTGTTTCTGTTATGTGGATACAAATTTGAAATACACGAATGTATGGCATGACTTATGTATAAAAGCATTTATGGTCATCTTTTAAGCCAAAATTAATGTTGAACACCATTAATAGATAAAAGTAACTATCTTACCAATGGAGCTCTTCCTTTGCTTGAAATGTTTAATTTGGACTGACACTGTTTTATTAATGAAATAGTAACTAAGCTGTTACTGCTTATTCTATTAAGTATTTCTGGGAAGAATAGTTCAGACTTGATTATAATTTACGTATTGCTGGAGAAATTGATGAAATCCATTTTTGTGCAGGATCTTACAGTCATACTTTCTACCCTTCTTCCAGTTGTTTGTGTAAATAATGAAGGCAAAGAGCGCGCAGATTTCTCAGTTGGACTGAAGGTGCGATCGCATGTCAGCTAAGGAGTTTTCTCTATGCAATTTTTGCAAATTCATGGCTCTTGTGGCTGTTGAGCCATCTGAAGAAAGCTGAAAAGAGATAACAAAGTTGGCCCAGTTGGTAGAGTTCACATTTCCCTGGGCATTAACTTGATTGAAATAGCACCATTCCCTCCCATATTCATTGATTAAAGAACAGAAACTTGAAACTAAACTAGAATGGCGACTCTGGTCTTGATGAAGTGCTCTTCATAGGAAGAAGATGTATGTAAAACTAGAGAGCAAAATAATGAAGAGAAGCCTCGCATATGGTGGTTGCTAGATACGATACATTAAAAAAAAAGCAACTATTCTCTGATGATACCCTGTTGATGGTTCATTACCGTTGAACAAGGACAACTTCTTATATTCCTTCCTAGATTGATGTGGGGTCATTTCAGTAAATTAGTTGGTGTGCTCTGTAATAGTTTGTGGTAGTCCAGAAAATCCTTGTTATTATCATCCTTTCATGTGTTTTATTTTTGTGCAGACATACAATGAAGTTCAACGCTGCTTTTTGACGGTTGGCTCTGTATATCCTGAAGACTTGTTTGGGTTCCTCATGAACGTGAGTTACTTCGAATGACAAAATACTCATTGAATCTTCATTTGTGTCATGCCAATGTTTATTTTAGTATTGCATAGAGTTTGAATGTGATTATTTGTTTTAGAAGTTTGGCAAAAGTCATATGTGTCTAATATTGGCTTATAATCTAACTTTTAGAGGCAGCTGAGTTGGAACTTGGATTGAAGTCATTGTATTGTCTGTTTTATTAGAAATGCAGGCTGAAAGAAGAACCTTTGACTTTTGGTGCAATTTGTGTTCTGAAGCATCTTGTACCGAGGTTTCTACTTTTTATTACAGAGCTTTTTTGGTTTTATCTTTGTTTTTTAGCTGGGTCAAACTTCTTTCTGTTTTACACTGAAGGTTGTCTGAAGCGTGGCACAGCAAAAGGCCTTCACTAGTAGAAGCTGTGAAGTCTTTACTAGATGAGCAAAGTTTGAGTGTGCGAAAGGCACTCTCAGAGGTATTGCAGCTAATTCATGGTCCCTATTTCTATTATATGATGCAATATAACACCTCCAATTAGTCACCTTACAGGGAATTGTCTGATTGTAGCTGATTGTAGTCATGGCTTCACACTGTTACTTGGTCGGCCCATCCGGGGAGTTGTTTGTGGAGTACCTAGTCCGCCACTGTTCTTTGTCAGATCATGAGAGAACTGATCCTGAAAGCTCGAAGGAGATCCAGAATAGGAGATTGGAGGTTCTTTCCTGACTCTTTAATGTTGAATTTCTTAGAGTCCATATATTTGAGTTATGAGATGAAAGAACTAGTTCTGCCTGTCTAGAATATATTCATAGATATCACTAAAATTTAAAGCGCTTTCAGATGGATGGCTTACTTTTTCCTCGTGATTGGCATTTAAGTTGTCCTATGCAAATTAGTTGATGCATCATCTCTCTTTGATATTATATGAAAGTGTCTATAGCCTTTCTGTGTATAACATGGATGCTGTGAAAAAAACTTGAGCCCTCATAAAACATAGCCACATGTAAATTGAATAATATATCTTAACTCTGCTGCTTGTGCAAAACCAGATCTTAGTCATTGGGAAACAGGCCTACTGTGTATATTTATCGTATTTTTTAACACTTGCTTCTAAGCCAAAACTTACAAATTGAATACTACTTCTGGACCTAATTACATGGATATATAAATGGAGACTGGAAGGAAAATAACATTTGAAAGTGTGGTGACTTGCACTCTCGACTTGTTCTATGGTATTTGAGCCATTGTATGTCAGGAATCGTGCTTGGAATGTATGTTGAACATATCTTAATAGCTAGAGAGATATTAATTTTGTGCGAGCTAGTTCGAAAGCTCATGTGAGTCTATTGACATCTGTTCTCCTTGGGCTTGGGAAGATCTGAGCATACTTAGAGACCTCCAGAGCTGTATTTGGGGCTTGAGAGGTACTTCAGTGAAGATTTCTTATGAAACATTTGTGTAGGAAGAAATTTGTCAAGAGGTGCTATTGATATCTCTCACATCGGTCAACAACTTTTCTGCACTGTTTTCCATGGGTGACAGAGTACCTTTCTGATAGAAAGTTGTGGAAGCCAGGATTGGGTCTGTTAATTGAAATAACAACTCTGAATCACTCAATTTTAATGCATGAAAGAAGTATTTTCTTACTCTCGCCTTCTATCCAGGTTAGTTCAGATGAAGACAAATTACGAAGCAGTCAAATAGGATTTGTAGAGAGCATTCTGCATCGTGTATTTTAAGCATGGACTGATCTCTGTTATAAGTTAGAGCAGAGATGGAAATCCTATGATTAATGACCAAAGTGATTGGTCCTTAAGAGGTTTACACTTAGGCTAGAACCCCCAAGTATCTCCAACCCCCACCCCTTGAAAACTTCGAAAGCTTTCAGAAAGGAATTCCGATAGCCTACTGGTTGGGGGGATTAAGAAAGATAATAAATTAAATTCACACTAGAGCCTTGGTTTTTGAGCTTTCACATGGTTTTGATTGACTTAAAGCCAGACTTGTTTTCCTATTAATCTTTGATGAGAAGTCTGGACCTGGCCAAACTGCTTGAGTTAATTAATATCATCATAACTTATATTGGGCTATTTATGTGCAAACATTAAATACCATCCGTTGGCTTCCAGGTGAGGATTGGAGTGGTTAATCCAGCTGAATTAAGGGCAATTTGTGAGAAAGGTCTTCTTTTGCTTACTATAACGATTCCTGAAATGGAGGTGGGCCAGTTTCACCCCTAGGCATGTTATTTTGTGGCCTATCTATAGTCGAGTTTACTGATGTCTAAGTTTCTGGCAGCATATCCTTTGGCCTTTCCTTTTGAAGATGATAATTCCAAGGATGTATACAAGTACGGCGGCCACGGTTAGTATTTTTCTAAATATATGCTGTTTCGTCGTTATTATGTTCATAGCAGCGGTACTCACACTCTGATCCATTGTTTTTTCACGTCTACCTGCCTTCTGACTAACTTGTTCAACATTCGTCAACTGGGTTGAAGCCTGTGCATGTTTAAGCAGATGGATGCATGCACTAAGGATTGCCTTCTCTTAGGTGATTGTAGTGTTTTAATTTCTTTAATGACAGGTCTGCAGATGTATCTCAGAACTATGCAGACATCAAACTTACAATAATACCGATACCATGTTAAGTGATTGCAAAGCTCGTCCTGATATTCCTTCTCCTGAGGTGGGGGCTGTGCCAGAGTTAACAGTAAATTTTGTTTCTTCTTACATTGTCTGATGTTTGATGAAAATTATCATCACGTGTGTGTTGAAACAATTAGGAGCTTTTTGCCCGCTTATTGGTTCTTCTTCATGATCCTTTAGAACGACAGCAACTGGCAACTCATATTTTAACTGTAAGTATGGTTCTGTCTCTTATGCTGTCTATCAGAAGCTTAAGTTTGTTGACGTTAGGTCTGGAGTCTTCATTAACTTTTATCCTGGAAATAGAGTTTGAATGGCAGAAACGATTTCTTATAAGATGGAAGTTTGTTTTGCTAGACGAATTTCTCTACTTGTTAGTTCTTGTTTTGGACGAAAAGAATATGGTAATTTGGGAGTGGGTGGTTGTCTTTTCTCTTTTTGAACAATTAAGCATGCAAGAAACTAACTGCTCCATTATACAAGTGTTCAGTCATTCTCACACACGCCTTTTTAATGTTGCAGGTTTTGTATTACCTGGCACCTCTCTTTCCAAGAAATGTCAACTTGTTCTGGCAGGATGAGGTAAGTTCAGCAACGAAAGTATGTATTGCCGTTTTTTTTTTATTTTTTTATGTAGGTAAAAAGACCTGGACAAAGTGTTTGGTTCCAAGAAAAGATTTGGAGAAGCAAGACAAGAACAACTCCAAAGTAATCTCAATCTAAAAAAAATTGTTTTCTAGACTTAGAGGCCAGGAAAAAGAATGAACTGCTCTCTTGAAAAGAAACTTTGCTTAAAAATGAAAACTCTAATCTGTTCACAACCCTTAGAGAAAACTAAATAGGCATAAAATCCTTTATTTATAGGAATCCTAGTTAGGATGGTAAACCAATACTCTAAGGACACTTGAAACCTAAGTAATGACTGTAAAGAAGTTTGAAAACAAAACTCAAATTGCTCTTTCATCAATTCCCCTAAAGTGGACCGAACCCTACACCATGAAGAAAATTTCCGCGTATTCTTCTGCTGGAGAAGTTTGTTCATCTCCTTTTTAGAAAATCTCAGCAAAATCAAGTTCTTTATATATGTTTACCTAAACTTCCTACACTTCCAAACAACAGGAGGGAAATTATTTTCTCGTCCTCTTATTTCTTCATCTCCTAGAGAATCTTCTAATACATAGCGTAATTCGTGTATAGTAAAGTACATATTCTTTATTCTCTTGCATCACTTTAGTATTTTTGTGCATGTTCAAAAACCTTGGTGGTTGAGCATACCATGTGCATTTTTTATACGACAAATTAGCAAATATTTATTGTCAATAGTCAACCAAACACAGTCTTCAGCAGTGGATTTGTTGTTTGTGGTTATATAGATTTATGAGATTGATGGATCCTATCTGATTTTCTGCTCATGGGACATGGCATATTTTGTCTTTTATGGATAGTTTGTTCGGTAGCTTCTTGTTGTGTATGGGATTGCATTTATGAGATAGCCGTTTTATGAATTTTTCCATGTCAATCTGGTCGTGCTTTCATTTACAAGAGACTGTATAAAAAATGGTTACTCATAAAGTTTATTTGTTTTCTTCTTGGAAGCTCTAGATTCCAAAAATGAAGGCATATGTTAGCGACACGGAGGACCTGAAGCTAGATCCTTCATATCAAGAAACATGGGATGACATGATTATTAATGTATGCTTCTTTTTTTTTTTTTTTTTTTCTTTTCTCTTTAGTGGCTTTTTTGCACCTTGGAAAGTGGTTTTCAATTGTTTAAAATAAAAAGAGTGGTAATTATTCAAAGAGGATTTTGTTCTTGAAATGGTGTTCGTGATGTTTAATACTAGATTATGGTACCTGTGATTATGATGTGATAGATGATTTGAATTGTGTGAGCAATGTAAATAAGTGCATGTTAACAATTAATATGCCTTGTATTTTAAGACACTCAATTGGCACTAGATAATTCAAGAGAAGAACCATATTGAAATTAAAGGATATTAATCATGAATTTCTGACAAGTTAACATGTTGATTAAAGTTATTAATGTTGATTTTAAAAATGGTCAATTGGTGGGCCAGCTTAAAGTCTTCTATCTTGGCATCGCTCTTATTTTTGCTTTTTCTATCATGGAAACAGTATAGGGGGATGATTGTCTAACTGGTTGGTTTTCACATCTATTATGGTTTTGTCCAGTTGTTCATCCTTGCTTTTAATGTGGTAGACACTTCTATTGTGCAAAGAAAATTGACTGACTTATTTTTTATAATGGAGAAAAAAATGATGAAGCCATAGCAATATTATAAACAAACAATGTTTCTTGTGGTTATAGTTCTTTAACCAACAATGTCTATTGTTGTTTCTGGTTGGCAGTTTCTTGCTGAATCCTTGGATGTGATTCAAGACATTGATTGGGTGATTTCTCTTGGAAATAGTTTCACCAGACAATACGAATTGTACACATCTGATGATGAACATTCTGCATTACTTCACCGGTAAATCTCTGGTTCCGTAACAACTTGTCTTATTCAATACTTATTTTCATGACTAGATTCACCGAATCCTGTTAAGTTCCTTCAAGGATATTTTTAAAAACTTTATGTGGATGTGTTTTGAATTATTATTGGTACCTGAAATATGGTGCCGTTTTTTTCACGGTGATTCTTTAGTGTGTGTGTGTGTGCGTGTGTTAGAGAGAGAGGGGAGGGGGGGTTGAGGGGGGAGGGACAGGGAGGGATGCTAGGTGGTCCTGTCGCAACCAGCGAGGGTTCTGGTGACCTCCTTTGATTATTGGTAGAGGTTCTCAGTGATTCCTTTTGATTTCCTTAATAATAGTCTCAAGAACCTTACGAGGATGACTTCTGAAATATAACAAGCTAGGTGCTTCTTTCTCATTGCTCAAATTATGTGATTTCATAACTATGAAATAGTTGGCCTTATTTCATTTATCCTATGGGGTTGCTGTGGGTTGCTGTTAGTGCTCTGATTCTGTTTCCATCTACAGCAAAACATTTTCTTCAACAAAATCCCCAAATTTGGTCCTCAGAATTCACACTGCTTAATATGGATGGTATTCAATGTGAGACCTACCTTCAACTGCAAGCATTATGAGCGAGTAAAGTCCTTTTCAAATTCTAGGAAGCTGTGACTGTCATGTCCAGCTTACCTGCAAAGTAAACTGCCATTTAGCAGTGAGGATTGAGCGCTTAGTGGTGATGTACTGTAACTTGCTGCAATCTACAGCGCTGGGTTCTTACACATTCTTACAAAGGTTGTGTGAGGAAGAGGGTGTCAATTTTTGAATGTCTCTTTTGTTTCTTCACTGCTTCTCCGTCAAAACCAGTGTTGACGTGGATTACAACAGTTTTGTGTGTATGGCCCTACTAACATAATTGTCGTTGTCCTAAACCTAATTTATTGAATTCACATCCGCTATGTTGTGTAAGGTCCGGCTTACACGATGATTAAGTGGTGGAAGGAAGTTGTTCCTCCTATTATCATGATACTTGCAAGATTGGCATACTTGAACTTGAGGGACAGCGTTGAAGTACAATTAGTGATGTTAGGAATTAGCATGTGTAAGAGGCCTAGTTAAACCTTGTAGTCAAGTGATGGGAGACACTTTAACATCCCCTCACATGCAAATGGGACTAAGAATGGTATGTGTAATGGATGAATGGGGGATTATAATAGATAAGAACCTGACACTGAAAAAATTATTAAATGGTCAAGAAGAATAAACTTGTATCCGATTACTAAGAAAGAAAGTGCATCCCAAATGTTTAAGCTATTAGATAAAGGAGAGAGCATGTATAGAAGGTCTAGTCAAACTCTGTAGTCAAGTGATGTGGGATATTTTGGCAAGTCAAAGGTCAAAGACCATTGTATATGTAATAGGGAGTGTTAAGAGTAATCGAAAATTAATTACTCCATCTAATTCTAGTAGCTTAGGCTTTTGAATTGTGGCGGCTCAATATTGAAAATGCTAATATTTGCTGGAAATTAGTTATAGACTTTTTCTTTGGATTTCCAGATTTATATTTTCACTTTGTGTCATTCATACTGAGTTCTTGGTTGGTTTCCTTTGCATGTTCGTACATTTTTGGTAGCTAGACCAGCCGATGGTATTTAATTAAGCTACATTTGCCTGGTACTTGTTTATAGAACATTAGCATGCATATGCTTATGTTAACTGGTTTATATGAACTTTTCATCATTCATTTGACAGGTGTCTTGGTGTGCTGCTTCAGAAAGTTGATGACAGAGCTTATGTACGTGACAAGATTGCCTGGATGTATAAACAAGCTAATATTTCAAATCCAACTAACAGGCTTGGTTTAGCAAAAGCCATGGGACTGGTACACTCTAAAGTTAGGACTTCGTTATTAAGTTATTCATGTTGTAGTTGCTTTCTTGAGTTAGCTTCTCCCTGCTTCAGGTTGCAGCGTCTCACCTGGATACCGTACTAGAAAAGTTGAAGGATATTCTGGATAATGTTGGTCAAAGTCTTGTTCAGAGGTGGGTAAACAGTCATCTTAGAGAGAAGGATGTTTTTCCTTTTTCTTATCTGTCTGAGCAGCCAACTTGATTGTTTCTTGTTTGCTGATAAACAATCTACATGGTCAAATTTTATATTTTGTGAAAATCTACAGGTTGTTTTCTAGTTGGGGCCCTGCTAGCATGTTCCCTAAGGCTACTCGTTAAGCATACTTAATCATAAAGATTCAAGTTTCAAAGCACTAAGTACGCTTATTACACTAAAAGTTTTTTTCTTGGTCGAAATTATTACACTAAAAGTTAGTAACTTGAAAATAGAGGACTTTGTTGAAAATTGAATCATTCATGTACCTTCGTACATTTTACTGGGTACACGGTGGGTATAATACCATGCCCTGAGACCTGGCATGTATTCTCCAAGTCCGATCTTTTCGAACCTAGACTCTGCTTCGTGACCTTTAGTACTCACCCTTTCCACAGGTTCCCAAGTTCTCCACACCCTTAGTTTTTGAGAATGACATTGAAATTTTTTGTCTTCTTTCTTTACCTTTTTGTTTTTATTTTTGGGAAGGGGAGTGGGAAGAAAGTAAACTGAATAGCCAATTTTAGGGCTAATTGCTGAATTAGGTGCAGCCATTCCCTCTAATCTTATTGTTTCCGTGCATGTTATTATTGCTTGTCTAGATAAATTTGTTCACTCTCTTTGATCTCCTATAAAGAGTGCAACTTCAACTATTGCAGGTTCCTTTCTTTCTTTTCAGATAGTTTTAAAGGGATCGAGTGTGATGATATACATGCTGCTTTAGCTTTGATGTATGGATATGCTGCAAGATATGCTCCATCAACAGTTATCGAAGCTAGGATTGATGCACTTGTTGTATGACCTCTCTTTCTTGATCTCATTTTTATGAGGATTTTTGTATGATAACAACTGAAATATACTAGAAGTACAATAAATATCTATACAACTGAATTGGAGTGTAGCGAGTGTGTGCAATGAGAAAAATACATTAAGTAATTTTCATTGGAAAATTAGCACGAAAATCGTTCAGTGCATCAACTATTAAGAGGAATCATAGCTCACTGCAGTGATCAAAAGGACAGGTCAATGAACTAACTGCAAACTGCATCAATGTATAGCGAAGCCGTGCAACCGGAGTTTTTAACCTATAGATTACCGTTTTTCTCTTACTGCTTGAAGTTTAAACTGTGTTTATTGACTTGTATATAAAAAATTTATGTTAACTTTTTTCTGCTAATGTCTGAGTTTAGCTACAGAAGATACAATTAGAACAACCTTGTTCATGATCTTTATGGTTTATTGTTTTGTCGCACCTTTTTACTACTGCAGGGGACCAATATGCTTTCACGACTTCTTCATGTGCGGCACCCTACTGCAAAGCAGGCCGTTATCACTGCTATTGATTTGTTAGGTGTGCTCTTAGTTCTAGCCTTATCATTTTAATTTCTAGATTTCTTTGTGAGACGTGCTTGGAGGGAAGTTTCAATAAAATATTCATAGAATATCGAGTTCTATGAATAGTAGGCACCAATAGACTAAAAGTAGGTGACTAACAAGATGTGAGAAAATTCGAAAAGATGGGACTTAATATCAAATCTTGAGTTGCTTCGGAATGGATGCTTGATAAGTTGATAGACTTACAAAAGTGACCAATGGAGACCACTAGTCATGCTACTCCAATGGCGAAAATTCGCAAGTGCCCAAGTTTTTCACTTATAAACCCATGAATGAAGGACTTGGAACATGTCGTGTTTGGATGATCAAAATCGATAGTAATTCTTGGCAGTCACGTGGTATCTTGAAGTTTACACATTTATTTTACTAGAGGGGTGTCTGAGATACTCATCATACTGTAGAGAGCATTGTTGCTATGTTTCCTCAGATGATTGCCCAAGCAACGAGAGGGCTTTGTGTTCTGACGATTAAATGACAGTGAGCCAAAGGGATTGAGTTGTCTCTGTTGTTATTATGTTAAATGGATCATTGGTTTATCTTGTTAGTTTTGTAAATCTTGCAGCAACTTTGATGGCGAATTTCTGATGCAGGTCGCGCTGTCATAAACGCTGCGGAAAGTGGTGCGCCATTCCCACTGAAAAGAAGGGATCAATTGCTAGATTATATATTAACATTGATGGGAAGGGATGATAATGATGGTTGGACTGATTCCAATCTTGAACTTCTACGTACTCAGGTAACATTGATTCATTATTTTTGTATCAAATCAGTGTTACTCAGTTACCTAAATTGTTTATTTTTGTGTCAAATAAGGGTTATGATCTATTTTCTGCAACATTATTGAGTTGCTTTCTTTGGATATTGTACAGGCCCTTGCCTTGAGTGCTTGTACTACTTTAGTTTCTGTGGAGCCAAAGCTAACAATTGAGACAAGAAACTATGTTCTGAAGGTTGAAACCCATGCTCTTATTTTATTTGCTCCAACTCTAGTCATTCACCTTGGATTTCTCTTAGTGTTGTTTCTCTCTTTCCAAAAATTTGGACAGGCCACGTTGGGGTTCTTTGCCCTACCAAATGATCCACTTGATGTTGTAAATCCTCTGATAAACAACTTGATTGATCTTCTATGTGCAATCCTTCTCACAAGGTATGTAATATTCTAAGGTTTGCTCATTACCTAATCTCTGGAAAGACCAACTGCCTGTCGTTTCTTTTTGGGTAAATATAGCCGGTACACAATGGTGGTGGTGGTATGGATTTTGTGTACCATGGTGATACCATGTTTAAAAAAGCCTCTATTCATGTTCGAGTTGCTTCTTTCCAGTGGAACATGCAAACCTCTAAAAACATTATCTACTAAGCTGAAACAGGAAAACTCTCGTAAGAAACAGAAATATAAGAACACCACATAGTTCAGGGTATGAAGGTTAGTTAGAGAGGGCTGGGGTGTTTTCGTGTTGACACTTATTAATGTTGGCAAGGAAAATAGAATTTCCATCTGAGGTGACATCTAATGCGGCCATATGGCGCTATAAAAGGATGTTTTTTTGAAATTTTTTCTTATTGCAAGGATTGGAGAGGCATTTGTCATTTCTCTGATGATGTGTTGGTTTGGAATAGTTTCAAAGACTCAACACTTTCTGTAAATCTTTTTGTGGGATGACAGGGGAGTTGAATCGCTCTATAGGATAGCTTTTCCTTAGAAAGCCATATGGAAAGCAATTGATCCTCATCAAGTTGCTTTCTTTGGTTGGAAAGCTACTTGAGCACGTATTATTAATTCGGGGGATATGAAGAAGAAGATGTGAATGCTGACCAGCATGTGCTGACGTTGGACCAAAAGGAAGAAATGGCTGAGAATTTTGTGGACTTCTCTTGGCTTGATAGTGCTAAGCTGCGTCACAGAGTGGTATCAAACAAGAATTGTGGAAATGGTGAGGTCTTCATATCTTCTGTCATATTAGGGACATAAGAGAGGGACAGAGAGAGGGAGACGAAAAGGGCTATGTAATAAATTGCTTCACTTAGAAAAATATTGCATAGGTGGCTCCATTTATAGAGCATGGAGACAGAGAATCAAACCTAATACACTGATCCCGAACTACCTTATTCAACACAGGCAACCCTTACCTACTATTTACACATTATTGCCTACTTACCTACACTGTTTACCCATCAAAATATATATGATGATGCTAGATATTCTTTAACACTCTCCCTCAATTGAATACGGATAATAAAGACATGCAACTTACATCAAACATCAGTGACAAAAGCTCTTCAATCTTCAAGGAATGGTGTGGTGTAGCCATGTAAGTCAGATCTTATAATATACTAGATGTGGCCACATCAAACTGGAATGAAGATGGTGACAAGTGGGTAAGCTGGATGGCCTGGACCTTACACAGATACAAGATGTGACCACACCAGAACCGCATTTAAGTGATAAAGCGCAGAAGAGAAAGAAATAATTCTAACGCAATACTAGTGGACACCTACTCTTTCTTGTGTTTTGTCTCGTCTTTTCCTCTATGTTCTGTTTTGGAGAAAAAACATTAACACAATGAAAGACTCTTACAAATGACCAAAGTATGAAAGCCATGGCAACAGAGAGCTCCACTGTGACAAACAGCGAGCACGATCAATGATAAAATTCACCGGCGACTGAAAAGATGCAATGAGCGCAAAGGTTAATTGTCGCACCCGACCCTATGACTGATGGAGGATGACAGGCAATGGAGCTTATTAGACAAGATGAAAACCTAGCTCAATGAAGACTGATGGAAGTGACTGGACCAAAAATAAGGGATAATAACATGGTGGCTGGGGCTATTTATGGTGGAGAATGAATGATAAAGTTTGACTATGGAGAGAGGAGAGTGTGAGAAACAAAAGCTTGCTAGCAGATGGTAACAAACCTCGATGAATGGAGGGTGCCTCCCCTGATGACAACGAAAAGCACTTGGCAACACATGCTAGGATGTGCAAACAAACTCTCAATCTGCCTTTGTATTACTTTTAACACATTTTAGATGAGGGCTGCTCAGATAGACCATGGACAAGCGGTCTATTGAACAAAAACGAAAGTGTTGACAGACTAGTTATAGTATGGAACTACTGTAATGGGACTGGGCTTTACAATATGTTCCAGCAAAAAGTGTGCTGATACAGAAGTTAGTTTTTAATATTGATCTGTCTTTTGTATGTCTTCCATTTTTTCCCTTTGCTGTTTCTATTACACAATGGCCATTTATCTTGCTAGCTAGTTTTTTTGCCTATACATCTAATATGAGTAAGGGCCCGTTTGGTTCAACTTTTAAAATGCTACTTGGGGGAATGCAAATACCTTTAGGTTAAAGTCCCTTGGGGAAATGCAAGTGGTGTTTGGTAAAAAATCATTTGTAAAGCTACTTTGGCCCAAGTAGTGTTTAGTAAACTTTTTTTTGCTAAAGGGCTTTGGGAATTATCTTTTTTATTAAAAAAAAAACCTATCCTACCCTTCCCCGGAGCCGGCAAAGGCCTATGGCCACCGGCGAGGGCCTACAGCCGCCTGGCGAGCTAGATCTGGCGCCGGCAGCCATCGCCCGAGGTCAGGCGACCCCCAGCGAGCTAGATCTGCCGCCGGCGGTTGTCGCCCGAGGCCAGGCGACCTAGGCGCCGGCCGCCTGAGTCGTGCGACCTAGGCGCCGGCCGCCTGGGTCGTGCGACCTCGCCAGCCTCTTGCCGGCCCGATCCGGTGTCGGCCGCCCTCCCTCGCCGGCCACCTCACGAAGAAGATGAACAGTACAAGAGGGGCAAAATCGGAATAAGCCAAAATAAGTGAGGGTAGTTTGGGGACAAAAAATTTTGGTTCAGCATTCCAAATGCTAGCATTTGGCCAATGCTAGGCCGAATGCTGAACCAAACGGTTCAGCATTTTGGGAAGGGGCTTTCGAGGCTGAAAGCCCATTCCAAAACCTGAACCAAATGGGGCCTAATTAAGCTCTGGACAGTGGCATTTAATCCGCTGTAGGGTAAACCAATGATGACAATGTCACTATTCTTGTTTAAAATATTAGTTGAAGTGTTAGTGTTGGTTTTGTCTTCAATCCCTACTTGCCTGCAAGTAAAATTTGTCTTGCTCTTCTAATAACCACTCTGTGTTTCATTTAGTGGGGAAGATGGAAGAAGTAGGGCTGAGCAGCTGTTGCATATATTGAGACAGATTGATAGATACATTGCTTCCCCAGTGGATTATCAAAGAAAAAGAGGCTGTCTTGCAGCATATAAGATGCTTACCAAGTTTCGCTTGCTTTGTGCCACTGGATATTGTTCGCTGGGCTGTCATGGAACTTGTACTCATAGCAAACAAATTGACCGTGGCCTGCTTGGGAATTTCTCCAGCTTACCAAGTATTACTGTTAATTGCTACAGCTTCTTGAATTTGTTTATCTTTCACTGACCTTAATCTGTTAGTTCTTGTCACCAGCGGCATATGTGTTGCCGAGTCGTGAAGGGTTATCGCTGGGAGATAGGGTTATAGTATATCTACCACGTTGTGCAGACGTGGAATCTGAAGTCAGGAAGATGTCAGCTGAGGTTAGTAATTAGTTAGAACAATTCTCCATTTTCTGTAATTAACCCAAAAAAGGTCTCTTGCAACAAATATGATGGTTTCAATTACCCAGTACCAAGAACTTTGCATGGGTGGATCATGTCCCATCAAGAATTCTTCTTTACTTTTTTACTGAATGTGATATTGTCAACGTCTTATCTCCACTCCCAGATTCTTGATCAGCTTTTCAGTATCTCCCTCTCTCTTCCACGGCCTGTAAGTGCTAGTGTTATGGATGTCGAATCGTCCTATAGCGCCTTATCATCTCTTGAGGATGTCATAGCTATACTACGGAGTGTAAGTCCATTCAGATCTCCCCTGTTCATGTACTTGTTTTTTCACATTCCATATTTCTCCACTTGAGGTTGTCTTGGGGAAAAATTTTGGTAATTAGTGGTGAGGATCAGCCAGTGTGAATCGGTTGTTTCAAGTATTCATATTGGTTTTATTTGTCTACAGGATGCTTCTATTGATCCCTCTGAGGTGTTCAATCGAATAGTTTCCTCCGTCTGTGGGTTACTGACAAAGGATGAGGTAAAAATTTCATCTTTCATGATTACTCATGATACCGAAGTATACTTGATTATTATTGGACTAAGACTATTATTGATGATTATTGTAGCTGCTGTCTACTCTTTATGGTTGCACAGCAGCTATTTGTGATAAGATAAAGCAATCAGCAGAAGGGGCTATTCAGGCAGTCACTGAATTTGTCTCTAAGAGGGGGGCTGAGCTGAATGAAAATGATGTTTCGAGGTACTCACTAAGAGAAGGAAAATGTGCGAGTCTTTTCTTTTAACATAGATCATCTAGGCAGTTATACTTTGTGATTCACATATGCAGGACAACCCAATCGTTGCTGTCTGCTGCAAATCATGTAGCTGAGAAGCAGTTACGCCTGGAAACACTCAGTGCCGTATCTTTTGCTATTTATAGGCAGTATAATTAGATGGAGATGAGACATAGCTATATCTTTAATTTCAGTGTCGTATGTGCTGTGCTTTGTCACTTGGTGTCCTTGACAAAGCACCCTTAACTGTCCAAAGATCTGTTCTCTTGCTGAAAATACTAGTTCGAAGGCTGTTTTCAATGAAGTATTGGCTGCTGCTGGGAGGGACATAGTCACGAAGGATATATCAAGGTTACGTGGTGGTTGGCCGATGCAGGATGCTTTTTATGTGAGCTTCAATTTTTTTGTTATACGAATCATTACCTTATCCATATTGAATGCATCTTTTATTGTTTTTGTTCAATATAATAGTCATTGTGTTGTGGGTTGTCGAGGGCAGAACCTTTTCTGACAATGAAATTGTAGGATGTCTACATCATATGGTGTATATGCCATACCTTTCATACCAAGTCAGTCCTTGGAGGGTGAGTCTAAGGGCCAAACTGTATTCTAATGTACTCATATTAATATTAAGAGATAAATACTAGGTTTCATCTTTTGACAAAGAGTGCGGAATAATGACTTTTTCCTAAAGAAATAAAATCCGGAGAACAGAAATTTGTCTGTGGGAGAACATCCTGGTACCACATGCATAAATAATGATATTTCATTTTAAGTGGAAAAGCGATTGAATACTTTCATAAGCTATATTCCCTTTGGGAAAAACAGAGGTAAGGTATTCTAAATGCGGAGGTCTACTAGTTCTGACGCCTTTTAATTATTTTATTAATAGGACTGATCTTTTTATTTGCTAAGACGTGACTTTATGCAGGGGCTTATTACTTGCGTCCTCCTGTTAATCAGATTAGAAAATTGTGTCAAACAAATATGAACTGCCTGAGTTTGTTCTTTGTCATCAAGAGGATTACTCTCTCCTGTATAGGGAATCTTATGATAGACATTGTTATAAATGTCCAATATAATGGCTTAGGTTGGTTAAAGTGTGGTAAAATACTCAGACGTTCCCCCTACACATAGGCCCAAGAGTTAAGTGTGGAAATATATAAATGAGGAGGCAAATAGGGGCCTGAAGATGTGAACTCCAGATCTTCTACTTTGTTATCATGTTATAATTTCCAACCCAGAAGCATTATCTAATAGGTGAAGGCGTTATTTAATATTTAAAAACTTTAACAAATACTGTGGAATCTTGTTTTATCTTTTGAATGTAAATTTATTTCTTTTCTTAAAGCAACAGGTATTTGCATGATTATTTCCATGCTCTATTTTTTTGTATCCTGGCATTAATGGCTTACTTGGTTCATCTCTGAGTTTTAATGTCATGTTTTCTTTTTCCTCTTTTATTATAGGCATTTTCGCAGCACACCATACTTGCTTATAGTTTTCTTGAGCACATCATATCTATTATCAACCAGAGCCCTGGCAATAGGGATGATTTAATCAAAGTGGAGATATCCAGCTGTGCCTTGGAAGGTCATTTAGACAACGAGTTTCTGCAAGCTGCTGTTGTTGCGCTTACGGCATTTTTCAGGTTCCTATTACTACCATCAGGTTTTTTCTTCACGATGATTTATGCAGCGTTCTGATATCTCATCGCCACTGCAGGGGTGGTGGCAAAGTTGGAAGAAAAGCCATTGAACAGAGCTATTCTCATGTCCTCACGGAACTTATTATCCAATTGGGAAGTTCTCATGGCCTAGCTGGTGCTGGTCAGCATGAACCACTACAGTAAGTGATAAAATAACACAGGATAGTAGCCATTGAAAACTTAGTATTCTTACTATATGGTTTGAGTGAGGAGTGTTTTAATGCATTTTCAGAATATTTAAATTTGATGAACCAGTGAACATCTTCCATCTTTTTTGCAGGGCCCTTCTTGCTGCATTCCAGGCATTCTGTGAATGTGTTGGAGACCTTGAAATGGGAAAGGTATAAAAATTAACCTTTTTGCTGTTGACATGTAGTTCTCATTTAACACGTGCTTCTGGGAGAAAAACATAATTCTTCTTTTCTCTAGATTTTGGCTAGGGATGGGGAGCAAAATGAAGATGAGAAGTGGGTTAATCTTATTGGAGATCTAGCAGGCAGCATATCCATAAAGAGACCAAAAGAAGTGAGCCTCACTTAATATCCGCTCAGTTCTTTGTACCGTCTGCATATTAGATGCAAATGTTTCCTCCTCATTGGATTTAAAGGAATTACCAATACTTTAACTTTAATCATCTTTCTTAACAATTTGTGGACTATATCCTGTCGATCATTGACTTATCAACAATCTAGTGTTATAAGTGGGCATGAATGATAAATGACTACTATTTGTCATCTGGAGCAACTGAGACCAGATTGAGAATTGTGATGTGGAATGTGAAAAATAATCATCCAGGATATCAAGGAATGCTCCAGAATATCCAGTTTGACAAATAATCATTCAGTCTCTCTTTTAGCCTAAGAAGTACCTGAAATCTTCTCATTGCTGGTTGTGGTCTTTAATAAAGTGAATGGAGATAAAGAAGGTGCCCTCTGCACAATGTGTTTCTTGAAAACTTGGAGTTCTACATCCAGCAGCAGAATTGAGGAAGGATAGAAACTTGGAGTTGAAATGAATTCTCACCAAGATATGAAGCATAAATAGCTTCAAAGATGGTGAACTGGAGAGAATTTCTGCAAATTTGATTAATGAATTCTTTTGTTATTTTAGGGGAGACATCTCCCAAAAGATTAGTTTATTGGTTCCAACAAGAAACTTTGAGAAGTCTCTTCTCAGTGTAAAGCTACCCCTTGTAATGGTGGTTTTATGTGGATTTGTATTATCAACTGGTTGTAGTCCGCAGTCCACAACTTACTTTGGTAAATTATAGCGGATGTTGTTAAAGTAGCTTCAGCCTAAAGAATAAGAACACCAAACAAAATTAGACGCAGGTACTTTTCTTCGGGGCCGACAAACGCACATTTAATGCTACAGTGTCTATTTGTGTGTTTAAGTTTCAGTTCAGACCTTTCTAAATGTTCTTAACCAAACATGCTGAGTTCTAGGGCGAGCTACTTTGTCCGCTTTCTTTCCAAGTGCTCCATTTAGGAGTTAGTCAATGTCTGTGTAGTCTACAGTTTGTGATACACCTCCTAAATTAGTTGTCTGTATGATCTGCTAATATCTGTATACTTTATCAATATTAATTCAAAATCCTCCAACTTAGCATCCCTCATTCGATTTGTTAAAGTATGTTATTACCATCACTTGTGGATTGAATTGCTTAAAGGATGCTAAAGTTTCTGTCCCCATTTGTTACAGAAAAAAAGGCATGAGTAGATGAAGTAAATTTTCAGTCCCATTGCTTTCATGCTCAAATTGACATTTAAGGATGTTTCTGAACTTCACAGGTACAAAGTATATGTGTAATTTTGAGCAGCTCTTTGAATCGGAATCATAGATACCAAAGAGAAGCTGCTGCAGCTGCATTATCCGAGTTTATTCGTTACAGGTACATGTTACATCATTGTACTATGGACTTTAACGTCGCATCTATGATATATCGGGACTCAAACATGCGGGTAATGTGATTTAGTAAGTATAAGGTGAGGGATGGGCAGAGCTGGAATATTTAGTGGATTACATGGACACTAGTATGCATTCTTTTTTCTTTGGTAAAGATAATTGAAAAGACGAATTTTTGGCATGTTTTGGTTTCCCATACTCTGAGGTGTGCACTTTATGCAGTCCATACTGTATTTGGAGAGAGAGAGAGAGAGAGAGATCCATATTCCAATTTGAACATCTCAAATTTTGATGGACTCCTTAAATAGCCGTGTGGTTGAAAAAAGTTGTAAAATGGATAATGTGCATGTCCTGTACATTACTGTCCAATTGATAGATCCGTATTCCAATTTGAACATCTCAAATTTTGATGGACTCCTTAAATAGCCTTGTGGTTGAAAAAAGTTGTAAAATGGATAATGTGCATGTCCTGTACATTACTGTCCAATTGATTTAACATGTTCAAATTATAGTTTATTTCTTTATTTTCTGTTTTGTTTGTGTGGTACATCTTACTTTTTAATATAATTTTCCTTGTTCCGTCAACATTCAAATTGTCATAAGCTGGTGACCCACTTAATTATGCTATCTTATGCTGAGAGACGACGGCACTATGGATATAGTACATGCCAAATTTAATGCCATAATAGTGTAAGCTCTTGGGTTGGATTGTTTAACAGTAACTATTCTACATGGAGGTTCAGGTGCATACAGTGGATCACTTCATCTCGGTCAACTCTTTAAATGCTTCCTCAGGGGAAAAGAAATCTTCTTTTCGTTCTGGACAGTTGCTGTGACTGTAACAGAGTTTTTGTCATTGCAATGGCAAACAAGAAATCTAACATGTCGGGGCCATTCTTGGTCATAGGAGGATCTCTACCACCCATATACTGCCAGAATAGAGGAAATATTTGCATTCTCTTAGTTGTCTGGAGGGGAGATGGTTTATACCATCTTTAAAAGTGAATAATGTTTCCTGCATCTCGATCATACAGTCCTCATATCCGAGTTAAAGAGTACCTCTGCGTGGATAAAAGATTCCTGCATTCTTGCTTGTAGGAGGATCTCCACCACACATATAATGCTGGGTAGAGAAAATGAACGTAGTCTGGAAATGATCTTTAAAAGTGAACATATGTTCTTGCATCTCAATCATACATTTCTCATATCCGGGTTAATGACTACTTCTGCATGGATAAAAGATTATTCCTTATGGAAGAAAATTTCAGTTACATCACCTAAAGATTTGGCATGGTTAGTCTAGAAACAGTAGTAAATTTGGATCCAAACCCTCTTCTTGAGTGAAAGTTCCGTTTTCTCAAGGACGAGGACTAGACGAGGATATATAGCTCAAAGACATAGATTGATAGATTGTTTATTTGCATAAAGCTTTCTAGGGCCCACTGATTATGACAGATACACGAAATGAATGACCCCAAGACTAAACTCATGTATTCTCTAATTCTTGCTTCTATCGTGATTTTGGACTTATGACCCAAGAATTTAAGTGCATGAACCTAAGTGGATCACTCATATATATTAAGCGACAGTTGAAGTGCTAATTGGCTGATTAGCTCGTCATCCGTAGAGAATTTTTTTCCAGCTCTAGGTACTGGTTGGCTGATTCTAGGAGAGGCACATCAAATTTAGTTTTATCAAGAACCAACCTGATCTCTGTCGTCTCTCAATCCTTGTCATCTTTCGGAGGTCCATTAATTTGTTACAAACTGATCTTACAAGGCTTTCTCTTTGTCTTGGCATTCACACCTCATTTTTTCATTTTCCAAATAATTTTTCAATATGCAGCGGTGGGTTTGATTCAGTTTTGGAGCAAATGGTTGAAGCAATGTGCAGGCATGTCTCAGATGAGTCTCCGACTGTTAGACGCCTTTGCCTGAGAGGGCTGGTGCAGGTGTTGCCTCTTGATCAATAGACTACATTTCTCTTTACATTTTTTATATGCGTGAGAGTCTAGGAATCTGAGAAGAAGCTTGTCTCTACCTTATGTTTCTTTTATATAGAAGCTTTACTTGGTCGTGATTTTGCAGATTCCTTCTGTCCACATTGTTCAGTACACAGCTCAGGTTCTTGGTGTAATTTTGGCTTTACTTGATGACACAGATGAATCAGTGCAATTAACTGCAGTCTCATGCTTACTAACGGTTGGTTGCACACACACACACTCTCTCTCTCTTTTTCATGCTTTCAAATAATGATATTGTACAGTGAAATATTTCCCTCCTGATTTTTTTGTTTCATCCTCAGATTTTGGACTCAGCCCGAAAAGAAGCTGTGGAGCCCATTTTGCTTAATCTTTCTATGCGGCTTCGTAATCTACAGGTGCTATTATTTCTTCCTACTAAGGATCTTGTAAGAGTCAGTTCTTGTTCTTGAATCCTTAATGTATCTGTTCATATGAGTCCTAATCCACGTTATCTTATCCTATATTACATGAGAAAAGAGAAAAAAATAGTAAAGTGAAGTATTTTTCGAGGCATTCGAACAAAAAAAAAAGTATGTTTTGAGGCATTTTGTGGAGATTAGATTTTGACTCACGCAAGTGGAAAATGTGTCCTCCTCTGTTAATTTTTTTTCAGTCTATTGTTTGAACATCTTTATGTAGTCTCTGTGTTAATGTCATGCATGCTCAGTTACTATGTACTCTCTAACTACACTTTACTATTGTAGGTCCATAACTTTCTTGAGGTCATACAAATTAAAAAATAAAATCTCCACTAATCATCTTTGTAATTGTATGATGCGTATAAATCTTTATAAATCAAGCACTGTGTCATTTTAACTATTTTTATATGGCATTGCATATTGTTGTTACATGAATTACGCGTAGAGGCGATCTGGTGATTCAGTTCAGGAGATCAACTGATATCGCTCCCACGTCCTCACCCACACATATTGCTACATGGCTATCACTCCTAAATGCAGAGATAAAAAAAAAAAGACTGCTGGAAATGAATAATAGAACTGGGAATAGAATTACAAGAACGATGTTGGGATTATATTGCTTCAAATAAACACTGAAACTATGAACTGAAAGGACCCCCATGAGGGATGAGACTGGAACAAGGAATTGCATTGCTGAAAAGTTGAAACTACTGGAAAATGTAGAGATGTTGAAGATAACTGGTTGTACTCTGTGTGATGTATCTGACGTTTCCTTTTATGGTCCATGAATCTGCATATGGGACCAATTTTTTCTAGTCAACCATGCCATATTTGCCCCTCTAATTTCTCCAATCTCCATAAACCGCTCTCCACATGCTTGCCATTTGTCCCCTTCTTTGTAACACCTAATTTTTGTGGCCGACTATGCATGTTGTATATGGACTCTTCTAAGGATCACATTTGTTGAAATAGGAACTCTGAATGGAAAACGTAATTAAAATGTAAAACCTCTATGAAAGCAAAACAGAATATCTGCTTAAAATAGGAGAAGGAAAAGGAAATTTAATAAAATCCGAATAGTTGTAAATCCAAATGGATAAGACAATCCATTTAGCACTCTTATTTTAGACATGGATCTATGCAACATCCATCATCACCAAAATTCGACAATTATGGAAAGATTACGGCGAATAGCAATTTTTTCAATCATGTGAGCTGCATCGACATTGAAAGTGCTTTTCCTTTTTGGGATCAAGGATTTCTGATTTTGTGATTTTGTTCTGCCGAGACTGAGAAGGTGAATTCTTTTTTTAGGTTTCTTTCTATCTAAAGTTAGTTCCGTAACTGCAAGGCCCCATTGAAATTAATACTAACAAACGAATTTGTCTGCTTTCTGTTATCAGTCAAAATGCTTCTGATCTTGTAAATGCTGCACGTCTCTGAATGGGAATTTAGTAGCAGACAAGATTGATTGATATTACTGTGCGCCACAGATTTCCATGGATGTGAAGATGAGAGCTGATGCTTTTGCTGCATTTGGAGCTCTAAGCAACTATGCAGTTGGACCACAACGTGAGGCATTCGTCGAACAGGTTAAATCTTGAGCTTTTATAGGTGCCTCATTTTTTTTTAATTATTGCGATATATTCAGTCTCACAGATAAGTTTATGAAAAATGTCAATTGTTTGGTCCCTTGAGTGAAATAGTATATTTAGCTGGAATTGATTGATTCTTACTAACATGTATCTTGCTTTGTAATTTGCATCTAGATTATTAAGCGTACTTATCCTCAATTTGTATGCCTCATTGTTTGTATAGCACCTTCAAGGCTTTAAGCAACTTCAAGGTGTCGAAATATTTAGTCTTGACATTAGGCTTTTATCTGCGAAACATTGTGTTGGCTGTCATTCTAATAGTTATTGTTACCTTTCAGATCTAGCACAAGACATGAGATGCACAGAAATTGAAGATGTTTCGTAATATTCTATCCTAAAAATTTTAAAAATGAGATTTATTAGCCTATATAGATTATTTTGAACAATGTGCAAATGTTTTCTTCCATCCAAAGCTTATTTATTTGACATACTTATTTGCTTTATATTTTTTTACAAGCTTATATCAATCTTTGGTCATGGCTGGAGAGAGCTACAAAGGATTAGTTGGGACATAATACTAACACCACATTACACTTACTCTCTTAACACCCCCTCAAGCTGGAGCAGAAACATCATGCATGCCCAGCTTGTTACAAATGATATCCATCCTAAATCATGAAAGGGTTGTAATCATGTCAGCGAGTTGGTCAGTTGTTCTAACATATCTAGGAGCTATTAGCCCTTGCTGAAGCTTTTCTCACCCAAAATGGTAGTCAACCTCGATATGCTTAGTGCACTTATGAAACATAGGATTTGATGCAATATAGCAGCCTGATTATCAAAGCACAACTTCATCGGCTAAATCACCTTGATTCAAGCTCCTTAAGAATCTGATAACCCGCATTAATTCACATGTATTCTGGGCCATAGCTCTATATTCTGATTCTGCTTTAGATCTCAACACCACAGGCTGTTTCTTACTCTTCCACAGAACCAGATTGCCTGCAACAAACACACTATAACCAGTAGTAGAGTTTCCGTCAAAAGGATATCCTGCCCAATCTGCATCAGAGAAACCCATCACCGTGGTATGTATATTATCACAGTCCCAGTCACCTCTACCAGGTGCCTTTTTTAAAAATTACAAAATTCAGACAACTGCGTTCCAATGAGGAACCCAAGGAGATGACATGAACTGACTTACTATTCTGACTGGAAAGGCAATGTCTGGTCTGGTCACAACTGGATACTTAGCTTCCCAACTGCCCATCTATATCTGTCCAGATGCTCAAAAGGCTCTCCATCTTCAGCTACAAATTTCCACTAGGATCCTTAGGAGTATGTGCCGATTTAGCCCCTAAGCACCTGTCTCAGCTCATAAGTCCAGTTCATACTTTCTTTGAGCCAGAATTGTACCTTGCTGCCTCAATACCAAGGGAAAACTTCAGCTTTCATAGATCTTTGGTCTGAAAGTACTCTTGAAGAAAATGCTTCAGAGCCACTGTTCCCGTGGAGTCACTGCCTTTATCACAATATCATCCACATACACAAGAAGAATTAGACTCCCCATCCTAGAATTCCTGAAGTTGACAGAATGATCCCTGTGATGAGTGAGACCAAATTTAGTAACTACTTCACTGAACTTGCCAGACACGCTCTTGGAGACTGTCTTAACCCATGTATTGATTATTTCAATTTGCACACAAGGCCAGACTCCTCCTGAGCGATAGACCCAGGTGGTTGCTCCATTTACACCTCTTCTTGCAGAGCACCATGCAAGCATTCTTCACATCCAATCAATGGCCACTGATGAGTGGCTGCAAGAGAAACAAGCAACCTGATAAACGCAAAGTTAGCAACGGGTGAAATAGTATTACAGTAGTCAACACCATAAACCTGTGCATATCCCTTTGCTGCTAATCAAGCTTTCAACCGGGATGAGATCCATCAGAATTGTGCTTAACGGGAAACACCCACTTGCATCAAGTGGCACATTTACCTGGAGGTAAAGAAGCAACGTCCCATGTCAGATTATGTTCGAGAACCTGCGTTTCTTCTTCCATTGCTTTTCTCCAACCACGATGATGCTTGGCATATTGATATGACTCATAATATAAGACAGACATGGACTCTGAGCTAGACACATCTTCAGACTGGAACAAGACGGATGGCCCAATCTACAATGAATCTGTAAAGGAGAAATCGAAGTACTGGAGCAAATGAAAGGCGTCTCATCATCAAGCAGATGAAGGCCTCCAGATTCACGTCCTCTACCAATAACCTTCTTTATCGTGAGATCGTGAAATTCCCAATAACCAGGACAGAATGAGACACGACAGTTGTAATCACGAGAGTTTACTGACAGTCACCAAATTATATGGAAAATTTGGAAGATACAACACGAACTTTGACTATAGCCAATGAGCCATTGGCAAGAGACACTGGAAAATTTAGACGGCAAAGTAAGACAAGACAAAATAGAATACTTGTATGCCTGTCATTTGGTCTGATGCTCCTGAGTCAATGACCCATTTGCGATTGGAGGAGGAAGGCCGAGCAGTGGATTTACCTGTCTGTACTAGAGTAGCGGTGGATGAAGATGGTGACTTTGAAACCTGAAACTCGGTAAACTATGCTGACTCTCATCCATCGGCCTGATAGTCTTTCCCATTCTGAGGGTAGTTGAATTCGTCTGGGTACATCACTATTAGAAGTAATATTGACAAACCTGATTAGTGGCTTGCCATGTAATTTCCAGCAAGTGCACTGGTATGTCCCTTCTGACCACAGTGAAAGCAAGTAACTTTTCCCCTCCCTCTTATCTTGAACTCCATGGCCACCATGTCTGCCTCCATCGTCCCTGTCCTCTAAAACTACGAGAGGTCTGACTCGCCAAGCTGAGGTGTCACTCTGTCCCCCCTCAAATGAGAGTTCAATTGAACCCTGGACAGCCCGTTGATGAGCTTCTGCAAGAGAGAGCCAATGTGAGCATCAGATAAGATCTGTGACCTTACCATGGAAAACTCGTTCCTAGTCCAGATAGAAATGCCATTACTGCCAATTTCTCCCTTTGATCTTTCATCTTTTTTGGGTCAGTACAAATTGGCATCAAACATATTCCACGCCTCATATACCTTAACATCTGCATAATAATGTGATACAGTGCGATCTTTGCGCTCTGGCCCATACATAGCTTGACTCGTGAAGTAGGACAAGTCTTTCTGTGCTGGGTACAATTTCTCTTGCCGTGACCACAATTCTTTAACTGTCTTCATATGAGTAACCAATGGTATAATAGAAGGTTTTAGGGAACTTATGATCTGGCCATACAACCTAGCATCAACCTGTATCCAAACTTGTGAATCGGTTTTTGGACTTCTGTGAGGTAAGCCTCCTCCATACCTGTGATGTTCACCTCAACTAACAGTAGCCATGTCGAGTAATTCGTGCCATTCAACGGAAAAAAAAAAAAACTGACCGGATTGGTAATTGTTTCACCTAAGGATCCCATAGTAGATGAGGGAGCAGCAGATTTACTCTCTTCAGTAGTCATATCATCCAAATAAACTAATCAGATATTTATATAAGCACAAGGAATTTCCAAATTTAACTGGATGCTTGAGGTAGTCACCCTCGCTTGGCCAGCTGGTAGGTTTTGCCGGAAATTGCCTTTTCCTGGGAGACTACTCAGGTTCACTAGACCCTTTCCTTGAGTGGAATTTCCCAATTTGATTGGGTCTCAAAATCCTCTTTGAGAAAGCCAATCGCATGGGTGGCTTTATTACTCTATATAAGAAGGAAAGAAAGAGAAAGGAAAAACAAAAAAGGATCGGAAGAGAAGGATAGGGCATTCAGTTCAATGTTATTTTATGAAACCTGCTCTGATACCAATTAGAGAGAGAGAGAGAGAGAGAGAGAGAGAGAGAGAGAGAGAGAGAGAGAGAGAGAGTAATGCGGTGTACCCAACCTGAGTCACCAGCCATCTGTATATCACTATACAATGCTGCAAAGGTTTAGTAGACTTGCAATGTGGGACACAATACTTATAACACAGAATACTTATTCTCTTAACAATGGCTAAAGAGGAAAAGAATCATCACAAACTGATAAAATAAGAGTAAATGGAGTTTGTGATCCTATATAAATGTCTTAAGGTTTTTTAAACTAATAGAATCAATCTTCTAATTGTATTTTAATTTTAATACATGCAAAATTTTCTTTATCTAAGTCTGAGTTCTATCTAGAATCTCTTGCGTGCTGGAAAGAGAAGTTCCTGATTTTTTATGGGATTCCGTCTTCTCTTTCCTAAAGACACTATTATGAAAATCTGTTAAATCAGATATTAATGGGGAAAAAGTTGTCAAGCACACAATCAAAGAATCTTCGCAATTTTCTTCCATTAATGAATCGTCCTTTCTACTCAAATGCTCTCATGGTTTTCCCGTATAAATATGATCCAAAATTGTTTAGTTGTTAGAAGTGAAATTATTTGTATGAAATATAAATAAATAGATGTTACCTTAATGTCTAATCCTTTAAGTTGTTTAGAATATTGATACCGTATTCACTTGCATTATGCATGTGAATCATAGATTGAGCAACAAGGTGTTCCTTTTTTTGTCAAAAATACTTTCTACCTTCTAAGATCACATTATACAATATATTAATATAACGGATAACACTTCCTCAATCGTAAGCACATAAAACTACTTTTTATGGCTATCCATGATGGTCTTAAATTATAATTGTAACCTTTTCAATATGAGTTTGTAAATTTTAAATTTATGAATCGCATATTTATTAACGAAATAGAATATGTGGAGTGATAATAGAAAGAATTTTAATTGATAAAACTCGGATGCGATTGAGTCTTGTAGTGCAACCAGATGCTAGCTTTACCCACTTTTATTAATATCTAGGTGGACATAGGTTCTCATTCTATAACTTGAGAAGCAATCTGTGGCTGTTTTCTTCTGCCATGTAGCTTTTCATGTAGTGAGATGCTTAAGCAACTATTGAAGCTTTTCTTTGTGGATGTTTTACTATTTGTGTCTAGATTCAAGGACTATTTAAGGATGTGACCACCATGTTTTTTTTTTCAAGAGTTAGTAACCCAACACGAGATCACAACTGAAATTGGTGCACGACAGGCAGTGTGTACAGCAGGCAGTCAAATTGGACTTGACTTGAGCTAACAATGATTTTAATGGTAATTGTCATCTGGTGTACTAGGTACATGCTGTGCTCCCTCGCTTGGTTTTTCATTTGTACGATGATAATCATGGCATCAGACAGGCTTGTCGGGTAGTTTTCTTATCTTCTGTAGTTTCAATGGAGCTATCTCAGAGAAAGTTTTTAACCTCATGTTGCTTAATTTGCAGAGTACTCTGAAGCGAGTTGCCCCGTTATTTGAAACTGAGGGATTTTCTGTGCCTTTCAATGTGCAAAACTTTAATTCTGACCACCGGTAATCACTAGAATAAAGATGCTCATCTTTGTGGAATTTAACTGAATGTGAAACCTCCAGCATAGGAGAAAAGGCTTCTGACTGACTTGTCTTCTTTCAGAAGTGACTACGAGGACTTTGTGAGAAACCTTGCAAAACAATTCACTCAACATCTTTCCTCCAGAGTTGATACATATATGGCTTCAACAATACAGGTTTGCATTAGTATATAGCTGTCAGTGCTAAAAGTATTTTAAGAAGGCTGTGCCATTGTCTCCACTTGACAGATCTTAGTGCTAGCATAGGGCTGCCTGTCCCTTTGTGCAGACTTTGTGATCCCATATTACACTACCCAATACACTTTGATGTATACCCAATTCTGTATTGTATCTTGCATGAAAACATGCACCTGCATGCATGCACATTCCATGCGAAAGGAAGGATGGATCTAGGGGGCCGAGCCCGGTTGGCCTTCTACTGTGAGAGAAGCTCAGTCAGGAATTGTTGATCTTTTAGAGATGATTTGGGCTGTTGCCCGCCACCCAAAAAAAAATAATGAAATATTGAGTCGGCCATCCTAAATCAGCACTATTATAATTTGAATAAATAAACTCAAAAAGACTACTTTTATAAAACGAAGAAACTACTTTCTCACTTGTCATTGGCTCTGTTTAATTCGTAGGCTCTATATGGTGAGTGTGTTGCTCAGCAAAGCAGTTAAAATAGCATTTGACACCATTAACCTCCTTTTTTGTTTCAGTAATAAATGTACTACTCCATCTTAAGGTGAATGTCATCAGCCAAAAAAAAAAAAAAGCCAGGTTCCTGGGATGACCCTGTAACCAGCCAGTCCGGTCCGGGCTAGTTCCAGGGTCAGCAGAATTGGTTTCTGGTTTCACAAATTGGGAACCGACCCTGACCGTGTAAGCTTTAGGTTCCAGGGTGGGAATTGATCACCCCTATCTATCGCGTTATCTGTGCATTGGTTCTAGGACTACATTAGGGATAATGACACAAACAATTCCTGAACTTTGATCTAATGTGCAATTTGGTCCCTGAACTTCTAATTTGTTCAATGTAGTCCCTAAACTTTAGCCTAATGTTCAATTTGGTCCCTAAACTTTTAATTTGTTTAATGTGGTCCCTTAACTTTTGGTACATGTTCAATTTAGTCCCTAAACTATATGAAAATGTTCAATATAGTCTCTAAACTTGAATTAATGGAAAGACTACGTTGAACATTTTTGTATAGTTCAGGGACTAAATTGAACATGTACTAAAAGTTCAGAGATCACATTGAACAAATTAAAAGTTCAGGGACCAAATTGAACATTAGGCTAAAATTCAGGGACTATATTGAACAAATTAGAAGTTCAAGGACCAAATTGCATAGTGAGCCAAAGTTCATGGACTGTTTGTGTCATTTTCCCACTACATTACTAAATGGTTTTCTAGTACGGACTATTATCTTTAACTTAGATTTTTCTATTTTGATGAAATATGTTACATTTTTTAAATACCATCTTAAAATCTAGGTTAATGTAAAATGCATATATTTTGGAGAAACACACTTAACATTATTAAATTAGCATGAAAACTTGGCACCCCCACCATTGGAGTTCTGGATCCTTCCCTAGCGCAGGTGCCTTAGTAGTTGTACATGCAGATGGATACATTCAGGTGCACTCAAGTATGTATGACATGCTTCCCAATCTCGGGGAAACACAAGTGATTGAGTTTCTTTCTTGCTGATGCTGCAGGCTTTTGATGCGCCTTGGCCCATTATCCAGGCAAATGCTATTTATTTTGCTTGCAGCCTTCTGTCACTTTCAGATGATCAGCACACTTTAACAGTGTATTATACTCAGGTTGTCCATCATTCAATATCAACTATTAGAATGTCAAGCAGAGAGGAACATGCATTAATATCGTTGTTATCTTGTTCAAGGTGTTTTCAATGTTGGTGGGAAAGATGAGTCGGTCTTCAGATGCAGTTGTTAGAGCAACATCCTTTTCAGCACTGGGATTGTTACTGAAATCCACTAATTCACCATCATGGAGAGAAGTTCGACTAGATCGGGTTGATTCAATCCGGAGGGGTCATGGTTCAGAGTCTCCGAGGAAATGAGCGAGAAGGCAAAACTTACAAGTGGATATGACATCCCGATTCCCGAATTTTGACGTCATGGGTTAAGGTTGCTTAATCAATGCCCACCGAACTCGAAGGAGTTTAGTGCTGGGGATCACTGATTACCCAACCTCTGCTGAGTGAAGCATTTTGGACAGCTTTAGAAGCCAATAATGGTTGAGGAATGAAGCCTGTGCAGTTGCCCCTCCTTGTAATTTAGTACAGCAGTGATTGTAAAGCATGTAATTGTACTGTACTTTTCCTTTTGTGTGTCAGCTCCATAATTCCTATTAGTTTAGGCAATATAGGTTGGTAACTTGTATCTGTTTGTACCAACAATGCCCTTAGAATGTGAGGTTTCTTCGGTCGAAGGATGATGTTCCGACTGAATCACGTGTATCATAAATGGCAACTTTCATTGTAATTGTATCTGCCAGCATATGGGATGGATTTGTCTGCGTCTAACTTCAATGTCGGATGAGGGGATAGTTTTGATGTCATATCTACATCTTTTGGTTTTGGCCAACTCGAACGTACATGGAGAACAACTTGATTAAGGAATTACGATACGCAATTTTTTGCTTAGTAGTTTGGCTGAAATTTTCTGTTTGTTTTTCGCGTAGAATGGAAGGGGTGGCATTTCTCATCTCAAGGAGGCGTATTTGTCCCTTCAAGAGCTGAATTGGGTATTTCGTTCGAAATGCCTTTCTATTATCACGAGTTGACTCAAACATGTGAATGGAAAAGGGAAATTAGGAGCCCATTTTAGCATTTGAAGAAATAAAAATGAGACATCTGTCCAGCATATATGCTCATGCATAACGGTTGGACGAGAACATCTCCTGTCTCGTTCTCTGATCGATCAAAGACCAGATGGTGAAAAATTGAACGCATCGTTCAGCATGTTTGGCCATCTTAGCTCATCGCTCAAGAGAACCAAATACTGTGGTCGAGCCTCCTTGCTCGCTACAAAATGGCTCGTGCAAGAAAGCTGTGATGTTCAGGAAGCCAATCATGGCCATCAATGTAGGAAATGTCCAGGAAGAGGCCAGCTTCTGATGGTTTTAGCAGCTTCCCGTATTCAACTCTCGCTGTATAGTTTGCTCCAGGTCCCCAGCAATCATACTCCCCAAAGAACACCGTCCTGCGATGAAAGCTCGTTAGTTCAAATTATTTTACAAAGAACTCAAAATTCTCTGAAACACTAGTTTTTCACCCTTCATATCTGATGGAATGAGAGCTAACTCATGTACTCTTTACCTACATTATCTTCAATTGGAGAAGAAGCAAGGTTAACCTAAACGGCACAGCTGAAATTGTACTAGTAAATTGTACTGAGGCCGGTTTATTCTAGATAGGGGCAGAGAACGAAAAATAAGGTGAAAATAGTGTTGCACAGATTCTAAGAAGGGAGGATCAACCACGGACTCGTCTCTAGAGGGGTCTCTCCAGTCGTTCCATCCCTCGGGATCAACAATGTCCGACATGTAAGTCTTTGAGAACACCACGGTTGCATACGCACCCCACGCCCGGCCCAGCCACACTCTGCCGCTCCCTCCGATCCTGCAATTCACGAACGAAAAACCTGTATGCTCACTCGCTGAGTCCCTCCCGTGAGCTGTGATGGCTCCACTAATGCCCGCCGACACGTCCTTTGCTATCGAGTTAATGGTGCATCCCTGCCATAGATTTGAGTATTGATATATCATAGGAAAATTGGCTAACCGGCGGTTAACAATGGAAAAGAATTTTCATTTGGGGACAAGAATTAACTGCACTTAATGTGATTGAGAGAAATAATTCCTTATCCTACTATTCAGGATATGAAAAGCTTTCGTCGGTTAACACACACAATTCGAGTGTTCATGTAAGCTTCTTCTTGTTCTACCTCGTAAAGAGATCTAGCATTTCCGAAGATGAAGTCGATGGATCCCTCAATGAAACAATCCCCAAAATAATGTCTTCCGGCGTCGTCATGAAGCGTGTCTTGGGCTCCATAAAATCCGCACCCAAAAAACGCAGCCTCATCCCCTGCTATTCTTAGTGCAACGGCCTGGCCTCCTACATCCCCGGGCGATGGCGATGGAGCTGTATTCTTTAATTTCAAGAAACCAAATCCCACACAAGAAACAAACAAAATGTAGAAAGTAATCAAGTTAAAGGATGAACAGGTATATTATTGGTTTATTAGCTCTTTAAGCGGAATAAGATCATTGGCATTATTAGGACAGTGATATGTGTAAGGCGAAATTTTGTTTACCAAATAATCGTATATTGCATATACAAGGAATGAAGACGCACCAACATTTTGACGTTGCCTGTGGAAATTGCATTTTGCAACAGCGGTGTAAAGAAATAGAAAGTCAAGTTCTAATGTTGAGTTGGAACTACCTGAAAACTGATGTTGTAAGCTGTGAAGTTGTGAGCGTATACGGCCACGGAAGAACTGTAGATTGTGCCACCAGTGGAATTTGCTGTGTCGTTCCATGCAATGGCCGTGTTGAGATAACCCTGACCTTCCAATATTATGTTTGTCTTGCTAGCATTCACCACCACCTTTTCCCTGCAACCAGAGACATTAAATATATATGATCGAGCAGAGTCTTACAAATTTAACCTGCCTTTTTAGGAGCACACTTGTGCGATCCTGAAAGTTTGCGACCAATCCTAAGTGAAAGGAAAACGAGAGGCCTAAGTTACAAGAATGAAGATCATCTTCTCGGTTTATGATACATGATGAGCAATGTTCATGACCTATGAGGCTACCTTTAACCCATCTGAATGCATATTCATTGACAGAAGGATGGCCAGCTAATCGTATCGTGCTAAACCGTGGGTTACAGACAATAAACTGCACGAAGGAGTTCTGAAAGACAGTGACCTGTAAGTACCAGAATCCAGTATAATGAGTGTCCTGGAGGGACTAAAGTCAGGAACAGCATCCACTGCCCTCTGCACACTGCTGAAATTCGCACAGCCCTTCAAGTCGACTGTTAATACGAGTCCCACTTGATAATCGTTTATGACCTTTGACTTCCATATACTCCCATCACACTCGACCGGCTTTGTGAGAAGATGATTGTGGTGTCTTGGCATAATCAGAGAGGTGATAACGGAGAGAATCTCTTCCACGTGAAATTCAAATCCAATTTGACTGCCGATAGCAATAGGATGGATATCGGGAGTAGGGACAGATGAACGCAGGGTGGGATGATAGAGGAATGAGAAGAGAGCGATGGCGAAAGCAGAGAGCCAGAAGAAGGTTGCTTTGCTTCTCATGATTGTGGGAGATTTTGGCGCATGTTAAAGCAAACTTGTGTTGGCTTTTATCTGATCATGAGTTGGGTTAGAAATGTGTTTATATAAAGGAGAACTTAAATGCGAACAATAAGAGTTTCGAGTGATGATTCGCTTCAGAGGTAAGCAATGTATGAGTGCTTGATGTGTGATCCCTGTGCGCGTAATGATGATTACATCTTGCGTTGCTTTAACAGTAAATTAGTTCGTCAGGTAGTTATGAAACATTGAACATCAGAACATGTAACATGCCATCTGTGTGTGTGTGTGAGAGAGAGAGAGAGAGAGAGAGAGAGAGAGAGAGAGAGAGAGAGAGAGAGAGAGAGAGAGATTGGTAATGATACTTCTGGGATGAAAAGAGGGGCGTGGAAATGGAAAATGCATGTGGATTCAAATACTTTAAGATTAGGACCTTAGGTTACATTTTAAATTGATGTTGACCTCTTATCAATAGAGCTAATAGATGGATCAAATTTGTTGCTCATTTTTCATCTTTCTTTCTTTGTTGCTCTTTTCCATTGGGCCTCATTGACTCTCTCTCAATCTCACTTCAGTTTAGTGGACCGGGTCGATACCAACATTGATTTTATAGGACTCACATATGAGATTTGAGAGCTCACATGGGACTCACAAAATTAATAGTGAAGATCCTCTCTCTCTTTCAAATCTTACCTAAGTTGAGTGGATCAGAACCTATGTCAACCATTGATATTGTAAGATGAGGGCTCACATGGGACTCTCAAAATCAGCACTAGAGATCAACCAAAGTCCAAGGAAGAAATTCTCTCTCTCTCTCTCTCTCTCTCTCTCTCTCTCTCAAGCGTTGCGTTGGAATAGAGGCCACACGCAACATAGTCACAACTTCCTCGTCTTGTACGATCAACATTGTGTTGCGCCTCCGACATCACCGCCCCACCCCCCATTATCCTAATGTAGTACTGTCTCCATCCAAGCCCACGAGGCTGCCACTCATATCGCGAAGCCCTATTACGGCCACCCCGCTCTCTGCCCGTCCCTACCTCCCTTCCCAATCTATGGTCGGGGCTCTGACATTGGATTTGAGGTTGCGAGCCAAATTCGACACTGTTGACCTCAAGCTACCCCAAACTTCTGGTCGCCCAAGGCTAGGTCGTGGCTCGCAGTGGTCAAGACGAAGCGCAGCAAGGGATAATGAGTTAATTCAAAATAATAGGGATGTCTTCAATCATATTTGAGGTGGATAAAGCGCGAACCTTTCGAAATGTGATGCATGGCTTGTTAGATCATTGGATCGGCTAGCAGTGCGTGCCTAGGTGGGAGGAGGACCTCGATATTTATAGGCGAGCTTCCGGGGCCGTGTTCCGAGGTTGCGCGGGAATTCTGGTCGTTTGGCGAATCCAAGGTTTATCGAAACGACTTCCTGAGGGATTGTCACTCGTGTGTTTTATTTCATGGGCTCATCCAAAGACTTGGACTTGAGCCCATTACTATCTGGGCTTTCTTGACGATTATCATTTGAAGATTGATAATTATCTAACCATTACTTACATTGGGTCATATTTTCTATTTACTGTATTTATATTGATGCTCGACAAAGAATCTACCATTCTCTTCTAGAGAACTAACAATCTAAAAAAATTTCGTAATTTATTGGACTAGAGAAAAATAGATTATGGTTGACAGTAAAAAATGATCAACTCTTTATTATCTATGAGTAGTGGGCTCAATCGGTAGAGTAAAGTTTGGTTAAAACAGAATTTATCAATGAATAAGACACTCGACGAAGTACGTGCTTGTTTTTTTTTTTTTGAAAGTACATGCTTGTTGACAATGAAGGAAATCAACAATACCTATGTAGAAGTTATCGAGAAGAACCTTTACCAAAACTTAAAAGAAATTGATCGGCAAAGACATTAACGACAAGTATTGAAGTAGTGAAATTACTGAACCAGAATAGAAGCCTTTGCGCATCGGTGCAAGAAAAATAGTGGATCGATACAAACGCATAACTGCTGAGTGACTATGCTAGTATTCTCAAGATTTGTAACTTGTTGTAGGTAATCATTATCAAAAAATAGGAGATCGTGTCTAGTATTTAGAACTTATTAAAACTGCAGATATGATTAGAAAGTTATTGTCGATTCAAAACCAACAACTACTTTGTACTAACCGTTAATGATAGATGTAAATGTCCACACTATACTTTGTAAATGTTTGCCTAATCAATAATAGGACTGGTGTTCTTTGCAAATTTACTATTATCTATAATTTCTAGTGAATTTTTTTTCCTGCATTTTAATTTCCAACCATTTACTTTTTGGCCCAAGATTAACTAATGGCTCCTTCACATCCTTTGTCGATTCAATTCATTCCATCACATTTTAAAAGATCTTTTGCTTTTCCGATGACACAATCGTATATGTACATGTGTATGTCTTCTTATGATTCAAAAAAGGTTTTACAAAACTATTTCAAAGTCCAGTTAAACAAGTGGAAATTAAGAATAAATAGATTACGTGAACTATGGGTCAACAAAATGATTTGGAATCCATACCTATTAATTCCTAGGAATACAGTGGTTGGAAAGACAGATGAAGTCGATGGTTGGTACTTGAAAGGACTTCAGTATTACAGTTTGCATTACAAGTTACAGAAGTTCATTGACTGTCTAAAACACTATTTAGAGATCGGCCCCATAGAGTGGTGTCAAAAGAGTTCCCTGGAAAAGCCGGAAGTTGCGCAGACTAAAGCCGGAAGTTACGCAGACAAACTTCGATTCTACGTCTGTTGAAAAAGATCCCTCTAAATTTCAGATCGTGCCTTGCCAACTCTCGTGATTTGGTCCGTGCACAAGAGACGTAAGGAATTGGCCATTGGGATTCCTCTGTCATCTCTACTGTAGAGGAAAATGCTCACGGAAGATTGATTTGACGGTGCGTTTATCTCACAGAAAATAAATGATTTGCAACACATATATGATTGTTTGCATCGTTTACAAAAATGAATAAACAAAAAATATTTTATGTTAATACCACGAAAAACCTAAAACTGGTATACTTGTGACAATTTTATCCCGAACTAATTTTTTGGGCACAAAAAATCCCAAATTGATACACATGTGACAAATTTACCCTGAACTAATTTTTTGGGCACAAAAAACCCTAAACTGATACACATGTGACAAATTTACCCCGAACTAATTTTTTGATCACAAAAAATCCCAAACTCATACACCTATCACAAATTTACCCCGAACTAGAAAACCCCAAATCGGTACACTTATGATAATTTACCCTCCGTTAAATTGGATTAATATCATGAAAAACCAAAAATTTGTAAACTTGTAACAAATAGAGGGGTAAAACACCAAACTGGTACACTTGTCAACTACCACGTGTTATCAAACTCAGCAATTTGATAGTAAAATTTAACGGAAACTAATAGAGGGTAAATTTTTCACAGGTGTACCGGTTTGGGATTTTTGATAGTCAAAAAATTAGTTCGGGGTAAAATTATCACAGGTGTACCAGTTTGGGGTTTTTGGTGGTTAAAAAATTAGTTTAGGGTAAAACTGTCACAGGTGTATAAGTTTGGGGTTTTTCGTGGTCAAAAAATTAGTTTTGGGTAAATTTGTCACATGTGTACCAGTTTGGGGTTTTTCGTGGATTAACCCAAATATTTTTATCATCCATTGTCGATGATATAAATATTTTTCATTTACTAATTATTTCAAGCAATACAAGTGTTTTTTTTAAGAAAATACTATTCAAATCATTTATTTTTTACGAAATAAATAGAGCCTACCGATAATAATGTGATGGATTTTCGTTTTAATAGGGGAAGTTGATTTTTTATGAAAATTGGACTTTTTCTTGCAGTTGTGACGACTGACGACCAATCCAACAAACACATGGCATCCATCTTTAAGGTTGGCCTTGATATGCACGTCAATGTGTGGGAAGTTTCCGGCGTTGTGCTCAAGATTTTAAATTGCCGTCGTAGTCGCAAGAGCGGTTGCGCTCTAGTAGTCGTGGATGCGTAAAGTGGCAGCAATCATAATGGTTGTAACTTTTTAGAAAATTCACAAACATATGCTAAAATCATCAATTAATTTTTGCAAACTATGTGTAGTTTATTTTTTGATATTTTAAGAACGTTAGAGAGCATTTCGAGTAATTAAGGAGGCATAAAGGTTTGAGTTATATAAATTTGTGAATGGATTTGACATTTGTGAGAATAAAAAATAATGTTTGGATTGATAAAATAGTCTAATATATTGCAACTAGTGATGAAAAGATAACATGGAGTCACACAATCACACTAATACATGACATGACGCTAAGACTCCATTTATTTTCGTGGAAAATATATGATTTGAAAAAAAAATGATCGCTTATTTCACTTGAAATAATTATTCAATGAAAAATATTTTCATTACCAATAAAAATTTATATCTAAATATTTTCGTGAACGATGAAAATAATTTTTTATTCATTCATTTTTGTAAACAATATAAACTATCATTTTTAGAAAAATATTTTTTAAATCATTTATTTTTCACGAAATAAATGCATCATAATGTGTTTTTAAGGGTTAATACCATGAAAAACCCCAAACTGGTACACATGTGACAAATTTACCTAAAACTAATTCTTTGACCACAAAAAAGCCCAAACTGATACACTTGTGACAATTTTACCATAAACTAATTTTTGACCATAAAAAATCCCAAACGAGTATACCTGTGATAATTTTACCCCGAACTAATTTTTTGACCGCAAAAAACTCTAAACCGGTATACCTGTGACAAATTTACCTTCTGTTAGTTTCCGTTAAATTTTGCTGTCAAATTACTGAGTTTGATGACACGTGGTAGTTGACGGGTGTACCAGTTTAGGGTTTTACCTCTCTGTTTGTCATAAGTTTACAAATTTTTGGTTTTTTGTGATATTAATTCAATTTAACGGAAGGTAAATTTATCACAAGTGTACTAATTTGAAATTTTGGTGGTCAAAAAATTAGTTCGGGGTAAAATTGTCACAGGTGTACAAGTTTGGGGTTTTTGGTGATAAAAAAATTAGTTCAGGGTAA